ACTGGGACGGGAAGCATGACCCCAGAGACAAGCTCTGCCATTGGTATCGCGACAAGCTCGGCATCTGAATCCTCAACCGCGACTGTTCCATTCCCAATCTCCGATTCGACGTCCTTGGCTGCGCCCACGGGCACTGCACCCCCTTCCCTCACATACCCTCCCCCGCAAACTACCAGTAGTGCTCCGTATGGCTGGAATAACTCTTCTTCGACAGCCTTCGGAGTTACCGGTTCGGGGTCGCTCCCGAGCGTCTACACGACATCGACGACCTACCTGTCAAGCAATAGTACTTCATGCACATTGAAGTACAGCACGGTGTCTTCTATTCCTTCTGATTTCTCATCAACAGTTGATGGTAAGATGAATCCCCCCAAGAATGCTCAAGGTTGACTGACAACCCTTCCCAGGTGCCTTTACCACCTCATCTGTGCCAACCACTTTCGCAAGTTCCACTGCCACCGGTGGCTCTGGAGGCCCGACCACGACCAGCAGTGATTCCATCCCTGAATACACTCCCCCTGGCTACTCCTATGGTCCAGTCCTGCCTCCAAGCTCGACTCCATATGGACAAGCCCCTCCATCTTATGGAGGCTACAGCTATGGTGGCGTCCCCAGACGCAACGTCGGTCGCCGATGGCTCTGGTAAACTGGAATCTCTTCCATTATTCAAACATGTTTGCTTCTAGACTTGCTGTAATTTCTCCTTTCGGGGATACCATTGTTCTGTTTGCTCTGCTATTTTTCTTATGTTAAACTCCTGAAAAGGGGTGCTTGTCGTGACGGCCGCAAAATGTGAGATCTGTCTGGGCCCAGGAGGAGGCCAGGGGAATTATGCTACAGAGTTGCTTCGAAGATGAAAAATTGTTTTTCCGACAATAATAGACAATTTCTCAACTTCTGTGTCCTTGAACTTGTGATCTAGAGAACGTTTTTTGGGGGGGGGGCGCGCATTCTGCTAACTGGGCTACCCCTGCTGTCGTACACACGGATCCTGCAGATGGGAGCACGCTAGAGCGAACCTCGGCTTCAAGTTTCGTTGCGGGCTTGACACTCTTCATCCCGCGAAGTTCAGCATCCATTGCAACTACCATCAACCAATTGAGAATTGAAGAACTTTATCTCAAAGTAGAATGTCTATTGGAAAGACAAAGAGTGTGCTCATCACAGGGTAAGCTACGATATCATGTACCGCTGTCACGTTGGTATCAACTCCCCAATCGCCAGCTTCAAGCAAACCATAACTCTAATTCGGCTTGCAAAGATGCTCACCTGGGGGCATCGGACATGCTCTTGCGCGGGAATTCCACGCCAAAGGTACATCAAACCTCTCCATTCGCACGCTCTGGAATTGATCGGGTAGCTGATTGGCATCTATCCAGGTCTACATGTCATAGCGACAGCCAGAAGCAAAGATGCGATTGAGGACTTAGAGGCGATGGGCATGTCGACGCTGACTCTGGAGGTGACAAGTGCGGACAGTATTAAAGAGGCCAGGGGGGAGGTAGAGAGGATCACAGGTGGCAAGCTAGATATCTTGGTTAACAACGCGTTTGTGTCCCCTCTTTCACCCTCTGTTCACACCCTTTAATTTCCAATGGAAAATAGCAGCGATGTTCATGAAGCCGTTCTGATGAAAGTAGAGGCCGTAACTGCACTATCCCCGCTCTAGACGCCGATCTCGACGACGCCAGAGCATGCTTCGAGACGAACCTCTTCGCCGTCATGGCGCTAACACAATCCTTCATTCCGCTCCTGATCGCCGCCAAGGGCCTCATCCTGAACATCGGCTCCGTCGCTGCCGTGACGCCGTACGTGTTCGGTAGCGTGTACAACGCCAGCAAAGCCGCGCTGCATTCGTGGAGCGAGACGCTGCGTCTGGAGATCGAGCCGTTTGGCGTGAGGGTGCTTGTGGTCGTGACCGGCGGCGTGAAGAGCCGGATCGCTCGCACGGAGAGGGCGCTGCCCGAGGGCAGTCTGTACGTGGAGATTGGTGAGGATTTCCAGAGGAGGGTGAAGCACAGCCAGGAAGGCGCCATGGCGACCGATGTCTATGCTCGGGGGGTGGTGAGGGAGGCGCTGAGGAGTGGGTGGGCGATGAAGAAGCTGTATTGGAGGGGGAACAAGAGTGGCTTGATCTGGCTTGTTCGGAATTGGATCGGGGCGTGGGTGTTTGATCTGGTGCTGCCGAGGATGTTTGGGCTGGGGAGATTGGCGAAGTTGATCAGAGCGCGGGGGGGCAAGTGAAAGTGAGTAGTATTCGTTATGATGGGTGTTCGTTTTATAAATTCAAGAGAATGGCGGCCATGTCTGGTGAGAGATTCGGGCGCATATGAAAGGAATCGCAAAGCTCCCTCCTGCATGTAGTGGGAAGAAAAGGAGATACATTATCGAATGCAGTTGGTATAGAGGAGATTCAGAAGGGAATCATCCAGACCGGCGTAGGGCTCTGGAGCTTCGCAGCAGTCCATTTTAATTCCAAAGACGGATAGCTTAATTGACTGTGGACTTTCTCTGTACCTCAGAAAGAGATATATACGGATGAAAAGCCGGTCAAGTGGTGGTTGTTGTTTCCCCTTTCGTAACTAAGCGAGATCATGAATTTGGAAAAGGGTGAGATACATTCAGGTCATTGACACAATTTAAGCACATCGCTTTATCGATCCCAATAATTCGCACGTTCATATATCCGAAAGCCATACCCGCCGCATCCTACCTAATACTTGCAGTACCAAGTTGCTAGAGCGATGTAACCACGTGACACGAACCGACAAGCCTTTTGCAGATCCCCCACTCATCCCCATATTTCGACCACCCACAGCTGGTGTCGCCATCTCTCTTCTTAACTGAGCCACGGCTGGCATCTCTACGACGATGGGAGCCCTCCGTCCAGCTCTCCTCGCACTGGCTGCGACCTTCCCGCTCGCTGGATGCAGATCCCCAGCGTCAACTCTCTACTGTCTCTCACAACCGGCCTCCTCCACATCCATCACCACGCTCAACTCCTCCCTCCCTCGGGCTCAGTGCTTCAGGGTTGAGAACGGACTGTTCTCTGAGGTCTTGGATGCGGTTCCGGAAAGTGGTGAGGAGCGTGTGGAACTCGATGGCTGGGTGATTCCAGGGATCATCGAGAGCCACGGCCATATCCTGGCGTATGGTGAGATGCTGGAGAGCGTGTCGCTGTACGGAGCGGATAGTATGGGGGCGGTCAGGGAGAGGATCAAGAGCTTCTTAGCGGAGCACAAGGGGGAGGGGTACGGAGGGCGAGGAAAGTGGGTGAGGGGTATTGGGTGGGATCAGAAATTCTTTGGGGGGGTTATGCCGACTGCTGTAGGTCACCATGGTTCCTCTGGGTGGTGAGGTGATATCTGGCAAATTGACTTTTGGGAAGGTTGGACTGATTGAATGATGACTTTGTAGGAGGAGCTTGGAGAGGATTCGGATCTGGAAGGGCTGTATATCATGCTTGACCGAGTAGACGTTCACTGCGTTCTCACCTCTCAGAAAGTCCTCGATTTGCTGCCCCGGCCGCTCCCAAAAGCACCGCCGGGAGGCGTGGTTGTCACTGAGCCTGGTCCCGGGGTATTCTGTGACAACGCGATGGATGCCATCATCTATCCGCTTGCACCCAAGCCAGATGTCGCTCAAAAAACACGGTGGTTCAAGACCGCTTTGGCGGAGTTGAATAGAGTGGGTATCGTTGGTGTTGGAGATGCGGGCATGAGACCGGATGATGTTGCTATACTAGAGGGCTTGGCTGAGAAAGGGGAGTTGACTTTGAGAATCAATGTTATGCTTGAGTGTGCTGAGAGGAACACCTTTTGTCCGGATGAGACAGAGGGGTTGGATCTGTTGGCGGCTTCGGAGGATGGGTTGGGAGATAGCACGTTGATGCTTGGGGGAGTGAAGCTTTTTGCAGATGGGGCGCTGGGGTCTTGGGGTGCGGCGTTGTTGGAGCCATACTCGGATAGGGCTGATACCAGCGGGACAATGTTGATAAACGAGACGGAATTGACGGCTGTGGTCAACCAGGTGAGCGAGCTCTATTATCTCTGAGCCGGAGTTGCGAAGTTGGTGGTTGACAGCAATAGTGGTTCAATGCTGGGTTCCAGGTCAATATTCACGCGATTGGAGACCGAGCGAATCGAGCTGCGGTGGATGCTTTTGAAAGCGTTCTGGGAGCTGGTTGTGACGGCTGCAATGAAGCAAAGAGGTTGAGGATCGAGCATGCTCAAATCATTGTACGTGGTCTACAATGCAAGAGCAATCAAGAACAGTGCTGACAGCCAACAACAGCACCCAGATGACCAGAAGCGGATCGCGAGAATGGGCATAATCCCAAGTATCCAAGTAACTCACCCCCCCTCTAGATTCCTCGAATCTTCTCGGCTGACACGGGATCTATCTAGCCCACACATGCCACCTCCGACATGGCATACGCACTCGACCGGCTCGGAGCAGAACGGCTCTCTCATTCCGCTTACCGCATGGCCAGCCTCTTCCCCCCCGGTCCGGAAGCAACAGTCTCGAAATACCCGGGTCCGGTCCTCGGCTCTGACTTCCCCGTTGAGCCACCGTCCCCTTTCGAAGGCATGTACGCGGCCGTCACGCGGCTCAATCCCAAAACGGGCACGAGTCCCTCCGGCCCTGGCGGCTGGCACACGGAGCAGGCGTTGACCGTTGAACGAGCCCTGCTGGGCTTCACGAGGAACGCGGCTTATGGATGGGGGAAGGAAGGCCAGACGGGTGCCATCGAGGTGGGGATGTGGGCGGATTGGGTCGTACTTGATAGGGATGTCTCGGCCGATGAGACGGGGAGGAGCTTGAGGGATGTGGTGGTCAAGGAGACCTGGGTTGGGGGACGGAGGGTGTTTCCGGTAGAGGATGTGGCGACGACGAGTGTTGTCAAGGACGGACCGAGGAGAGAAGAGATTGTAAAAGATGAGTTGTAAATAGGATGGATTGGTAACTAAATCTATTGAATACGAAGAAGGTGTGATCTTCAGTCAGGCCTCTTTAACCTCCAAGTCTGGTTTAAAGCAAGAGGACAGTGGTCAAGTGGAATCGAAGGAGACCGCGATATCTGGGCTTTAATATGCTCTAAATAAAATCATGGTACTGTATCCACTCTCATGATCGATCGAGAACGACGACTGCTATAGATCCAGAAAAGCAGACAGATATGGCTGCTTCTACGATTCCTACTATGGGATTGAAGAATCTTTTCATCGCTACGAAAAGGGATACACGTCGCACAAGACAATAAATACACTTCTGGCAAGCTGTATCTATCGTCGGGCATCATCGACACACCGATCGAGGAGAGCCAGAAGTAAAACATGGAGGAAGAAAAAGGTGACAAAAAAAAGAAAGGGAAAACAGCAAAACAAACTCCCACCTCACGGTAGGAGAAGAAAAGCCTCTGCGATGGGATTTCATTTTTTTTTAATCCGCTTCGAATTATCGTGTGTGGTTTGGTGAGTCTAAACCAACTCGGCCCCAAATCGTTACAACAAGTTTCCCCCCAACACCAGCTTGACCTGAGGATGACAACCACTATGCCATCCACGCTACTGGATACTTCATGAACGTTGTAAACCAAATTATATCAACGGTGAAAAAAATTTTAGGGGGAAAGGAAGTGATATCGTGAATATAGATGAGATGATACCTTTTACGCGTTTCAAAATGATAGCGTTTATTATTGGAAATATCTCTTTTTTTTTCTGACGATCAAGCTGTTTCTAGAATCGTTGGAAAGTTCTTCACTTGCAGCGAATCAGTAGGAATCTCGTCACCGAAGAAGGTGGACTTCATGGGAAATGATCTATTCATGTGATCTATTTATTTAACCGCTATCTTTCTAAAGATCGGAAGCGTGTCTCGCATCTCGCATGCCGAAGTAAAGAAGAAAATATTGCCCATCCATGGGAATCATGCAACCGAATCTAGACATCCCGCACTTATAAAACGCCATTCATATCCAATCCGCAATAAGTAGCACAAGGGCAGATTTATGCACATATCGGAACGCCCATCTATAGACGATCCAGCAGTCCCTGGCTCTCCAACAACAGCACGATCTCATGAACGGCGTTCCGGACGCTAGTCTTCTCAAGATCAACGGTCAGGTCGGCCTTCTTAGGAGTCTCGTATGGGTCATCGACACCAGTGAAGCCCTTGATCTCGCCTCTGCGCGCTTTGGCGTATATGCCGCGCTTGTCGGTCTTCTCGGCGTGCTCAAGGGAGGTGGCAACGTGGATGAGATAAAAGTCGCCAAACTTCTCGACAAGCTCGCGAGCGTGTTGACGGGCATCCTCATAAGGGGCGATCGGGGCAGCGATGACGGCGGCGCGGGAGCGGGTGAGTTCGGAGGCAACAAAAGCAATGCGGCCGATGTTGCGGGTACGGTCTGCGCGGCTGAAGCCAAGCTCGGAGGAGAGCTCAGCACGCACTGTCTCTCCGAGGAGTAGGGAGACGGAGCGGCCACCTTGCTGGTTGAGGGTTACGTGCAGGGCGCGGGCGATGGCGTCCTTGCCGCTGTTTTGGTAGCCGGTCAGGAAGACAGTGAAGCCCTGCTCATGGCGGGGAGGGTGGGACTCGCGGAGCACCTTGACGACTTCGGGGTAGGAGAACCATTCTGGAATCTCGCGACCAGTGCGCAGACGGTTGCGGAGCTCGGTGCCTGAGATGTCAAGTGTGCGAACACCGGCTGGGACTTCATCATTGGGCCGGTACTCGTCGCTGTCTGGGAGGTAGGTCATCATTTGGAAGGGGACAACTTCGATGCCGAGCTCGTCCTTGTACTTCTCCACGGCGTACTGCGCGTCGTATGGTCCGTAGAATTCCTCGCCCTTGCTGTTCTTTCCTGGGCCGGCGTGATCACGACCAACAATGAAGTGTGTCGCACCAAAGTTCTTGCGAATAATGGCGTGCCAGATGGCCTCGCGAGGGCCACCCATCCGCATAGCGAGGGGGAGGAGACCAAGGACGGCCATTCCATTGGGGTATCTGGGGAGAAGAGCCTGATAAACACGGACTCGGGTGAAGTGATCGATGTCTCCTGGCTTGGTAAGACCAACAACGGGATGAATGAGAACATTGGCTTGGCGAGATCGGGCAGCGCGAACAGTCAATTCCCTGTGAGCTCTGTGCATGGGGTTTCGAGTTTGGAAAGCAACGACCCTTGACCAGCCGAGCTTGTCAAAGTGAAGGCGGAGCTCTGCTGGGGTGTCTGTTTCCAGGCTTAGCGAGACGAATATTCAAGGTCCAGATATAGCTTACATCTGAGAGCAACATAATCGTAGTGTTCCAAGCGGCGGATAGCATCGATCTTTCCTCCTACATAGTATGCTTGGGCAGTGTTGTGCAGGTACTTCACAGCTGGATGATCCGCATCTCCTCCAAAGACTAACTTGGCCTCTTTGGTCCTATTGAATGATCAGTGGAAGTGCCAGCTAGGGTGCCGGCCAATTTCATTTACTTGTCTGGTTTGTAGACATCATCAACAGATATAATGGCAAGGTTGCGGTCGTCACGGAAATCACGAAGAGCGAGTCTGGCCTGTGGCTTGATTCCCAAAGCTTTGATCTGTTCCTCGCTCACATCCAGGGTGATGGGCATAGAAAACAGATTCCCATCTGCTAGTCGGTTGTTTTCAACGACACTGACGCCGGTCAGTTTATGTTTCATATACATATTCACAATTTTCAACTGTACCCATTATAATCCTTCTCGTTCAAAAAACCTGCAGAATCGAAAGTCAGCTTTGCTTTTGGTGTGAGAAAAGACGACAACTGTGGTGAGGGTGTTTCGACCCACGGTAAATAAATTGACGGACGTACCTTCAAGCGGGGAGAAACCCCCACTAAGAATCAATTCGAGATCGCAGAGCTGCCTCTCGCTCAGGACGATCGCCGGCAGAGTCTCAGCCTCCGCATCAAGCTCCTTGTGTCGGGGAAGGTCTCTCGCAAGAAGATCTCTGTGGAGAAGGTCAGCCAGCCGCCCCGAGATGCTTTCTTTGATACCTGGGTGTGCGTATGGGGCTTTCTTTCTTACTTCAGTTCTCCGCCGTGGGGTGAATTTGCCATGATCACAGATGTGTTTTGGGTTGTTGTGAGGGAGGGGAACCAGAGGAGCGATGGGGAAGTGTAGCTATAGGAATTTGAAGGAGAATGAGGAGAGAGACGGAGTAGGGAAAAGAGAAGATGGAGAGAGGCGGCAGAATATTTTTATCGGAGCTTTACTGTAACGGAACTATACTACCTACGGCTTTCTGCCGGCCCTGGATGACGTTGAGCACGCAATTGCACGAGTCGGCGGGGTAGCTTTGGTGGGGCATCCATTCTTTCGTCATAAATACAGCGAAATACAATAATACTTGGTACCTGGAAATGCTCCTCTTCCCTTGCGGTCCGTTGTTGTGATTTGCGAGGAGAGTTCGGGAGAACTAGGTACTCTAGGTACAGTACGGGGTAGGTACTAGTTATATATATTACCGGTATATCTACCAACGTAGACGGAGGAAAGGCCAAGCTCTTGGTCCCTGGGTGTTTATTTTGATGTGCCCTCTGTACACTAAGTAAGCACTACTACTTCGGTACTTACGGCATTGCCATCTCTCAGTGGCTGCTGAGACCTGCATATCAGACTGAGATGTCCATCTCATCTCGTCTCCAGTGGTCGTCTCCAGTGGTCGCTTGTCGTATGAAAGTAAACAAACAAATAAACAAAACAAAACCCCTTTCCCTCTCCTGAATGTGGAGGGTGCCTGGGCTTTTCCCCTGCCAGGCTCGCCAAGGGGTCTTATCTTATCTCCGGAGATCTTTAGAGCCTTGCCCCGAGTCCCGACCCAAGGCCCAAGGCACCGAGGACTGAGGCTCGCCAAGATAAACACTTTAATATTTTGTTCGCCGCAATGCGCTTCTCTTCACTGCCATTCCTCCCTTACCACATAACATCACTCCACGCATCCCGCGATGTCTATCCTATCTGCAGCCAGGGGCGAGAGTGCACAAGCAAGATCCTTGGTATGCGATCCTCTCGCCGTTCTTTTCTCAAGCTTCAGCGTTTGCCACATGTTTTCCAAGCGAAATGTTAATAAAACTTCTATTCCATGTCTGCCCACGAAGATTGCTGACACTACGTGCGCCTTAGTACCGTCAACTATTACGGCAAGGCGAACAGTTTGCGTCATACAACTTCAGAGAGTACGCTAAGCGGAGGACGAAAGATGCATTCAGAGAGCATAAGGATGTCACAGACGAGAGAGAGATCCAGGAGCTGATGCAGAAGGGCTTGAAGGAGTTGCGATCAATGAAGGTACGCTTGGCTGCTGGAACTCCCCTTAGGAGTCTCATGGGAGGGTCGCGGTGTGTAGAAGTGCGGCGCGGGCATATCGTTCGGTCTCTACGGCCGTTGGGCAAGCGGAAATCAGAGAGCCTTGCTGATCCATAATCAAAAGAGACAAACCGTCGTCAGTCAGTTCTTTCAACTGGACAGATTAGTTGTGGAGGGTGGAAAATCGGTAAGGTTACCCCTTCCTCGGAACTGGGCTGCGAAAGATATAGCAAGATGCTGATACTATCGCTACAGGGAAAGCAAGGAGGTCGGAGAAACGATTTAGTCAGACAAAAGGACACTGGGTAAGCTGACGACAGCCTACTTGTGTTGAAGTCTCTAACCGCGACAGATGGGATTGATGTGGATACCTAGGAAGTCAAGGACGCTTAGAAGCTGAGTGAAGGGCAATACCATACTGTAAAGTACAATTGTATCTCTACGCCTGAGGGGCTTAATTAATACCACGCAATCATGGGAAGCCCTACTCAAACAAGTTGTCTGAATGCGAGTGGTGTCAGTGACACGGATCAGCCACCCATCTCTTCTTTGCCTCGAGCATAAAGGTCCTGCGGTTGGTCCAGTTACGCCTGAAGGGACCTGTATGGTATGTTGGCATCGCGAAAAGCGTGAACCTAGCTTAATAGATATAGAAGGTAGGTATACGATGATGTGGCGATAGGGTTAGGAGTCGGTGACGAGTGCAGGTACAGATCTAGCTGTGTCTTTGTCCAGTAACCCATCATTACAGTGTGCATATTTTCGTTCCCTTTTACAGTCTATGTATATATATATATATATATACATGCATATATTTACATATTCGAAGAAATCCCCGTCCTCCGCAAGCTGGGACGTCTCCAGATTACCAAGTTACTGTAATCCACCAGCCTTGTCACCCAGTGCGACGCTAAAACGGCAGGGGTCTGCTTCGCGGCTGCGACTTCAATTGCAAGTCTTTACAGTACAAGTAAACTCGCGACTTCCACCCTCTCTCTACACTTCATACCTACTTTGTACTTCATTCAAACTTCACGCCCACGCGCCTTCTCCAGCAACCGCATCGTTGAATCATACTGCCGTCTCCGCCGTAAGCCAAACCACCCTCCCAATCCATCTCGCCGTCCTGCATTGTTTTCAATCCATTTTTTGGTCTGGTTTGGCTGATTCACACTGCTTCTCACATTGCTACTCCCATCGCAATTCACTATCTCACATCGCTAACCATGAAGTCTGCTCCAGAGGCCAAGATCCCACCAGTCAGGATCATCTTGCGCATCGCAACGCGCCGTCCGGAGCCAGATCGACAAGGGGATAGTTCGGGGACACTTTTGCCCGAACAGAACAAGGCCGGATACCCTACAACATCGGGGAAATCTCTTGAAACTTTGGAATTGATACGGAAGCTCAACGAATCTGCAACGTCGGCTGCGCGGGATAAAGCTGAGCTTGGTGTCACTGGACAATTCACAACTTCGGGGAAGACTCTTCAAACTTTGAAATTGATACGGAAGCTCGACAAATCTGCGAGTTTAGTTGAGCAGGATATCGGTGGCATAGCCCACCCAGGTACAAAAAGGCGGAATCGAGCTGCCTACGTTGAATCGGACGACGAGACGAGTACATACGAAATTTTCCATGCTGTAGAGGTTGAACCTGAAGACCCTGCTGGAAAGATACGGGAAATAAGCGAAGCGAGAGACCTGGACTCGGGAATTGAATTCCTATCTGACAGTCCATCTGTTGATCTCCGAAAGCGAAAAAGGTTTGATTGCCTTGATTCTTCAGACTCAGACCAAGGAGAGTCGCCCACAACGAGGAGGGTTTTTGGGGAAAAGCGTCTCCCAGCGCCTCCCTCAGGTTTCTCTACTACTCTGAGCGAGACGTCTGTCGAATTTCCTGAACCTCTGGAAGAAGACAAAGAAAAGCCATTGCGGAGACCCGGAGAGAAACGCCTCCCGAATCTCGCGTAGAGCTCCTGTGTCACCAGTAAGGCTGTCACTCAGAACTTTCGCTAGTCCTGGGCCCGAGAGCGTGGGGGGAAAAGGGCAGATCAACCTTGACTGGGATTTGTCTTAATCCTCGCGATATCTGCTCATGCATTGTGGTCGAGTTTGTGCGAGCAGAAGAAGCGCGGAGAGAAGAGTCCTGTTTACTTTAGAGCTCATCCCTATCCAAACAATAAACCCCCATTGTATCGTCACAAGATTCGACAATGGCGCCTAGTGCTAGTGTAAGTTTGGTTTTTTCTTCTTCTCAAAGTAAAAGCTTACTTTGAGATTCTAGTATAGAAACGCAAACAGACGGCAGAATCGTCCTGGCCTTGACCATGGCGAATTCGAAGGTATACCGGTTCGTCATTGGAGTCGCGATTATGTGACCGTAGCTCCTCCTCCAAACCAAGACAGTGCGACCAATCAGAATGACATCTGGGCCGTCGAACTGCCTCACGGGATGCCGAAAGACTCGCATCTGTTACCTCAACATAGCCAAGATCTTTTGCGCGCTGCTCGAGCCGGGAAGATATATAAACGTCCAGCTCCTGCAGATGAAGAAGAAGCCGATCCTGAAGCAATCGTTGGTGATAAGCCCGACAAGAAAGATGACGATATACTGGAGAAGGGCTTCACTGTGAAATCGTGGAAACTAACGCCACGTCACCTGGAGGGGCCAGATGTCTCTTACCTAGCCAAAAGAAGGCCAGGTTTAGGTAATGCGTCGTTGAAGTCTTCAGTGCCAGTAGCAACTGTCATCAAAGCCACAGTAAAACGAATCGATGCGGCAGGGAACGAGTATGTGCAAGACGTTGTAGTACCACAGGGTCAGACAGTCGAAGGCGAAGTTCTCTCGCAGACACAGATTCCAGATCCCAACGCACCTGTTGACTTGACGGCTGCACATGCCACGCCTCCGAAACGCAGACCCGCAACCAAAAGGAAGGCCAAAGGGCCTGGACGAGGAAGGAAGAAGAAGCCAGTTGCACCTACCAGTGTCCCACTGGCTACGCCAATCGATGGGTCAGTCCCTAACACATCAACCGAGAGAACGGTTGCTCCTGATGTAAGTTTCAGAATCCTATCCGCGTATTTTCAGAGACTAAGTGTGATGAGGGTGCCAAGAACGAAGGCAGTACTTCGACTCCAACAGTGCAGGAAGACATAGAGATGGGCGATGGCTCACAAGCTAACTCAGACGATGAGGACGGTGACGATGGCGATGAAGGGGATGAGGGTGAGGACGACGAAGCATCTGAGGATATGCAAGACTCGGTATCCAAGGCCGCTCAAGAATCTTCACTCTCCGAACTTTCAGTCCCGTCCATGCCTCCGATCCCGCCGCTTGAACCCGTAGACTCTACTATGGGCGGCACTGAGAGCAATCATGCACCTCCCAAGCTTATGGCGGATAGAGTTGAGGGAAAATCCGGAAGCCCGCTGAGACAAGTAGCAATGACGACTTCAACGGCCGCTTCACCGTTGGAATCTTCCGCAACACCGTTTCAAAATATTGCACCTACCGAAAAATCCGAATCTCTTCCTTCTGTACCTGAAGCAGGGGCACTCAATTCAGAAATGCAGCAACAAGCCTCGGAGACGGCCCCAACAAGCCTGCCCTCACCACCGCCTAAACCTACAATGGCCGAAGTCGAAGCAGCTGTCAATGAACGGCAAGAAGAGGAGGAGGAAGAGCAAATGCTACTTGATATCGCAGATAAAGCGAAGATTGGTACCCCGATATCCGAAGGCCCTCCGGTCTCAGCGGAGAGTGAGCAGGGAGCAAAAGCGACTCCCCCTGAACAAGCGAGCGTGTCCGCGGCGGCAGAAGATGACGACGACGATTATCCCGATCTTCTGGGAGGCCTGGAGGAATCGCTCAAGACGCAGCAGACGAAGGCTGAGACGCCTGCTGCGCCTAAGAGTCCTGAGAAAGTGGTGATTGATGAGGAGGGGAAGGAGGAAGGAGCGAATTCTCAAGATTCGGAGATGTTGCTCTAATGACTCCATGACAACGATGTTTAGCTCATTAGGTACTCTGGCTTTGTACTTTTTTAGGTTGAAAAGGGGCTGGAATTACTGGATACCTGGGTACATTTCCGACAGACTGTGTGCGTATCGTTAATTCTCACGCTCTCAATGATGACTTGAAATTTGTGGAAAGGGTTGTTTTTAGTATCTGTCGTTCATTCATGTGCGTCTCGGGACGTAAAGTAAAGAAGCGTAATCCTGAGAAAAGGCCACCAAACTGCTCGCTCTCCTGCCTGGCCTGACCTCGTCTTCTGTCCCCTAGAAAAAAGATATTCATCATCCTCATCCAATCACCAACGCCAGGTCTCCTGTCAGTCAACTCTTCTCATTCGGCTCGCGTCCAGGTATCATCGAATCAAAGCTTGCACCTCCTCGGCAGTAAATCCAAACACATGCAGCAAATCTAACAAGCTCTCCCCATTTAATCGCGCCTCAGCCTCCATCTGCACCACCGGCTTCGCATTCCACGCCACGCCCAGCCCAGCCGCTTTCATCATCAGCAAATCGTTCGCGCCATCACCTACAGCTACCACCTGCTCCAACGGCGCCTTCTCCTTTTCGGCAATCTCGAGCAGCAGATCCCGCTTTCTATCCGCGTTGACGATTGTACCGACGACTTCGCCAGTCAAAACATTTGTGACAGGGTCCGAGGCTATGGTGTTTGCAAACGCATAGTCGATTCCCAAATCGTCAGCCAACCACTGCGTGAGCGGGATGAAACCGCCTGAAAACACAGCCGTCTTCACACCCATGCGCTTCAGCGCTCTGACTAGCTCTCTCGCCCCCTTGGTCGGCTTTATGACTGTCCTTAACTTGGTGAAGATGTCCGCCTTCACTCCCTTTAACAAGGCAACCCGCTCCTTGAACGAGGCTGAGAAGTCGAGTTCCCCGTTCATGGCACGGGCTGTAATGGCTGAAACTTGCGCTTCAACGCCAATTGAGCCAGCGATTAAGTCGATGACTTCTTGCTCGATGAGCGTGGAGTCCATGTCGAAGACCACAAGCCGTGGATACCGCCGGAGAACAGTATCGTGCTGCAAGATGACATCGACATTCCACTCGCGCTCGAAGCGATATATGAGCTCGTGTTTGCGCAAGTCATCAAGGGTCAGGTAGGCGGGGTCCGGTGTTGGGGAGATGGTAAGTTCGACGATGGAGGGGTGGTCCGAGTTATCGAGGCAGCGGTGGGACGAGGTGAGGAATTCGGAGCCGGGGCGCGTGGGGAGGAAAGAAATAAGGTGTAGGAAGGAGGTTAGACATAATGGGGAAATATAGCTGCCGTATAGGTGGTCGAGCGGCTCTGGGTCTGGTGGGGGCGGCTCGAGGGGGAAGCTGGAGAGAGAGCGCACTGGGGCGAGGTTTGGGGGAATGGTACGGGACTTGTTCGCCGAGGGGGAAGGGGAGCGGTCAGGTGGGTAGTCGGTGATTTTGGCGCGGGGAGCCCGAGTCTTGTAGATGATGGTTGCGATCAGTCTGTCCGAGTGGGTTCCGGCTGCCGGCTGACAGTTGGTATGCGACAGCGTGTGGTTGAGGCCACTATCAACGATTTTCGGAGGGCTCTTGACGTCGGGGACACCATTGAAGGGGTGGATGGGCTTTCGAGCCTCGAGGCGGGTGTTTTGGACACCTTCGACAATACTGTCAATTCCCTGGTGGCCATCTTGCTGTGGGGGTCGGTATTGCTGATGCTCTGAAAGAGTGTATGATCCGGTGCGCATACTGCTGCCCAGGCTAGGACGAGCAAGACGAGCAGTTTCGGCCATGATGGTCGAGAGAGAGGTGCTTTCGGGCAATTTAGAGGATCTCTGCTGATGTTGTTTGTCGATGTTGTGGTGTGGTGTTGTTGAAGGTAGAAGGGAGACAGAAAGACAAGTCGAGGTTGAGCTTTTGCTTGGCCGATATTTTACCCCTCCATCGGCTCGGAGTTGGGACTTGTCCATTTCTAGTCTAGCTTCGAGGTGCCCCTGGATCGACAGCGCTTGCTCAACTCTCTAACGTTTTCGACCTACAGGAGTCTGCCCCTCGGTTTTGTGAACTTCGCTTGAAACCGACTGTCTGACGGTTCATGGATACCTGGGGGAAGTGACTATGTGAGCATTCTGGTAGGTAGGTAGGTAGAAGATACCTTTAGGCGAGATGTGGGCGCCAGCTACTCGGTTGCACTGGCAAGCGACACTGGCTTTCCTTTCAAGGTCGCTTTCAATCAAAGTCCCCTGCCATGCTTTGGAAACGAGACAGACCGTAAAAGCATAATATTCACGAGATGCCCGAAGTGCACTCCTAGTATACAAGGCCGTCCCAAATTTCTAGACCTCTTCGCCGTTTTCCTCGCCGTTTCCACCCAAATAAAGGAAACTATTTCTACGCGGTGGCCTCGCTGCCTTCATTCGCTGGCTTAGCAGCACCGGGATCAGACTTCGCAATATTCTCCTCCTTGATTTCGTCAGTTTTCACCTCAGGCTGAGGGACTGGGCTCTCTTGAACCGCTGGCTCTGGCTTGCCAACTGTGGAGGGATCAATGCCATCAACATCTGGATGCGGAGGTGCAACGGGAGATGCGTCCTGAACTAGTGGATGTTGAGCTGCGTCCTCGGGTTGAGGGATCTCGTTCCCTTGCGCGTCGATCAAACGAGTACGAGTCTCATAACGAGTCTTGAAGCTGACCTTTCCTTCGAGCTCCTTGACTTGCTCGGGATCCAAGAGGTTGCCCTCTTGATCTCTGTACTCGACCTTCTCCTCGCGAGAGATGATACTTTGGCCTGGGACTAACGGGGCGGCAGACAAAGGAGGCTTCTCGGGAGAATCAGGAATGCCTGCTTGTTCTTGCTCAACGATTGGCTTCTGCTCATTCGCCACTGGTGGAGGCGGGACGGCAGCGCTAGTTGGAAGCAGAGGGAAGTCTGTTTTTAAGATATCGGCGTTCGCGTTGATGGATTGAGATGAGTACTGAGAATACTGAGGAGCAGATTAGCGGCGTTTCAGCAAGACTAGACTGGGGATCGGGGTATCTATTACATCGGTGTGGAAGGAGCTGCAGTCCCAGTCCCAAGAATCAAAAAGCTTGACCTTGTTGCAAGCATCTTGAGTCCATGGGTTGCCGTAGGCCAGAGGGGAGTAGAGGCCAAAGGTGACGATGGTCAAAGTCAAGAAGACGACTATGCCGAGACGCCCGACCAATGGGTTCTCACGGAGGCCAATGCCTGGAATGCGAGCAGTAATATGATCGTACATCTGGCAGAGGGCAATGACCGCAAAGTAAAGAGCTGGGAAGTAGTGGTGCAAGAACAATTGACGTTGGAGAAGGTAGAATGGAAAATAGTGGAAAGCCCAGCCAAGGACCATAGTACCAATTTCGTAATCGAATCGCTTGTAGAAAGCGTTGTCGTAGTCTTTGAAGCCTCGTTGCCATCGGAGAACCGCGAAGGCTTTGAAGATGACATACATGACGACTGCAAGGGTAGAGGTCCACCAGACAACTGGGTTGCCGATGAGGTAGATTTGACGGTGGTCCTTGCCCCAAAAATTGATACCACGCTTTAGAGTGGGCCAAGAATCAGGGCGAGAATCCCAAGTATGAGACTCGACCAGTCCGGCGTTAGTTTGGTACATGACTCTTTGCAATTCCCAGAATTTTCCGAAGAAACCGGGGTTTCTGTAGTTGACCTTTTCTGCGTCTGCTCCGAGAAGAGGGTGCTCGTTTTGCTCGACATACCAAACGCTGTTGGGGAGAGTTCCACCTTTGGCGCAGGTAACTTCTTGTTGCTCAGATGCCCACTCGGGAAGCTTGACCTTGTGAGAGAATAGAACGCAGCCAGTCATGATGTGAACGAGCCTAAACTTGGTCTGAATAGTTCGGAGTCTAGCCTTGGCCACATCGCCATCGGACATCTTCTTGATGATCTCAACTCTGAAGTAATCGTTGGCATCACCCTCAAATCCCTCGTAACCGTAAGCGGAAACCTCATTTTGCCAATCAGCCTCGGTGACAGGAGGTCTGACATCGTGGGAATGTAGACGGCGACTGGTGGGTTGGTGGAAGAGCTTGATGGTGTCACCATCCTTGATAAAGGTTGGTGGGCTAAGGGCGTCCCAGGCAAGAGTTCCGTTGATAGGTTGTCCATGAATGTCAAGGGGTTGGGTGATGTTCTCAACAATCCAGATGTTGTTTTCATCCTTGTGGGGGTAAAGTGTGATTTGTTGTTGCTTACTTCCGCCGGGGTACATAAGGTTGTGCGAGTGCAGGTAGCCTCCCTGGGTTTCGTGGTGCCTGATGGTCACTCGGCTACCAAACGCAACATCGACGGGAACGTCTTGCATGGCCTTAGAGTTGAGAGTAGCCTGGAACTCGGAGCTCATGAATCCGTCTCCATCACCTGGGTTGACCAAGCAGAGAAAGTGGATTCCAAACATTCCCATGTAGAAGGTGGTTGGGATGACAATGAGGCAGAAGATTCTTGATACCACATGCTTGGCGAAAAGACGCTACAAAGATCAGCACAATCCCGCTCTGGGATACTTTAAAACTTACAGGGGTAACTGTCTTCACGTCTCCAAGCAAAACCCAGAGTTGCAATACGGTCAAGGCACCAACCCATGCGATTGTAAGAAATCCAACCCATTTGACACTGGCTGTTGCACCTAATCCAAGGCCAGTCATGGCAAGCCAGAACCACCAACTTGGCTGGAAAGCCTTCGTAGGACCTTGCTCATGTTGGTTGGTGAAAGATGTGAATGCCAATCCGGTGAAGGCTGTGAAGATCATAAGGGGGGAGTCAAGAAGGATCAATCGTGCTTGGGTAAGAAGGCCATTCTCTGTATAGAATTAGCAATTGTGCGCCAAATACACGTATGGTTCCCTACCAAAGACAATCAACAAGGCACCCATGAACGCAGTCCAAGTTCTGCATCCAGCAGCTTTCAAAGTCAAGAAGATAGTCGGGACCAAGAGAATACCGCACACAGCAGGCAATAACCGCATTGCGACGTATGGTACACCCGGCTCGACGTAGTCCTTTCCAATGTCCTTGAAGTCGAATTCTCCATCAAAGCCAGCCAACCATCCAGCGAGAGTGAGAAGGAGTTTTGCAAGCGGCGGGTGTACATCCATAAAGAACCTGCCCTTGATATATTTCGATGCGAATCCACCAAAGCTATTTAATTCGTCAGCACCTACTGAATAGTTGCAGCAACAGCAGCAGAGAGCCTACTGGACTTCGTCAAACACCACACTGCTGGGCTGGTATATTCTGAACAACCTGACAATGGCAGCCAGCACGGTAACGAAGATCATGACCTGGTAGTCGGTGCCCGGCAGGAGAAAGATGTCATTGTCCGAGACGCCCTCGGAGGTGTAGTCGTCTGGCTTCTTGACGATCACCTGGGACGACTGGGCGCGTTGGACCTTCGCATTGCCGTCCACACCTCCTTTCGCAGAACGAGCCATGTTGGCAGATGTTTTGATGAGATAGACGTTGGTGGTTGGTAGGTCGGATGAGGGAGAAGGGAGGAGGGAGGAGGGCGTTTTCTCCCAAGATCAGAAGCGTAGTCCCGACACGAGCGAGTCAAATAAACCAAGGACAATTCTCTGAATGTAAGTCAAGAAGAAGGTCGCGACAGACTATTAAAGGTGCAGCATCGCAGGTGAAGAATGTTCAAGCCTGGTGGGTGGGTCGAGGTGGGAAGGACGTGGAAAAGGAGAAAACGTCGAGCCCGCATCCCTTTGGTCATTTCATGAAGCCAGATATTCGGCCGCGAAAGTTGACGGGTCTAGCTGCAAGCCCCAATAGAGAAAAAGTTCACTTTGGGGAGTCCACCACGCGATATAAATAATATTCTTTGCAAGATTTGCTTGATTGAAACATGCCTGCTCAGCATATATCTATTTCCATTGATTTCCCCACGATAACGCGTCAAAACAGAGTTCCGATCGAAGCCCTTTCTCGAGCTCGACTCTTATTTTTGGAGTCTCGGCTCAATGTAGTCAAGCGCGGGCGGGAGCTAAGGGATGAGGCTGAGGCTGAGAGCTGCCTCCAAAGATAGCAAATGCAAGGTGTAGCGGGATAATGTGTTTTGAAATTCTGAAAAGCCCCAATATTGAAAGGTTCCAAATTAGAATCGATGATTCGAGGAGAGAATGAAGAGTCAGATATTGGAAGGCCGGCTCTTAGGATATGAAGGTTTTTGGAGCATGTAGCTGTAGCATAGAGTTATTAGGTACTCACAGTACAGTAAGTAGTATCAGTATTCATGCGACAAAAAAAAAGACCGTCACTAGCGATTTCCTTCTGGTGTAAAGCGATTTCGCATGTGCCCTTATCTACTATACAACATGCCATGGTGAACCATTCTATCGACCTCCCTCTCTGCCGTCTCTGCCCTCTCTGCCCTCTCTGCCCTCTCTCCTAGAATTCGTCCTTGCCCCATTTGTTGTACTTGTCATGCAGCACCTGTTAAGAAGGTTAGCATGATTTCTCCATGGGCTGCCGGACGTTGGACAATCAAGGCCTCTTTCTCCACCACACATGTACGAAACCTTCCAAAGGAAAAGTACCACGCAACCGCCGTAGCTGTCAATCAATTCTCACTCGAGAATCGTCTTCTGTTCCCGGCATCTTAGGCACCGTCCCTCAATAGACCTTCATTTTTCCATGTTCTCTCCATGTCCCCAACTTTCGGTCCTATCCGCTGATATCCCAGACATACGCTCCATACACTAGAAGAAAATCGAAGCCGAGATTCCGTACCTTGGGCAAGTTGACGTTGGGGACAATGACGCTGTGCAGAGCACTCGGGGCGTCCTTAGGAGGATTCTTTGGGTCTGCACCGGGGTGGTATTTGTACTTGTACTCGCCTCTCGCCTTGTCTCCCTCGGTCACTTCTTGCTGCCATGGCATGCTTCCCTCGGCAATGCTCACTTTCGCTTCGGAGGTCGAGGATGTTGGCTTGCGGCCTGCAGGGCGGTCAATTAGGCCGGTCCCGACTAAACACACGCAGGAGAAGCAAGAAATGTACCAAAGTAGTATCCAGCAAGACCCAAAGCTCCAGTCATGATGCCACCGAGGATCTGGAGGGCGCAGGTTAGTCAATGTCGTGCGTTTGCGCTGCGTGACTTCGTACGAAGAGTTCGGGATCCCGCTTTGCTCCCTTTTTAAGGACGTCGGTTTCAGCGCCCTTGGCTGCCTTGGCTGCTTGAGCAGCTGCTCTCATGATTGTTGGTCTCATGGTGTCTAGTGCGTTGATAAATTGGTGGTGGTCTGGTTTGGAGGAGTGGCGTTCAAGATGTTCATCGGCAGGGTCCGGGAGAGAAGAGAAGCGCTGGTCATATGAATCCGCATCCGGGGTCACGGGTTTAGGTGGGGCGACCAACTGTACTCGCAGTGGGTTTTTGTTCACATCAACATCGAATCGTTGACCGTTGGGTGTTTTTTTTGGGTACTCCATTGATAGAGAACCCAAGGATTTTACGTCTCGGTGTCACCCGTACACGATTTAATTTTTGGTTTGGCCATTATTTGTACGACCAACAGCACTTCCAAGTTCCACGCGCGAAGAACCACTCCTCATTCCAGAGCCAGCCAGTCCACGGAGTTCTTGATGGTCTGAGGTCGGTGAGGTAAGCAAGGCAAAGAGCCGTTGTTCTGGCTCTGTTCCCTCATCCAATCGGTACTCTTGTAGCAAATGTACTCTAGATGAACTCTGAATGAACTCCAGATGAAGTCCAGATGAAGTCCAGATGAACTCCAGATGAAACCTCATCCCATTTGCCTTACAAACATTGCTGGGCGGTCCGATGTCCGTCCGTAGGTACGTAGTAATGAATATTTACCGGGGTGGGTCGACTTCTAGAAGAAGCTTGCCTATGCAGCTAGTCAACTGTGATACGTAGGTAGTACTTAGTACTACTTAAGTAGCGGGTAGTGGATTCATGCAAGTAGCTTTCTCCGTAGGTACTACGTAAGTAGTTGTAGGTTGGTGCGGAGAAAGTACGTAAGGCTTTGGTACCGATATCATGTAGACCTACCTAGGTATATATATCTTATCTATATATTACGTGGATACAAAGTAGGATAAATTATAATATAGAGTTTATGTTGATCTCTCTTCGTCCGGATAAACTGGAAAACTCACCCGTAGATATGACTGAAGTGAAGCTTCTAGAGTCCTTCTAGCCGCTCTACAATAAACAAACAGTACTCACCTCCTTCGGATGGGCTCCCCACTGTGGGTATGAGTGGTTATGGATGCTAATAATCATCAAAAATGAAAGAATGAAAATTAGAAGAATGTTGAAATTAACACCTTACCTAAACTTACCTACTGTAAATGCAAACCAGAATTATCGCCTGGATCGCAATCCCTTGGCCCCGGCACGAAAGAATGGTCCATGCCTACTACCGGTAGGTAGGTAGGGCCATGGCTATGGCCACGGCCACGGCCCCTTTGGCAACTACGAATTTGAATTTGTCCGTCCGAAAAAAACTCAGACACTCACCCACCTCCTGCATCGCACCCACACACTCCTTTCATTCCAACCTCACTTACCAATTAATAATACTCTGCTCTACTCTTCTCCACTCGACTCGATTCTGCTTCACTCCCTCGAATCCACTCCTCCGCTTCCAAAGAACCCGTTCTCTGTCGATCCAGGCGGGTCCAGCGCCGTTCCTGGCCGTTGCGCTTCCTCCGAAATATTTACTTTCATCTCCCTTACAACGCGCTAGCCCCCGACAACACAATACGATACGATACGATACGACACCAGCCAGACACACACTTCGACTTCACCCACAACCTTCCTCTTCGCGCGTTCGGACGGTCTGGGGGCTGAGGCATGTTATGTATGAGAAATTAAGTTGGCAGTTTTGAGGAGCAGTTTAGTCCTCTCCAGCCGCAGAGATGACATCGCGAGGCAGTACATCGACTTTTCCACAACCTCCGAGGATCGACCAACCCAGCCAGCCCGAGATGGAGGACGAGGAGAGCATGCTTTCATCACGCATGACGGACATTGTCTCGGAGGATGGACGAGAACAGCCGACAGAGCAGTCGATTGCTTCGAGACCAAATACCGACGCCACGGGAGTCTCCCAGCGAGGCGCATGGCCGCAGAAACCATCTTCTCGGCGGGCATATGCTCCTTCTCACAGTCAACGAGGGAGTGTTTCTACAACAGGAGGGGCGAGGCCACCAAGCGCCAGGTCTCATGTGCCATCACTCACCTCGCATGCCTTCTTTCGACCCATGAGTTCACAACGTTTACAGGCGCATCGGGGAGGAGCGCGACCACCGACTTTGACGCAACCGAGCGTGAGCGCGGGGGTATCTTTTGAAGGAGGGATAAGGAGCAGCGTCAATTCCAATCAGACGGCCAGGCCATATGATCAAGATGGTCCACCACCGCCGTCGAGAGGGACAGAAATGACAGAGCAAGAGACCGTGGACAGATATAGGGCCAACGCAAGTCCTTCTCAGGGTTATACTACTGCTGGGAGCTTGACAGACAGTGTACAGCCATTGCAACGAAATCCCGCTAATTCGAAGGGGCTCACTGTGAATGTCGACCAGGGTTACAAGCCTGCGAATGGGCTTGCAGCTGTTGCAGTTGCAAATCCCTCCAAGTCTCCCCGTTCTTTTCGCTCTAGCTTTCTGCTACCTACGCGAAATGAGACGGCCTCGGGAAGCCCGAATCGAGGTATGCCGGGGAGGGAAAAATTATCCTCAATTGTATCTTCACCTGGTTTGACGCCAGTCGACCCACCGAAAGAACTTCCCAATAATATGAACCATGGGAGCAATTACGAGTATTTCACAGGAAACACGGTCTTCTTCTGGGGAGGAAGGTTACAAAACACTCGAAGTCGGCCTATCAACATAGCTACGGGTCTTATGTTCATCATCCCCGGCGCCCTCTTTTTTGTATTTTCCGCGTCTTGGTTATGGCACAACATCTCGCCATCGATACCCATCATCTTCGCATACCTCTACTACCTCGCCATGTCTTCTTTCATCCACGCCTCGCTATCTGATCCTGGAGTGAGTAGAACCTTCTGGATAATCAGCTCATGCTAACATTTCCAGATTCTGCCCCGGAACCTGCACCCCATGCCACCTCCTGACGAGAACGAGGATCCTCTTCGGCTTGCTCCTCCAACCAACGACTGGACCATGATCAAGTCAGCACAGTCGTCTACGGCAGCAATGGAAGTGCCTACTAAATACTGCAAGACTTGCAACATCTGGCGGCCAGCTCGAGGCCATCATTGTCGTGTCTGTGATAACTGCATCGAAACTCAGGATCATCACTGTGTCTGGATCAATAACTGCGTAGGCCGACGCAACTACCGATATTTCTTCACATTCGTCTTGTCTGGTACCCTGGTAGGCCTCTGCCTCATCGCTGCCAGTCTCGCTCAAATCATTGTCTACATGGACCGCCAAGATATTTCTTTTGGCGCCGCCATCGACCACTTCAGAGTCCCGTTCGCAATGGTGATTTATGGCGCCGTTGGCACGCCCTACCTGCTAGCATTGACTGTGTACCATCTCTTCTTGATGGGCCGCGGTGAGACCACCAGGGAATATCTTAACTCCCACAAGTTCCTCAAGAAAGACCGCCACAGACCTTTCACCCAAGGCAACATCATCAAGAACTGGCTTGTCGTCTTATGCAGGCCTCGGCCGCCGACCTACCTCAGATTCAAGCAGAAGTACGAAGATGGCGATCAGCGACTCGGTGAGAGGAAAGGGAAGCGAACGGCTCCGCTGAAGGACGAAGTGCAGGGTAAGGGCGTGGCGATGGAGATGCAGAATGTGCCTCCGAATATCGGGTTTCAAGGCCCCATGGCGTTGAGAGAGGACGATATATAAGAATTGTAATGTTTCGTAATTTTTGTTTGTGTGCGGTACATTCTAGCGATCGATTCTGGCTGGTTTCTCATCCACAGATTGGGTGTGAGTTTAGGGGGAGGGAGGGGAACTGCTTGAATACTTGGTAGTAATATTGCTCTTTCATTCTCTTCTTTTCATTGGGGGCAGGGACGATATTATAGCTTGGGTAATGTGTTTCTTATGACATTCTGAGAGCCTGTCCAGCGGCCCGCCCGACTTTCTTGGTATCGTAGGCGAAGATAGGACGGTGGCCCGATGACAGAGGGGGGGGGAGGTGGGGGGAGAGGGGGAGAGGGGGTGGGGGGGGAGAGAGGGTGGATGGCATTGTTTATAGGTGTGCTGCTCGTTGTGATATAGATATACCCGTACTCTTTACTGTACAATGTGGCACGACTTTGCTTTCCAAAATCTTCCTTGGAGAATGATACTCGTCTTTTCGTCACCCTATCTTTTTTCTTTCTTTTCTTCTTTTTTCCACTGCTCTACCCTTCATCATTCTTTTCTCAACTAATGCTACCGGGTTGCTGGATGGAGTAAGAACCGCAAGTGGCTGCGATTTTCTCAAAAGGTATATTGTTTTTAAATATGCATACGTAGGCGGAGCGCAGAAGGTGAAGGTCGCTTGCTTGCTTGCTTGCTTGTTTGCTTTACCTTTTTGTTTTTTCGCTTGCTGTAGAAGTAGGTTTTCGAACGTCGGATTCTTGCAGAGTGTTGGTGGTACGTTTGGTACCGACGAAAAGGGTTGGGATTTGCGATATACCTACGAGGACGACGACGATAGCATAAGCGTGAAATCAGTTGCGTCCATGCTTACGTTTTCGTCCGGGTCCCTTTCTGTTCTTCTGTTTTTGTTTGCGCAGACTCTTGTTCGATGGCGTGGTTGGTAGGTACCTAGGTAGGCAAGTAAGCATAACTGGTTGACGGCATTTCCGGACGTCGTCGATAGTAACACTGCGAGTAGTCTTTGGCTTGGTACTCATCAACCTGTAGCTTGGCTATGTCGAGCGGATACTTCTTGTTATGTATGTGTGTGTGTGCTCTGCTAAGTGGTGTAGCGACGTCGGACGTAGGCATTACTATGGCTTAGATGCGCCGGGGTGCTGCAAGTTCACGCCACCTGAATGGCCTGCATCCAGGCCTTCGTTGTAATTACTATCGAGGTCCATTGTGCCGACATGGTAGCAAGAGTTATCGTCGAAGTCCAAGGCGGGCTGGAAATTGATCGAAAGATCCGTTGCCCACGTGTCCACAGGCTTGAGGAAGTTTCCGAGTGAGGTGCAAGTGGTGCTGGCGAGGACTACCACGGCGTAGAGTGGTGGTGACTTCACGGGGACGTTTGGATGAATGAGTTGAATCCGGGGAGAGACAAGTGTCTATAGTAGAACTCGGAGGCCTCTGATTGTCAAGTCCGAGAATGATGTGAAAAATGAAAGATTTCAGAGCGAAGAGCTACGGAAGTACTTATCCTTCAACCTTTGCAGCTCTTTTTCAACCCCTCGACTTGTACATCAATCGAATCAATCGCCATGGAATCGTATAATGCCGACGATGTCATTTGCGGGAGAGGAGTGTTGCTTGGGCTCATTGTTGCGAGTAACGTAACCACTAGAATCTGGAACTATATTGTAAGCACAATGTACATTGGTAGATATTACCAGATATCTGGTTACGATCACGAAGACTGAGCTGTGGTGCCATGGAGCCAATGCTGAGTCCACTTTCTGAGAAGACTTGGATAGTCGAGATGTAACAATCAGATCATATTCATAGAAAGTGGTGTTGAAAATCAGCCGAGATGTGACTTTATCCTATATTACTTTGGAGCAACTTCGATAAGCCATAGAAAGCTGTGTATAGTAACGACCCTTGCTGGAAGTTGCGGTATAGGATCGGTCACTGACGGGTAACTGTATACTTGGGCAGGTATATCAACACGATAACCGAGAAATAACGGTTAGAAAATTGTAGAGGTTTCAGACGCGATCGTGTCACAGCTGTATTCTGAGGCCCCTTCGTTGCGCTACAGTATCAGACGTACGAAAATAAGATCGTGTTTGCAGAGAGTGGAGGGGAAAATCATAAGAAGAAAATCATACGACATGAAAATCATACGAGATGTTGCTTTTTCTAGCATCACTTTGGAGCGATTTCGGCGACCCCGAGAAAGGTGTATGACAACGACCTCGGAGCCAGCGAGTCGTTCTTGATATCTACCTTAGCTTTGGAACGGCTGCGGCATGGAGGAAGGAGAGGATCGAGAGCAGGAGAAGAGGATGGAGATTCAGAAGGTGGGATTTTTGTGTATTTTGTATATTCATCAGTTATATTTTCAGCGCTTTTTATTGACGAAGAAAGATAACGCAAAAAGGAGACAGCATGATTCAATAAGATGTCATAGATACAGGGACAGATATCTTCTCGTCTCAAACGATTTACCGTTTTAGTAAGCTGTAGAATATCAAAAAAAAAAAGTGACTGCCGCCAACTGACGTTGGACGTTGGACTATTACTTGTTAGCGTCGGAAGATTCTCGGGTTAAAATTTTTACTGCCAATATAACACCGTCCGAAGCGCCGACGCATATCAAGTAAATAGGACAGATGGTAAGAGTCTCCCATGCCTCATTCCGTAATATAATTCTAACATAGAACAGGCCGAGCTGGTTATGGCGCCAGGTTAAGGTTTCCTTAGCAACAATCTCCTGGTCACGAAAGTGGCGTGGGTTCGAGTCCCACTCTGTTCATGGTTTTGTTTTTGTCGTTTTTCTTTTTGTCGTTTTTCTCTGCCTTTCTGATCATATCCGCGTGTCTAGATCGTCATTTTTGGCCTCAGAATACTGGATGAAAATTTGTGGTTGTGGGCTGCTATGTTCTCGGTTAGCCGGCGCTAGCGCCTTGATCACCAAGAATGCCGGTATATTATCACAAGTGTGACAAGCACATCTCTCCCTATGTCACTCACTGCGCCATTCTTTCTTTTTGAGACACGAAACATCGCGTTCAATTGGAATCCATTTGCGGAAGTATTGCGTCCAGTTATTATACTCCATGCATGCCAGTGACTTCTCAGCTGGACGGGGCTTCTTGACATTTTATATGCCGAGCTTTGAGAAGCTATGGTGACTCGTAAGTGATGGCTAATAAGGTGATCAAATTTGCTGAATCTTGTGATCCTACTTAATTTTCATTCTGCGACTTTCTCACCTGGCTAAGATGAAAAATTTGGCGTTTAACCGTTGATCTCCAGAGCCCAGGTCAGATTGCTATGAACACACATATATATACCCGTATATATGGATTCTGAAATCCGACGACGATAGCGAGTATTAAATCGCACTCGGTGGTGACCCATTTCAGATTTTATTTTGACCTATAAATACAACGATCTTCATATCGGGTACTGCCATGCTTTCTGGTATTGCTACTGGGTCTGGTTGATGGCTTCTCTGTTGGCAAGTATGCAATGATGGAAGTCCAAATTCTCGGGCTTGAACCTTTCGACTCTGAATAACGGAGGCTGGTCTCAGCTTCTATACATCCTACACCGAGTCTCTGTTGTATTTGGAAGCCCAGGCGGGGTTATTTCCTCGGGGGAATGTAGAGATATTCAGCCGGAGAGAAACCTCTTTGGGAGGACTCGACTCCGCTTACCGAACATGGATCGGTAAACAGTCCTGAAAATAGAAGCTTTCCTAAAGATAGCAGACGGAAAAAATATCTAGTCGTTAGGCTTATATTGGAAGAGGGTGAAGATATCAGATCCCTAGTGAATACGGCAGGCGAAACGCCAGAACGATAACTCCTAGGGAAAGGGTTCTCAAAGCTTACGAATTCAAGATTATTAATGTTGAAATATTTGGCGATTATGAAAGAAGAATGCAAGTTCTTATTTTAGAGTACCTCCAAAACCACTGCTGTGGACAATCCACCTTTCATACGAGCTGGTCGTCTCTTTGCTACAGTCGGGCCTGAACGATTCTCAATCATATAGGAACTTCAGAGTCTCGACTGACAGGCATCGGAGAACTATGAGAGCAGAAGCCAGTCGACGTTGTGTTGTCTCTGGTCCAGCACTCTCTTCCCAATTACAGCCCACCCCGCTGAATCGACAACTCAGATTTGTGGCAAAGTCCCCAGACGACTTGTTATCATTACGCGCTAGCTCTCTGAATAATTTGAGATCATGGCGTGAGTTTTTGACTATAATGTCGCATCATGAGCTGCAACGTTGTTGAAGTGACGAGTTGGTGCTGGGGTCGATACTCGAAGACCTCATCTCAACACCAAAAAATTCCACACCACGCCGAAGAGGCTCTCATGAAGCTCAAAGAGCTAGGCCGAAATGGCACGAAATTTCTCGAAACCGGCATGGTGCTATACTCCGTATGAAGCAAATTGGGATCCCTGATAGGAGGATATGATATGCTCAGGGGTAAAAGCCGCACTTACCGAACGTCGTGACTTGCTTGATAGTGACCAAGGACGCTGATTTCGCTCCCGCTACACATCCAACAGTAACGCCCCGGAACTTCTCACCTCAATTCAAGCTGGTGGGGAGCGACCGTGGATTGTTGACAGAGAGGCTGACAGGTTGCAGCTTCCGGGTCATGAGAGAAGTGTCCGATTAGCTACATTCCGGAAACTCCACTTGTGAACAATCTCTCCAAGGCTACAGAGTAGATGTTTAAGCTTGATTACTTCTACAAAGAATTGCTAGGGGCCGAGCTTGCTGAGTATAGAATGGCCGGAGTTGTGATGTCCTTTTCCAGAAAGTTCTGGCAAGGTCGGCAGGGTTCAGGACCAGCAAATAATCGAGCGTGGCGGCGTAGTCAAAACTCGCAGTATCAGTCCAGGCCACCTCTACAGAGACATTTGGCTGTTCAATTCGTTACTCCGACATTAGATTATGACTTTAGGCACCAATACGGAAGTAATGTGCAAGTGTCGTGGCTTGTGACGGAGGGCGCCAAATTGAGGATTCAAATTTCCACCTTCGAAACAGATAGGTATTAGGAACGGTAAAATCGCCAGATATGATTAATTCCTGGCGTCTGTGACCGCGGTACGAAGTAGTGGTAATATCAAGCTATTGGAGTAAGAGATCGTTGGAGCCAAGTGTGTATCGTTTTCATGATGCCGGCCTCCGCCATACCCGGACACGAGATTTGATAACAGAACACCTTATGCATCACAAACCTATGTGCCAAACCATAGCCCTACATTTAAAGGCAGAACGAAGCTTGGATATTGGAAACAGTTATGAGTCGACAATAAGAAAGTTGTGAATCATTACGGAGCTCGATACAGCGCTCCGGCAGGCGTATCTTTCGCAAGACAGCTATGATATAGCAAACACCTAAGCCACGGCATTGCTAACAGCAGCTGTGTTGTCAGCAAAGTCAGAACTGTACTACCGTAATCAGCAAAGATCAGGATCAGGATCAGGATCATAAAGGTCGATAATCAATGAGCTATGAAATATATATCTACTCTGAAAGACCCCCTTAGCAGAGGCTTGAAAGGGTGAGGTCAGCAATATGTCTGGCCAAGTAGAAATAGATTATAAGGTGAGAGACCTGTTTCGTCAAGGCACGCGTCCTGCGAAATTAGGCTTCTCCTATTCGTCTAAATGGTGAGGAGGCGTTTTTAACTACTGTACTTACGGTCCTTACTTAACTCAAACTCCGACACGATCCTTTGCAATTTTCTTCCCCGCCGACAACACCAAATCACTTATTTTCCTGCTACGCTGCACAGCAGCAGCACCAGGTGCTCTTTCTTGCTAACATTTCTACGAGCTCTATTTACGGCGCATAACTGTGAAGAAAGCATCCACTATCGGCTCCGCCCCGTCTGACGAGCTTGCAGCTGTCGGCCGTCTGTTCACCTTCAACCGAGCTCGCTTTCCACCCCTACCTCGCGTTGCGTTCCTCACCTAACAACATCTGGGTCTCAAGAACGCGACAACCTCCAACCCCGAACCTCAACTTCGCGATGGCTTCTACCTCTATGGTCGGTCTAAATTCTCCACCGCAACCTGCCGATCATACCTTAGCAATGGCTCGCGCTTCTTCTGCCGACTCAGCTCTTAGCGTCATCACCGTCGGCGACTCCTCGACAAACGCGCTCTCTTCCTCAGCCTCCTCCTCCTCCTCCCCCCCGACAAGTATTGGTGACTGTGCGAGCATATCATCAGCTTCCATGGGGCCGGAAAATACCATACCGATGCCTACGCCAGAGACCGGCCGCAGCCGACGCCAGCGCACCAATGTGACTACATACAATGTAAAGGTCCTCACTGGCACGGCGATTCATGCGCCAAAGAAGTTCAGCAAGGACCCGAAAGTAATTGAAGAGCTAGCGCGCCGAAAGACAATTTCGGGGGACACACTTCTCAGAGGTTCAGCCTCAGCAAGACGTCCTAGCGATGCAATTGAAAAAGATGAGGGCCAAACGGTCAGCAAAGGCATTGATGCACTCGACTTGCAACTGTCTAAGAAGGCCTTGCCTAAACCCAAAAGCCAGATGAGCCCCCCAAGCAGTCCAAAGAAGACCAAAAAACAACTGGACCTCGAGCGACGAAAATCTACTCGATCCGCAGCTGGAGAGGTCCTGGGGAGCCTCACCAAGAGTGTTAGTGTTTTGGGAAAGCGAGGTCGGCAGGTGGTGGAAGACACTATGCCTTCAACGAGGGCTCAGCGGGAGCTCCGTAACCTGGCAGATACCAAAGAATACGCCAAGATCGACACTGATCCTGTCATTCTCGAGGTGTGGAGCAATGGTAAACTGGTCAAGCCCGAGACTGCGAGAGAGAAGAAAAAGAGAGAGAAAGCCGAGGCTGAGAAGGAGGCCGCTGCGAAGGTCAAGGATATCGTTGAACCGCCCGTTGAGCAGAAGCCCAATCCTTCGAGTAAGAAGCGGAAGGTGTATCTCTCCAAGGGTCTGTATGCTGGACAGGAGCGGGATATCGGCATATTCGACTGGTTCAAGGGCTCATCCCGGAGACTAAGAGAGGAAATGGAGAATGTGGCACCGTTCCGTCCCAACGGTTTCATGCCGTTGCCAATGTGGCATGGCCAGCGATTGTTGCAGGTTGGCCGTGACTTCAAGTTGCCATTCGACGTTTGCTCTCCCCTCCCACCCGGTCAGCCAAAACCAGATGAGTGGAGAAAGACTTCGAGCAGTTAGTAATTCCTTGGTCAGAGTTCTGGAACATGCTAACACTTTCCTAAAGACCGTTTCGTTGGTGAGGCCGGTGCTATGTGGAAGAATTCCAAACTTTTCGACAGCTGCGACTCAAAGTGTGTTTGCAAGCCAGAAGAAGGATGTGATGAGGATTGCATGAACAGAACCATGCTCTACGAATGTGACGATGGCAACTGTGCTTCCGGACGTGACAGATGCACGAATCGTGCTTTTGCTGACCTGCAAGAGCGACGCAAGGCCGGTGGTAAATACAGAATCGGTGTTGAGGTCATCAAGACAGCTGATCGCGGTTATGGTGTTCGCAGCAACCGTTGCTTTGAGGCCAACCAAATTATTGTTGAATACACAGGCGAGATCATCACTGAAGAAGAATGTGACCGCCGCATGAACGAAGATTATAAGAACAATGAGGTAGGATCTCCTCTCTCTAAATCATAACCACGCTGACATTTTCCAGTGCTACTACTTGATGTCCTTCGATCAGAACATGATCATCGATGCTACTAAGGGAAGTATCGCTCGTTTCGTCAACCATTCCTGCAATCCGAACTGCAAGATGGTCAAGTGGATCGTTGGTGGCAAGCCACGTATGGCCCTCTTTGCTGGAGACAATCCCATCATGACTGGAGACGAGTTGACCTACGACTATAACTTTGACCCCTTCTCTGCCAAAAACGTTCAAGAATGCCGTTGTGGCAGCAGCAACTGCCGTGGTTTCCTAGGACCGAAGCCAAAGCCGAACGCCAAGGAGCCGAAGGTTTACAAGGAACTTAAGGATAACTTCAAGGCTGGTGTCAAGGCTGGTGTCAAGGCGGTAAAGAGAAAGCTCAACGAATTGCTCGGTGGCGACGATACGGATGATGCCGAGGAGCATAGCCCAAAGAAGCGAAAGATGAAGACTGCGACCGGAGTCAAGGGATCGGCCCCCAGTGCTAGTATGAAAATGGCCAAGAATGCGGGCAAATCTGTCAAGAAGAGTGTCTCCAGCCAGCTCCTCAATGCTCGCAACGCGGTGGGCAGTAAGCGTGTCATTAAAAAGACGATGAAGGCCAAGTCTCTGAAGACATACGGCAACCGCAAGAGCACAATCTCCGTCTCGAGAAATTCCAGCATGACTATGGTTGAAACAGAAAGCAGCCCTCGAAGTGGAAAGAAGGCGAGCCCTCCGAAGAAGAGTGTAGGAAAGATGGCTAGGAAGAGTGTACGTGGTGGGAAGGGGGCATCTCGCGATGACGGCGATGGTACGATTGGAGTTGTGAGTGGAGATGAAGCATAGGCTTCTTTACATCAGGGGCACTGGGGAACGGGGGGACATAGGTGACAACAGGCGTTTGAGGAGTATGTTGCAAGCTTTCTGATTTCCTTGCGCGTCCTCAATGGGAGCCTGTGTATGGGTATCTACCTGATTCCTTCAGCCGGTGTTGAGCATGGAGTTCTCGAATGTGGCGCTGGGGAACACTTCTGAGCTTGATTTCTGAGCGTACTCTAGCTAGTTTGGTACAATAAAAATCTTTCTAGTTTTCTATACCATGTTTCGATGATCTCTGAAATTGGTTGCCATATGGACGTTAATCCCATAATCCATGCTCCGTTTCCCCACAAACTTCCAGGAGTTCGAAGCGACGCTTAAGCGACCCCTTTTTCCCGGGTCAAGTGGGGCCATTATTCCCGCTACCGAAATATTTCATTCATACGCGCCAAAGTCGTCATACATCTCGAGTATACCGGTAATTCTCAGCTACAATACTCCACCATCGCAACTACAAATCACTGTTCGCCTCTATTCCTGGACACTCTACCCGTCTGACACACCTTTAATCACTAATATTCCTTCTCTCGGTCTCTGGAGAACCCAGCGTTCTCACTCTCTCCCTTCATGAATACCACATCGAGTTCAGAGCAGCAGATTTCTTCGGCGCCTACACAGCTTCTGCAGTCGCGTGAGACGGGGGACCTGGGGCCTCCGCAGACCAGATATGCGGCTTCGTTAGCGACGAAGCCTGCGCCCGTGGCAAAGTCGTGGGCGCATTTTGTCGCCGGGGGGTACGCCTCCGCTCACCAACCCTCCTACACCTGAGAGAATACTGACACTGTTTGGGTAGCGTAGGAGGAATGAGCGCAGCAGCGCTGACTGCACCCCTCGATGTCCTCAAGACGCGTCTCCAGTCCGATTTCTACCAGGCGCAGCTCGCGCAAACCCGACTCGCAAAGGGCATCTCGCCGCACGCACATCTCTCCGCCGTCCGCAGCGGCCTGCTACATTTCCGCGAGACGTTTCAGATACTAGGTTCGGTGCATAGGATCGAGGGCTGGAGGGCGCTGTTCAAGGGTTTGGGACCGAACCTGGTTGGCGTGGTTCCCGCGCGGTCCATCAATTTCTTCGTGGTCGGGAACGGGAAGAGGATTATTGCAGACTATGGGAATAATGGGAAGGAGTCTGCTTGGGTGGTTCTTTGTGCTGCAGCAGCGGCTGGTATAGTCACTTCGACGGTCACAAATCCCATTTGGCTGATCAAGACGAGGTTACAGCTGGACAAGACCGTGGTGGAGAGGACGGGTGGCGTGGCCCAGAGGAGGTACAAGAACTCCTGGGACTGTATAAAACAGGTTGTGAGACAGGAGGGCATTCGGGGCTTGTACAAGGGGATGAGTGCGAGCTATCTGGGGGTTACGGAGAGCACGCTTCAGTGGGTGCTTTATGAGCAGATGAAGAAATCTCTGGCGGAGCGGGAAGAGAGGATCATTGTCAGTGGGAGACCGAAGACTTGGTGGGACAATACGGTGCAGTGGACGGGAAATGTAGGAGCCGCTGGGAGTGCCAAACTCGTTGCGGCTCTCGCAACCTACCCTCACGAGGTAAGTTTCAAGCCACGGATGGATGGGGGTTTTCAGACTGATCTGACATGATCTAGGTCGCGCGAACCCGTCTCCGTCAAGCGCCGACAGAAAACGGTCGACCCAAATACACCGGCCTCATCCAGTGCTTCAAGCTGATATGGAAAGAGGAAGGCATGGTGGCCATGTATGGCGGGCTCACACCTCATCTTCTGAGGACGGTTCCCAGCGCTGCCATCATGTTCGGAATGTACGAGGGGATCTTGAAGCTTTTGCACACACCGGAATAGAGTGCAATAGGCCCTGGGGAAAACCCTTGTAAAGATATCTGGGAAGGATTCGGCGTTTGTATGAAAAGCAAGCTCCTCGGTTATTGTACAAACCTCGACTTCACTCTGGGAACTTGGGATATCGGTGCATGATAGATGGTTGGAAGTAAGGCGTTGGACACGACATGGCGAGCTTATATGAGTATGCACGGATGAACTCGACTCGCTGTTACCGGTGGGTATTTGTCAATAGTATTGTACCATAAGAATCTGGCTTGATACCTGTATCGGGAAGCGCTGGAAATTCGACGCAAGAAGTCGCTGCACTATTACCTTGCGAAGGAAGGCAAGTAAACATAAAAGCAAAAGACAGCAACGCTTAACTCGCAACGCTGAAGTTCATGATCCCTAATGACGTTTATGAGATATCCTTCCACTCCTCACTCCAACGCCCTTCATATTCTCCATCATATATTCATACTGTGAGTGATCTAAGTAGGGAGTCCAAACTGTGTTGTGTAGCCAGCATGGTAATCGGTGGAGACTTCTTCTGCAACTTGCGGGGTCTTCGTTGGCCAAAGTCGCCGAGTGAGATTCACCATGCATTGCGGTCCCAGTTAGGATCTGCATTTCCGTTAGCGACTTTCTTCTGGCGTGGTTCTCGAAGGGCCCGATGCCAAAACATGTCCGCATCGCACATTCCCTCCCTTCTTCTCTCGTGGCGTGGGAGGATTCCAACTCACCCTGTACGAACCCAGCCAGGACCTTGCTACCGGTCTGCAGTAGCGGATGGCCAACGACAATCTGCAAGAACCTCTGCAGTCCCTCCCTCCGATGCTCAATCACGTCGTCGCTGAAGCGGTTCGTAAAGACCTTGCCGGGCAAGGGCGGAATCGTCACACGCGCAGACTCTCTCTCCAGGATGTCGCGGAAGTATTCAAAGTCGGAATAGCGCCTCCGGACGTTGCTGTGGCGAAGCTTGAAGGCGGGGATGTTCGTGCGGCAGACAATCTCGTAGTCGGTGTACATGCCACGGCCCATGCCATGTGTGCGTGGGTTCTTGACCTGGGAGGGCGAGCGAGAGAGAGGTGGGGTTAGCTTGCGCTCTTCTCCATGGATGGGCGACCAGAAGATAAGGAGGGTATATGTTTGGGGGGCTTGGGGGCAGACTGCAGCGTACCTCTATCTCGAGGAAGTTCTCTGGCGGGCCATAAATCTCCTCGAAGCTCTGCTGGCGCGAATCGGGCATGGCCTGCATGATGGCGGTGTTATGGTTGGCGCAAGGCCTGTTCTTTGCGTGCCTGAGGTGCGTTCGTTCTTATGGAGTTCGGCGATTGATCTGATATGCGCTTCCGAGTGGGAGTTTTGTGAGGCTCTTGGTGTATGAATTCCGGATGGTGTGGGTGTGGGTGTGGGGGGTGGTTGGAAATGACCGTGGAGGAAAGAGCCTCCACAGGATCTCATGGTTTGGGAGGGGCAGTTGTTATCACGTGAGCAGGCGGGTGCTCGCATCAGATTCAGGATTCCCCTCAGTTGGGTCTGGTCAATCATGTACCGGTAATCAGAATCATCCCCATTTATGAGTTTGTGTTTCTTCTTCCGCCCCATTTTTGCACAACCAAGTTTGCTAGAGGGAGAAGTTTGGAGTCGCGATAGCTTCCTTCTCTTGACTCCACTCCATTGTTTACATCCATCACCTCAAGCGACTGCCCCGAGTCTCGAGCTCACTCAATCACGATGGCCAGGATCTTGACCAGACTGACACTTCTCGCCGTCCCACTTGTGAGTACGAAACCTCAACAGACCTTGGCCACTCTGCTAATATAATATACAAAGGTTTTTCTCGTGTTGATCGCCATCGCGGGGTAAATCATCCTGTCCCTGTTTCAACTTCATCCGACGGCTTACTCATCTGATGTGTCGCAGCTACGCGTATACCCAGATCCGTTTTCTGAACCTTCCCATCCCACTGTCTCTTGCGCTCTTTACAGTCGTCTTACCCTTCATTACCGGGATAACGGTTCAAGGCTCCTACGGTCTGATCCGTCGAACCTCAGATACCGGGCCGTATCAGCTCACCATGCCCCTTATTGCGGTCATTGGATTCCAGTTGATCTACGAGACTGTTGTTGCTACCCTCGCCTTGACGCATATTTTGCCGCCATCTGCGCTGCAGTGCGGCTTGGAGAGCAGGTGGTATCAACTTTACAACGCGAAAGATGGGGCTGCTATCAGAGCAATCCAGGATGCCTTCAATTGTTGCGGATTCAATTCGGTCCGTGACAAGTCGTGGCCGTTTGGGCAGCCTTCTACCTGTGCGGCCACCTTCAATCGAAACCAGCCATGTGTGGGTTCTTGGAGGAGAGCAGAACAAATCAATGCTGGATTGCTGCTACTCGTGGCCGTAACTGTGTTCATCGTCAAAGTATGCATGTTCCTGCTCGTCCAGGCTTCTGAATGATTGGGTACCTTGGCTGAAAGCTCTAAACCACAGGTCCTCTCCATCATCTCACTCCTCACAAGCACGTCCTTCACGCAGTGGGCCCGTCAAATCAAGCGAATTGGCCACCATTCCGAGGACGCGGAGGATAACAGAGCGCACATGCGCAGGTTGATCGAAGAGAATGCTGAGGAGTACCACGATGAGCCAGTCGAAGAAGAGCCAGCAACTCGTGCCCTTGACGCTCCCAGCGGTGCCCACGACCAAGGCCCCCGAGTCGAACCTTCCCAATTGACTGACAGCGGTCATGAGTGGCGTACTTAGGGGAATCCGCGAGCCCGGATTTACAAGAATTTATGCCGTCAATTTTAGCAGGTTTGGACGATATTCAGCCAGAGCTACAATGATGGAGGCACTCGCAGAAGCGGAGGGTGTCTGCACGAGTGGCGAACGCTCTGGAGAAGTGACAAGAGCAAGAGTCGCTTGCTGGATGTAGGCATGGAGTTTTTTTCGTGGGGCCAGAGATGAAGAGGGATTCAGAGTATGGTGTCGTATTCTGATATGATCTCGCAAGCAAATGGGATACTGTTCTCTCGGCGGGCGGACTTCCCAAACTCGGTTCGACTATAGCGCTCCTGTATTCCAGCGATGATATACCTACAGCCCTGGTCGTATTCTCACGGGTTTGATTCACACCCCTTTTGCCGCACCATAGCTACCTCCCCGTCCATTATCCGGGCAGTACTGATGATATCGATCATGTTTCCACCGGATTACACCGCCGCAGGCCATGAAACAAACCAATTCCATACCCACCTTTTCCAAAAAGTCCATCCGTTTCCGCTCTAGCGTCTAGATCTCCACCATCTGCTGATAGCGACCTAGCAGTGCCAGGGCGAGGCCGCGGGCACCTTCTGCTCGGTACCTTACTCATGCCGGCATGAGAAGTGCTAGGTAGATCTGTGTACACTACTCCACTAACGAAACACCAGCAATCGCCATCTCAGAAGCTGCTATGGAGACACGCATGGATGGGAGAATCGCTACTGTAGGCGATGACACGTTCGTAGGATGCGAGGGGCTGGCCAGCGTGGGGGACAGGACCGACTGGTTGGGAAGTTGGGGGGGTGTCTCGTGTACGCACGCTACCGTGTGGAAGGATAGACAGGCATCGGCGATTGGCCTTTATACGGTGCGGCTGAGATAGCCCGTTCCCTTTCCCCAGGCAGGCAGGCAGGCAGGCAGGCAGGCATCTCGTTGGTCGGAAGAGGTCTTCGGGGCTTCTTGTCTTGGGGGCTCGGCCATGTCGGGTCTCGAGGGCTTTCTTTTTTGCTTGCTTGCTTGCTTGTGTGGGTATTGATTGATTGTTCGAGACCGCTCGCTTAGAAAAAGGGGGGAGGTTTTCGAGACCGCTGTAAGATTTCGGGCTGGGGATCAATGGGACTTGGGGGAGCGTCGGTAGATAAGAGGTACGTGGAGGTCCATGGGATATTATGCATATGTTATGCGTACCTATGAATGTATACCTAAGGTACTACCGCTATATGAATAACATCATGAAGAAATTCCCTACTCGGTGTCCTTGATGCAGCCTAGCGCGACCTGCACAACACATACTCGGTCGTACCCGTGGCGAATCACAACGGCCGACGGATGGACATGCACTCGACACCTCTGGCCCGGTTTCTTTGGCGTGTCGACGTAATCGTAATCCCAGCTTTTTCATCCAACACACACACTCACACACACACACACGTGACCGTGGGTTGACTGACTGAATTGTATCCTTTTGTTGACCTTTGGATTCTCCCCGTGTCAGCAAACCAACCCAAACAACCCAACAACAAATCATCAAAACACCATAGGCATGTCGTAGGATGATGGTGACCATGTCGCCGCGTAGGGTGAGCGGCAGGAGGAAGAGCAAAGTCGTGTATCGCAACCATCCAGGCTACTACTACCCATCGCAACCTCACAGTACCGCTGCCCCAGCTTATTCGTCGTCGTCGCCCGAGCAGTTACTCCACGGTAGCAATAACAGCAGCAACAACAACAACACCACCAGCAGCAACATCAACAATCATGACGGCCAGCAGCTCTACGGTCAGACTCCAAATTTGGATCTTCAGGGTTACTTTGTCGTTCACCACCCTTCGAATGGATACTCGAATCCCAGCCCCGTAGTCCGCCAGAACTATTCTGACGAGACTTCGTGGCTATCTTTGTCTTCCCCGGCGTATGCGTTGACTTCTGTCCAACCGAACTCCCATCTCCAGCAGCTGGAGAATTATGGGGGAAGCTGTGGCCAATCTCCAGGAAGCGAGGTGCCGCAGATCCAGGAGACGTCCTGGACCATAACCACTCCACGGACTAGCAATGCGGACTTGGAGATGGATGGCATGTCGGACATGCAAATGGGAAGCTTGGGAAGCTTCGATGCGAGTAACACGGGCTTCTCGGCGGCCAATACTGCCACATCCTCCTTCTCGGAGACTTACGTGTTTCCAATGAGCTCCAATTTCGGTACTTCTGCAAATCAACTTAGTGGTCTGGAGCCACCAGGTAAGCGACCTGATTTCCTTTGCCATCTCTTCAATCAGGGGATGATCGTTTCTTGGCTCATTGAACACTCTGCCATCTCCGCCGCGGTACTAACAAGAACCGTGATAGAGGGGTACCACAATATAGGCCAGGCATTCGATGCTTCATCTCCAGGTGTTGCAAATCCTGGCTCGCCGTTTCTCGATAATCTCAGATTCGAAAATGATTTCGTGGCAGTGTCCCCTGGATGGAACAATGACATGCTGTTGTATGGTACAGAAGCTTCTCAGTGGTCATTGGAACCTTTGATAGCACCTCACCAGACCCAGCAGCTGCAGCTACAACCGCAGCTACAACCGCAGCTACAACCGCAGCTACAAAATCAGCATAATCCTGCGGGTCTCCAACAAAATCCTTGGAATTCGCAGAGCAACGTCTACCAGCACACTACAAGTTCCGGGGGCGTAGCTTTCGAGCCTATACGAGGGACGCCGTACCAGACTCACATAGCAAGGCAAGAATTCCTAGATGTCATTCAGCCCAACATCCAATACCGTGGTGCGGACCCTGTCAGCCCGACCAGCGACAATGATGGTTCTTGGGCTCTCTTGTCGAATCCAGCCAGTAGCTACACCCCGTCACACGGCTCTCCTTTTTCGCAATCCTCGCCACCCTCGCATACGCCTTCGCCGCCTCAACAGGAGATCGAGATACACTCGCATATCTTCAACTCAATCCCAGGACCTCCAATGGCGAAAGCTCTGCGAGGGCGAAAAAGAGGTCTGACAGATGTAGAAAAGAAACAGGCTCGAGATGTGCGGGATGCCAAGGCTTGTTGGGCTTGTCATATCTCCAAGACGAAGGTCAGTACTAAAGAAAGACGTCTTATATCTCAAACGCCTCAACGTCCAGATCCGGCCAGATCTTCGACAGGTTGGACGATAAAAGCTGACGTCGATAGTGTTCCCCTTGCTCGCCAGGAAGACCGTGTGAACAGTGTGCAAGACTCGCCGGGAAGAGACGTTTCTGCCTCTTCTCTTGCTTCAATGACCCGCTCGAGTCGTTATCGACGTTCCTAGTTCCGTGTAAGAACCTCTGCCCTATAGTCAGCTAACCAGTACTAAGTCTCAATAGCCTACCTGATGGGTCACTTCACCATAGCCAACGTCGAGTCCTTTGTGACCAGGAATGCGTCAAGCTGGGGTACCCAGTTCATGTGCATTCGGATGGATTGGGGGTACCGGAAGCTACTCCAGGCAGATGTTGTGGCACTGGCCTTGCGCAGTAGTTCCTCCGAGATGGGCTTCCACCACCAAACAGTATCGAGCGGATCCGCGCGCCCATTCCTGGTGCGGAAAGCGAGCCCCCCGCTTGGAATACCATTAGCTGCCATGCAAGAGATGCAGGACTCATACGCTCGATATGTCCAGGATATTGTGCAGAGCGATGTTGGAATGTATCTTCCAACTGCATATGTGGATCAACAGTCGGATCTCCCGCGACACCTTCTGGGAGCGGTTGCAAACTATTACAGTGCCGGTAATGCAGCTAAAAATGAGGTACCTCGCGTTTCCCTAAAGTTCTGGTGCGTCTTACTAAAGACCTCTAGTGCGAACTCCTCCGTCGAGCCCTCGAAGTGCACGTAACCTCCGTAATCCTCGAGCGAAGCCTCTTCCTGGATGAAGAATCACTGCACAAAGTGCAAGACCACCTCCAGCAAGAGTATCCCAGACGCTCCGCCCCAAGATGTGCGCAGAGGCAGATCAAACTCGCTCTCTTCCTCCTGCAACAACGGCGCATCCAAATGGTCCTGAAGGATTGGGGGAGCATGATGTGGGCCACACTTCCAAGTACAACGAAGGACAAGGACTGGGCCGTTGCGTTCGGGGTATTTCTCACCCTGATCCTGGTTATGGATAAGACCCTCGGGGCCGCGTTCTATTTCTGCGAAGGTCGAATCAAACATCATGGCTATCAAGCGTCGACGGAGCGTGAGGCATTCCAGGACCTGGTGCGGTCGACCCAGAAAGAGCTGTTCGACAGGTGCAAGGAGATCTTCCACTGGAAATTCAAGACGCGGAAAGGGGGCAGGGAGGCCTGTAATCCGATCCGCGATGGCATGGACGCCTTCCAGGGAAAAGCGAAAACGACCGACCATGACATCCTTCGTTTCGTTACGGAGTTACAGAAGGTCGTGGGTGAATTTGGTCAGACCGCTCCAGTCCAATTGAGCTGCAAAGCTGACGCTTCCACCAGAATCCGACATCCGCTCACACAAGTCCACTGATGGAGACCTCGAGTCGGCGTATACCGATGCCGGACGGCTGGCTTGCATTTTCCTGGACGACTTTTTGGGTTAGAGATTCTGTATGGAGAACTGAGGCGTGGAAATGTGTTTCGGCGATTGAAGACGGATGGACGGCACCGTAGAATAGGCGCCTCTGCACTTTCTTTCTTTCCCTTCTCTGTATATTATCGCCATGTTGGTCTTGGGGGTGCTGTGTGTACTTTTAAGGGCCGAGAAAAGTGTAAGAGACGGGGAAGAGCGGACGCGACGCCTGATGATGGAATTCCTTATGAGCCAACGATGATTTTTCACTGCATCTCTTCCCAGTGCAGTGCAGTGCAGTGCCGTGCAGTGCAGTGCTGTGACCGTGACTGTAATGCTCGCTTGGAGTCGTTCGGAGCCCCGTCATCTTCTATCTCCTCTCATCCGTCGTGGCAGCTGCAACCTGCAACGAGGGTGCAGGAAAGCCGGCGGCATGACGTTGGTCTATGACTGGTAACTCGGCATGGACGGTGCAGTAGTTTCGATTCTGGAATTGCTTGGGAGGGTGTGGGTGTGGGTGTGGGTATGGGTACAGTCTGGGTACAGTCTGGGTACAGTCTGGGTACAGTCTGGGTACAGTCTGGGTACAGGATGGGTACAGGTTCTGGATACCGGTAGCCCATCCTGCATCGCACTTTCCAGCCAGCGGTGATGGGGATAGCCCAGTCCCGATCATTATGCAAGGCACCGCCCGAGATCTCAGCAGGATGAGAATAGGGATTGGGGAATGGGATGGGATGAGATGGGATGAGATGGGATGGTCAAGATGTGGCGGAGTCAGTCAGCAAGAGGTAGTTAGGTAAGGTACCTACCTACCTACCTTACCTACCACCACGTCCGTCCGTCCGTCGATTGCCCTGCCACAACCAGCCTCGAGCTGGGGCGCCGAAAAGAGAAGCTGCAAGGAAGGGCCAGCAGCACGTGCACACGGAGAGGAGAGACGGCGGGCGGCTGAGGATCGCAGTCGGCGGCCGTGAAGTCATGTTTGTTGTATGAATGTATGTATGTATGTATGTATGTAAATATGGAATGTGGAATGTCATACGAGATGACTCAGGGGGAGGCTTGGTTTTGTTAATGATTCTCCCTCGGCTGGCTGTTCCTGCCCGGTCGTGGTGGTGGTGGTGGTCATGGTGGTGGTGCAGATAGATCCGTGATCAGGAGGAGTGGTGGGTGAGCCTCACTCGACCGACTCGCTCACTTACTCACTCACTCACTCATTCCCTCACTCACTTACTCACTCACTCACTCACCCACTCCATGAAGGCGTAGGATCCGGACTGAATTCTCGACAAAGATGAGGCTTACAACATGGGAGGCTTATACGTCCGTCCGTTGATGGCTTGCACTGGTTACATCCGGGACAAGTTGTCGATCCCACGACCCTGCCACCCTGGATTCTGTGAACACATCAGGAAGGCTTCTGGAAGGCGCAGGCGCAAGGACTGCACTCACTCAGCTGTCTGTCATTCGGTCATTGATCGGACGAAGAGTCACCGACCGGCATGTTAGTGGTGATTAATGGATGCATGGATGATGGATAATGGATGATGGATGATGGATAATGGATGATTGAATGATTGAATAATCAGTGAATGAATGCTACAGTGCCCGGTATGAGTGAGATCTTTTTTAAGGTTCTATCTTCGGTCCAGGTTACTGACTGACTACTGACGGACTGACGGACTGACGGACTGACTGACTGACTGACTGTACTCGGCCCGCTAATCAGCCAATCCCCCCCGTCCCCAGAGGGAAAGCCTAGAGCCCCCGGGCCCTTTTCTTTAGGCGACACTCTCTTCAGAGATGGAACCAGCAAGGCACACTCCGTATCTCCCAGGCGGAAACTCCCTCTCGTTCGTTCCTCTTCCTCTCCCTATCCCTATCCCTATCCCTATCCCTATCCCTACTATTCCTGACTACTCTGACTATTCCTACGACTGACTATTCCTGACCGACCGGCCAGGCTCCATCGATGCTCACCTGGAATACAAGGAGGCCGAGGCTGCGGGGAGCTAATCAGAGCCCCCCGTGGATGTTGAAGCCTTCAGTTATGACTGATATATAGACAGACATGTCTCGCGCCGTCGATGGTCTTTTTTTTTCTTTTCTTTTCTGTAGACAATATCAATTCCATATAATTACTCCTGCCACATTCTCAATCACGTACCGCAAGTCGTTGCCGCTTCCCAATTCCAAACATCTACACGCAACTCACGTATAATGGCCGCGTCAAGCTTCACAACAACTCGCTTCGCTTCCACCAGAGACGAGCCGAAGGGAGGCGAAGAGCGAGATACCGGTATGTCTTTCTCTGCTAGATTCCTGCTTCTTGTCCGCCATATGGAAGAGCCCTTGCCCCCTTGAAGCAACCTCAACGTGAGAAAGAAGTAGAAAGAAGAAAACTCCTGACTCGTTGCTAGACTTTGGCGACAAGATGCCTCGCTTCGGCGGCCGCAGCAGCATGCAGAAGCCGGACGACGATGGAAAAGATACCGGTACGCACGGAGCTGAACAGGACTCATCTCAGCCCAACTCGTGTTCAATCCTGACTTCTCCCAGACTACGGCAGCTGAACCTCTAAAAAACAAAAATAAAAAAATAAAAAAAAAATCGCACCCCCGCCGAACTCACGGACGACCACAACACTTACTTACTTGCGGGTGAGTAAAAGTGACTCAATTGAATGCCTGCCTGCCTGCCTGCCTGCCTGCTTGCCTGCTCAGGACGATCACTAGCGTCGATGGTCACCTGACTTGTCTCGAAAACCCCAGCTAACCAATGACCTATCGGCAGCTGCCTTACCAGATCCTTCATTAACGATCCATCGGGTATCTATCTATCATATCGCACATGGTGCTGGATTGACGCTCTCATCGACGCTCTGGGCCGGAAAGGGACGCGATCAGCCGAACGGAAAGTCCTGGGAGTCACGCTTCAGCTGCCTGCTTCCCAGCCCACGACCACCTCCACCTCCACCTCCACCTCCACCTCCACCACCACACCAGCCCTGTGCATCATTGCGTTTGCTCGAGATCATGAACGACAGCTTGCTTGCTTTGACCTCTTCTGATGGCCTTACCATAAAACTTCAATTCGATCCGATTCGATACATCAATCAACCTTCGACCCTTTACCACTTGCAACCTGCTTCCCCCCGGGATGGCCTCGCTTTGATTCCGCAATCATCATAACACAAACGTCTCGATGCCTTTTCACACGTCTCAGTTTACTCGAAATCACGTCGTCCTTCTTCGTTGGCCCCGTCTCTGGCTCTCGCTCTAATGGATCTGCGACACCGAATCTCGAGGGTCACTAGATCGATCGAGCATTTGCCCTCACCCTCGCCTCACACGCACCTCGGTATAACTCCAGTCCACTTCTCCGCTTCAATTCAGCGTGTTGTCCTTCTTGCCCTCCGGTGGATCCCTCTGTCAAAATCCAGCAAGCGCAGCGGAGCGATATAGATTCTTCCAAGATGATCGACGCAAGTCATACATACCTTTTGCTATTGTCACCCCACGCTCCGGAATCCGATTCGTGTCGCTTCTCCCTCTCACCATGCAATTGTGCGCCTCTCTCCTCCTCCTCATCATCATCATAAGACAGCGTGTTAATGTTTCGGTTTGGAAAGCGGTTGGTCTGTTGTCATGTTACCTTACTGTACAGACGGCCCTCGTCTCCTCCTCCTCGGACCATATCACGCCAGTTAGAATCTTTGTCACTTGTTCAGTACTGTCTGTATTGTATGCATGCATGCTTTAGTTTACATGAGAGATTCGAGTTTTGCTGCCTAACTGGCTAGTATCTACGTTTTCTTCTTGCAAGTGATACACCTTCCCATATCGCACTTTGCATCACGTTACTCCCCCCTACCAGACGACGAGAGTCATGCTTCCTACGCACTAGCTAGAACTAGAGTACCTAACTTGGTAAGGCCCAACTTAGTGAGGTACTTATTAGCGTTTGCAAGTTTTCCCACCACAGCCTAGCATTTCAAAATTCTTACCCCCAACCCCAACACTCCCCTCCTTACCTATACAGAACACATATATATACCGACAGATATACAACAACAACATTTCAAGCAAAATTCACTTTCCCTCCATCTCAAGAATCCCATTCACAGCAACTCGGTCAGGAATGTCAATGGTTTAATTTCCCGTACGCTCTTCTGGTCGCCCAGTCATTTTGCTGCCAATCGGCCACGCTGCCACCAATCTCACCTCATCGGCCGGCCACACTACCAACAGACCCCGATCATCGACCGACCGACTGGCGAGTGTGCTTCTGAAACAAATCACGCTCTCCACGCCCTCTCACCACGAGCATCTATCTCGGCATCCATTCCGCGTCCCATCCAGTATGCTTCTCACGGGCTGCCATCCATCCTGCCCCCCTCCACAGGTGTCTGCGTTTCCATCGCCTGAACCTCGCCCGGTGTCCGACCACACGGTGACAACTCAGTTGTCCATGTCGAGGGCGCGTTGCAGATGTCGTCTAGTGTCAAGCAACTGGAAGAGGTATGGAGAGGAAGTTCTTCGAGTCGTCATTGCTATTGTTCTGATTTGATGCGGAGTGTTGCGTTCCTGTCAACTTGGTTTCAGTTCCCTGTCAAGCAGCAAGTGGAGGGAAGTTGTCGGCCTTACGAGTAGACTCTTTTGGGACACTTCGACCGGATATTGAGGAATATCTGTGTGTTGGTCGTTCTGATCCAGCCTGGGCCGAGGATATGTGACGAGGAGTGTTGTGTTGTAGACGAAGTGTTGTCGAAGCCAATGGATATCACAGCTGGTTGGAGAAGTTGGAGAGGGCTCTTGTGTCGAAGGTTGCAATTCCACATGGTACAGAAGGGCGATGATGTTTGCTGAGCCCGAACGACCGTTGACCCGAGACCTAGAGGCGAATTGTGTTTTGCACATTCGTCAGCCTAGGGCTGACGAGATGTACGTGTATATGTCCCCACCCTATCTCTGGGGGACTAGCCATGGGAAGGGCTAGCCCCCATGGAGGGGTTGGGTGGGATTTCATTCTCCAAAATCGTGATGGCCTGCCAGGCACTGAACAGCCTGACAGGTGGTCTTCCTATCAATATAACGAAATGGGGATCTCTACTCCGTACCTTTAGATTCTAGTCCAATTAGGACATATAAAGACAATGGATCTCTGGCGATGATGAAGCTCGATAGACCAATACCACGGTCGAGTGATCTGAGCCAGAGAATATCAGCACTGTTGTCCCAAGTCGTGATGGCCTGCCAGACACCGACCAGTCCGGCAGGGGTTTCTTCCTATCAATATGACGAAATGGGGTGTTACTACAGCGTACCTTTGTGTTCCAGTCCAACAGATAGAGAGAATGGATCTCCGGCGATGATGAAGCTCAACAGGCCAGCACAGCACTGGCCGAGCGCTCTGAGCCAAGGACAGGAAGAAGATAAGTGTTTGATGCAACGGCAGATGAAGGCAGATGAAGGCAGATGAAGGCAGATGAAGGCAGATGAAGGCAGATGAAGGGTGCAGTATCTGATGCGAAGACAGAAGAAGGATGCGGTGCTTGATCATCTCGGTGATGAGTGATTAATGAAAGACGGTGAACGATGAAGAAGACGAAGAGAAGAGGGAGAAGAGCGACAAGACGGGCTTTTATACTTCAGTCCCATCACTCCTCAGAAAGTGCTTTCTGCTTCCGGGGTCATGGGAAGGAGTGAGCAGGAAAGTATCATCCTCACATCTCAAAATCAACGCAACAGCCTGCTGCTGGGAAAGCAGCGAGAGCTGAGCCCTTGACCCCAACTTTATACATTCACTCCATAGCCGTTACCTGTGTGTTTCTCGCAAAGCTACCTATATCCTACAATTCTTCAGTTCAGTGTGGGCTCTTTCGTTTGCGCGATTATGCCGTGTTTTCATATGCTCTCCCGATTCTCTGCTGTTAAGTTCCCCCCTCTTACTGCTCCCTGCTACTGCTATATACAATTTTGTCTTTTGAAAGAGCACCTTTCCAACTCCTCCTCGATTTAAAAATCACTGCGTCAAGTCCTTCTCTGTCACTATTCATCAAGCACACCAGAGTTCGCTAGACATCGGCAATCCTAATTACGGCCCTGTCATCTCGTCGTGGAATACGGTCTATTTCCAAGGCAAGCATGTACGTGACAAAAAAGGGGCTATTCAATTAATCGAAACTCGAAATTCGCACGATGGTACTTTCGTGATATATAGCTAGATAGGTAGGTAGGTAGGTTGCTTGGTGGTACATACCTACCTATAGCCTCCACAATCCCCTCGCCTAAAAAGTAAGAGGGGCTCGTTCCGCCACTGTGCCTACCTACCTTACCTAGGCCCCTATCTAGGCACACAAAGAAGACATCAATCGCTAAAACCAAATCCAAATCCAAACCCAATGTACGTGCACTTGTGGTGCTGTGATTGTCACGTCACGCACTCACTCATTCACTCACTCACTCACACACTCACACACACACTCCCACCCAGTCTGCGTAAATAAATAAAGAAAGGATCCAATATCTCAAATCCCATCCCAACCTAGCCTAGCCTAGCCAGTCAGCTAGCCAGCCAGCCAGGAGACCTAGCCTAGCCTAGCCTAGCCTAGAAGAGAGCTCCACCAGTACCGCAGTCCAATCTCACTCTCAATCTCTCTCTACCATAAAGGGTAGTAGGGGGTCATTTGAACGGTCCTCTGATCCTCTTTTATAAGAGACGGCTATTGGACCGCTTAAATTCAGTACTAAGCTCTTTTCAAGAATAATTTATCGAAAAGACCGTCCCATTGAAAGAGACCGTTTTGTGGCCATCCTATAGCCGTCTTCGTTTATATTTTTAAAACAGGCTTATTAATAAACTCGTTTTAAAAAACTGAAATAGTTCGATGACTATTTTAAAGAAGGTATAGTTATAGATAAAAATTATCTTTTGAATAAAATTGTTTAAATAATAATTCAAAAAGTTCGACGCTAAGATATTTCTCGGTATCGCTGCTACGGCTTGTATATCAACGCTTTAATTTTTTTATAATCGAAATCGATCGATATAGCAAAAGTTTACCCGCGCACGTCGGCCACCTTCTCAGCCCTTAGAAGGAGTGGGTGTAGCAATAGATAGGAGGGAGGTGAGGGGTGTAGTAGGTTGATGATATAGTCAAAGGTAGATTAGCAAGCAATAAAAAGATTATTTGCTTACTAATTCACGTTCTCAGGGACGGTTTTAAGCTCAGGGACGGCCATAGAACGGCCATGGGACGGCCATGGGACGGCCATAGGACGGTCTTAAACGCTCGAAGACGGTCTTAAGACGGTTTTTATACGAAAAGACGAGTATTTAAAAAAACCCATTTAATTGAATAAAATAGTTTTATTTTAGCTACGATTTAAATAATTTAAATCGTTTGTTTTCAGATTCTATTCAATCTTAAGTATAAGCTTAAGGTGATCCACCAGCCATGCCAACTTATTAAAATCGTCCTTAAAAGAGATGGTTATCGGACGATCAGCTGACCGTCTAAATGCTCCTGCATTCTCCTTTAAGGTAGATTTAACTGCAATTTATATTTAAATATATCTATTAAAATAAAATAAATTACAAAAAGGAACGAAAATATTAGTATTCGCTTAATTCTGACCTTTACCATCTTCTCGACGTTGGATTTTGCTGGCTGAATAATCCTTTTTTCTCGCTTCTCTACTTGGCTGGCTCCACCACGCACGGCTTGCCAAGGTCTCATTTAAACCAGAGGATACGGTAAGAGGGGCTCGTTCCGCCGCTGTGCCTACCGTGCCTCCCTACCTACCTACCTAGGCCCTTATCTAGGCACACAAAGAAAACACCGATCGCTAAAACCAAAACCAAATCCAAACCCAATGTACGTGCACTTGTGGTGCTGTGATTGTCACGTCACGCACTCACTCACTCACTCACTCACTCACACACTCCCACCCAGTCTGCGTAAATAAATAAAGAAAGGATCCAATATCTCAAATCCCATCCCAACCTAGCCTAGCCTAACCCAGCCAGCCTAGCCTAGCCAGCCAGCCAGGAGACCTAGCCTAGCCTAGCCTAGCCTAGAAGAGAGCTCCACCAGTACCGCAGTCCAATCTCACTCTCAATCTCTCTCTCTAGGTACCGTACCCGTGTACCCGTATACCCGTATTTCCTGTCGCCGATACATGTACCGGTACATAACTACACAACTACACAACTACACAACTACATAACTCGCTTGTCTTGTCTTGTCTTGTCTTGTCTTTTCCTGTCTTGTCTTTTCTTTTCTTTTCTTGTCTTTTCTTGTCTTTTCTTGTCTTTTCCTGTCTTTTCCGTCCCCGTCCCGTTCCTTCCTGGCTGCTGGCTGCTGGCTGCTGTACTCTGTATGTGAGTGAGTGAGTGAGTGAGTGAGTAGGTGAGTGAGTGAGTGTACTCTGTACTCTGTACTCTGTATGTATGCGAGTGAGTGTACTCTGTATGTGAGTGAGTGAGTGGGTGAGTGAGTGAGTGAGTGAGTGAGTGAGTGAGTAGGTAGGTAGGTAGGTAGGTAGGTAGCCTGGATAGCTGAGCTAGTCTGGATAGCTGAGCTAGCTACCACACACGTTGACATGAGCAAATTCACGGTGTTCAGTTCAGTCTAGTGAATCGAGTTCTTTGCATCCTCGTCTGCGGCTCCACGCTCAAATACAAATCCCAAGCCGGAGGTCGAGGGGCGGAGCCTGTGGCGGAGGATCTCGTGTATTTGGGCATTTCCTATCGCAACAAGCCAGAAGAGCACGAAAACACATGACACATATTAGGACGATTATTCAGGTATCTACAACTTTCCACGAGACGGTGTAGCAGGAAGCACAGAATCTCCCTCCGGGTATAATAGCGCCAGGCATGTATCAGGAACCAATCCCATCAGGCTTTGTCCCATGCACCACAAGCCAATCTATGCAGCACCCTCCGCAACAATACACATTACCCATCTAGAACTTCTCCATCAAGTTCTTCCTCACAGTCCACATCCTCGCCCTCTTGCCAAAAATATACATGGGGACCGTGAAAGTCATGAGGATCAACTGTATGACGCCCAACCATATGAACACTGACTTGGAGCCCTTGCGCTCCAGCCACCGCGGGAAGAACAGGCTGAATACCAAACCGTGGAAGATATTCTTGCTGAAATTGAGCGTGACGAGGGCCTCCCCAGCGTACTGGCGATAGCTATCGACACAGAAAGTGATGGCTGTTGTTGAGCCGAGAGAGCAACCGAAGGAGATGACGCCGAAGAAGATGGTAGGAACGATCCACGCATCGTGGACTTCGGCGGACCAGCCGTATCCCATGAGGCCGATGACCGTAGTGATTGCGACAGGAGCAGCCATCACCAAACGAAACTCCGGTTCGTATAGACCGCCGTTGCGTTTCGACATGGCTCGGACAATGATATCGCTGACCTTGCCAGCCACCGCGGTACCGAGAATTCCGCCAATAAACGGGGAAAGATAGATCAAACCCGTTGAGAGGGCGGAAAATCCATAAGTGGTAGGGCTTCGGTAAATGACCGCAACAGATTCGGAGAGTACAATCAACCATCCCACAGCGCAGGAGTAGACAATAGCAGACCAGAGGACCGCTGGGTAGGCAAAGAGAATGAAAGGGCGTATGGCTACCCGGAGCCACTTATCTTGGTGTATCCGTCCATTGTAAGGTTTCAGCTGCTGAGCAAACGACAAGGCAGGTCCATCTCGGAGACCGGCGGTATACCGTTGAGAATGAGACTTTGGCGTTGTGGGAGTTGAAGCCCCTCTATCAAAATTCAAGCCGGTCCCCACTCTAGAAATACCTCCATCAACGTTCATATTAGGCTCAGCTCGAGCAGGGTTTCCAGCTGTCATGTAGTCTACGCCTTCTTTTTCCACGTCCCTGTACCATGGCGAGTTCAAGCTGTGTAATGCTGGAGTCGGTGGCGCGTCGCCAGTTGGCTCGACGAGATGCTTAAACTCATGCTCTGCACCATGGTGATGGTGGAGCCGGTCTCCTTGCAATGCTCCGTGGAGCTTGGCATCTTCTGTGTCTTGTTCAGACCCACTCCGTACAAATCCAACGTGATGATGCCGATTTGCGCTTGTGCGATGCACAATCGCTGGCCTTTTGCTTGCAATAAATCTACTAGGTATAGCCGATAGCGGTCTATCTTGAGCCATGTCATCAAGGTTACCATCCGCCTGCTTGTCTAAAGCGCTCGGCGGCCGCGGCGGTGGTTTGTGTGATCTCAGCCCTGAAAGGCAGGACAGTCTAGATGCATTGTTGGAGTTTCTCCGGCTTCTTGGAACCGGAGATCGATCCCAGAATGACTCTGGCACGAAGAAGAACAGCACGATCGCGCAGAACCCTCCAACCATCGCCACGATCCTGGTTCAAATTAGCCGAATAATTTCAAGATTCCCGGTAAACTTCAGGTACTTACCAGAAAACCCATCTCCAGTCAAGCCTTTGGATGATGGCAGCACTGACAAGTGGGACCAGATTCTTGCCACCTAGAAGCAGCAGCGTGTAAATACCAAGTCGGTATGCACGCTCATGAAGAAAGAAGATCTCGGCGATGGTAGCCGAAGGCAAACATTCGACTGGGCTGACAGCGATTCCTTGGAATATACGGGCAACAAGCAGTGAGATGTAGCTTGGAGAAGCAGCACACCAAAGTGACGTGGCAATGAAAATTAGTGCACCGACCAGATACACCGGTCGTTTCCCATAGAGGATTGCTGTTGGAGAAGCAAAGACTGATCCGACACCAAGGCCCATCATGTACAGTCCAGTCGTGAGAGCCACTTCAGGAACAGTGACGTTATAAGTCGTGGCAACGTTGGTGAAGCCTGCAGCCAAAATGGGTGTCATACCTCCTCCTACCATGCAGAATAATCCCAAGGATAGAAGCGCAGCATCTCTCTTCCATTTTGGCCAGTTCAACGGGTCATTGTCTGAATCTTCTGGCTGTGGATTAAGGATGATCTTGCCATCTGGCGTCGTCTTTTTCCCGTATGATGGCTTCGTATAGTGGGATTGTCGTCTACTCTGGTTGGGCTGGGTAGGCAAGGAAGAGGAAGATGTCCTGGAAGGTTCGTTTCGCAGTCCGAGGGGTTGGTTGTGGTCACCAGTGAGGAGCAGGACGGAGCCTGGGATACCCGTTAGTCTGTCTTCTCTCGAAGGCGCGTTGATCGGATCTTACCGGGAACTTCGTGGGTATGAGGGTCATTCAAGACTCCCATGCTCCATTTCGTCGGCCGTCCCTTTTCTTCTTGAGTTTCTTCAAACTCTGTGTGCCCATCAGATAGCGAGTTCCTGCCAAAAAACGAGCGTGATCGGCTGGAGGTTGGTGTTTCGTGGCCGGGTGGTCTCTCAAAATGGATCTCCTCATCGGGCATATTGAGCTGGTCCGAGTCTAGAACCAACTTGGTCGAGAGAGGTAGATAGGTATGGTATGGAGGAGGAGGAGGAGGAGGAGGAGGAGGAGGAGGAGGAGGAGGAGGAGGAGGTTATAGTTCTATGTGGAGGAGTAATTGAACGCGGAATATGTAGGAATGACACAGCAATTGAGGATAAGGACGAAGAGGAGAGAGCTGAAGCAACTCATTGCGAGCTCTCTGGGTAATATAAGAAATCAAGTTCGGTGATCCAGCAGATCCGTTGGAAAAAAAGAGAAAGCCACTTGAACTGTGAATCGAGAGGCAGGTCGAGACAATCCGAGAGGAGGGAAAGAGTCACTGGACTGGACTGGACTGGACTGGACTGGGGCGGTGAGATAGGGATGTACCGGTATGAGGTAGTGATCGATCCGTCAGAGAAGTACGGAAAGGAAGGTATGGAGGGAAGAAGGGATCTGGGGACGAGACGACACAAATAAAAAAGAGACAAGACAGATAAGATACCCGAGATTTAGAATGAGATCCAAGTTAAGAGAAAAGGATTATTGTACGTACTCGGCTACATCAGCATACGTAGTAGGTATGTGGATGCGGCGCATGGTGAAGCAAAAGCTGTACCGGTACCGGTAGATGGAGGTTGACTTACCAAAAGACCCCACCATCCCCTCCAATGACGCACGGCTGAGGTCGGGGCAAACAAGCTTTGACGCTGCTCGTGGCCGTATCGCACATGACGCCGGACGGGGGATTATTAGTATCAATCCTTAAAGCTTCAAACCCTAATAATCTTCCTCTTCAGTGGACCTGATATCATCCTTCAATACCTTTGAATATTAAAAAAAATATATCGATATAATTTGGACTGAAAGAGCGCTGATGACTAACGGTCAAGTATTCCCGTCCTGCACGAAGAAATATACTCGTTCCAAATCCAATTGCAGCACTTCTTGATCGACTCCAGATCACCTGCCAGAGCTTCCTTCGACAGGTCCGATAGTACCGGTACCGGTACCCCCTATCGAGCCCTTCATTCGAACAAAGCTAAGCCAGATGTGCCCGATCAGGCAAATCTTGGCGCATACACAGATTCGATAATCTTCCAAATACGTAGTACCTTTTCGACGAGCTTCCTTCGGTCTAATTCTATTTTCAGCACTTTATCATTATCGGGATCAACAGCGAGATACAAATTCCCCTTTTAATCACCTGCGCGGATCTAAACCCTTTCTGAGCGTTTAAATTACGCATTTTATTCCTGTTTATAATATCGATCGTCTAATTATCTATGGGCAGACGAAGCGCGCGTTCGTATTTGAGCAGATTGCCGCAAGCAGTAATTACCGAGTAGAATAGATGAAAAGTATCGAGAAAGGGAAGAGACGGCCAGGCTCGCAAATCGTAGAAATTTGTGCGAGATTAGGTAAGGTATGTGTTCGGGGACGGAGGTGGTCGGTCGTACAAGAGCTTCCGTTGGCTATTCTAGGTAGAAGTTCGATATCGCAGGCCCGGACCCAATCCGATAAGCATCATCAATTCAACCCCTTCCTCCACAATATCATCATCAACACGAATAGCAACATCTAAAATGATCACACGAGCGCCCACGCAACTCTTCCGGGTCTCGCTCGGTGTCACGGCCAAACCCCCGATCCTGATCTCCGCGCGGCAATTCTCCACAACCAGAGAGAAGCAGGCAAAGAACCGCATCTACACCCCGTGCGTGTCCCCCGCCGGTGCAGCTAGCTCACCTGTGCAATCCACCCACTTCGCTGACCTCCATTGACACCTTCTTCGCTGCAGTGTCCGGCGCGAAGACGAGTTCCAATCCTACCTCTCGCTGTCCACCAGCTCCCGAACGCCCCTATTGACTTTCTGGACCGCCTCGTACTGCAATACCTGCAAGACCGTGTCTCCTATCCTACAGGAGCTTGTGAAGTCTGGGGTCGGCGAGGAGGAGGGTGGAGTCTCATATTGCGAGATCGAATACGATTCTATGGATATCATGGACAGTGGGCTGGGAATGACATATATGATTACAAGCATGCCAACGCTGTTGAGTTTCGACCGCGGAGAGGCACAAGTCAATACCAAGATCGTGGATCCGAAGCAGATGAGGGATGTAGAAGGACTCAAGGAATGGATACGGAATGAGGCTAAGAGGGGAGGTAGTGGTGGTGGTGGTGGAGGAGGTTTTGGGGGAGGTGGACTGTTTGGAGGACTGTTTGGGACTGGAGCAAGGAAGTAATGGGTGGGTGGTGTTCATATCTCGTGGATTCACAAGGCCCCTGGCCTTCATCAAATGTCCCTTGCCAGTTCTGGACTATCCCCTATGTCCATATGTATTCGACCTTCATGGGAAGTAGAAGACTTCCTCGACACCTTTCCACCACGGTGGCTCGCCATCGTAGCTGCACTTGGCTCCGGGCACGAACGATTCTTGGAAGCTGTCTGTCATCTTCCACCATTCCTGGACCTTTGGATTCTCCCTCATTCGCTCCACTACGGATGGAAGTCAGTACATTGATTGTCCGCGGACGTCTAGGAAAACGAAGCACCCGGCTTGTCTTGAAAGAAAACAGGTTTTGAAACTGCATGCCAGCTTGGAAAGGTGTATAGAAGGATCTTACTGTCGCCAGCCCAGTTATACCCAACATACTTGAAATTCGCAAACAGAATTCCCGTGTCCGGATCATGGAAGATAGAGTCTACCACACACGAAATCGCACGTTAGCAAGGGATCGGTCCCTCCACTTCAATTTTGCTCAGATAATAGGGGACGGGACCAAGAAGAAGAAGAGCAGGAAGCCAAGGTATCCATCCATCCACATCCCAACTTACAATCCTCAATGTTGCTATCCTTAATCTGCTTCAGCACCTCCGGCCACACCTGGGCATGACACCGCTTGTACTCCTCCACATGCTCTTTTCGCAGCCGCACAATCTGCGCTATCCGCTTTCCCTGATGCTTCATCTTGTAGGCCGGTTTCGACGCTGCGCTGTGGGTCCCGGCGGCGGCGGTAGTTGTCACCGATGCCGGGTTCGAGGAGGTGGAAGTTCCAGCCCACATTGGAGGGGATTTTTCTTTTTTCTTTTTGTATTTGCTGCCTCTCCTTCGACTCAAATCGGGTCTGTCAGGCGATGGAAATGATGGACGTGTGCAATTGCATGCGTGTGTTTGCGTGTGTCGGCTGGAAGTGCAAGAAACGGAATCAGGATGTGTGTTGAGGAGGTTCAAAGAGGGGTACGATTAATCTGATCTGATCTTTGGTGGGGGTTGCGAACGGGGAGGGATCACAGCTTGAGCTTGGCTGTTTACTTACGGAAGGTAAGGTACCCGGTACCACTACAGTAAGTGCGGGGTCGAGCAAGCTCCCCCAAACTCAAGAATCGCAAGAGGAGCTACAGTACTAGGTACGTAAGTATCAACATGTATAACCAAAGAAAGTGGTGGTTACTTAGATACAAAGCTGATTGGTAGCTACCGAAATCAATGCCATCATCAGACGTGGAAGCGGAAGCGGAAGCGGAAGCGGAAGCGGAAGCCCTTCTTCTCTTTCCCACGTCTCGTTTTCGCATTTTCGTCTCACCGTTGATGCTTTTCACCGCCAGCAAAGCAAGCAGGGCACCCACACTGAGCATGCCCAGCGGCCGCTCCGGCAAAGCAGAGCGGCCCGCCCCCTGTCGTTCTTGACGGGTAGAGTAGGTACCGTAGCGAGCAGCTAGCAATCAATTACCGATACCGGTACCGGTATCAGTGTACCTCCGTACGAAGGAAAGCCAAGTCGTAGATTGAACAAACATACCAACCTACCCGGCGCGCTTCACACACGTCATAGGCCACCCGATTCACTTGCCCACGCTGCGTTGGTTAGCTCTCACCTTTTACCTAGGGTCGGCGCACTCTGAGGTGGTGCAACGGCGTGTGGGCAGGTTTGAGAAGGGGAGGGGTAGCACGAGGGGTAGCACCCAACTGGATCCAGCTCACCCTCGCCCTCATACCGGTACCTCCTCGACGTCAACAGCGCTCTGATACCGGGACCGTTTTCATCTCGCTCTTCGGGCCGGGTCATCCAAAACGCCGGAAATATTTGGCGCCCTCTCTCCATCCGTGGAATCAATGTTTCCCATCCGTTCATCTGATCCGTGGACATAGAAGAATAGTTTCTGATCCATGATAACATCGACTTACCCAAATGAAGAAAATATCACCATTCCAGTCCTACCCGCGCCACAGCCGTAAGAAACAGCAGTAAGAACAGACATGGATTAAAGGAACGACAGCTGGCGGGTCGCACGCGCTCGGAGAAGGTCTTTTCCTAGTTATAGTACATGCGGCGAGGAGACGCTCGTCCGTTCAAGAGAAGTACAGCGCTTCTGCAAGGTAAATAACGCCGAAAATCAGAAAAGCAATCGCGCCGCCCAATGTGACTGCTATATGTTAGCCCAGGATTCAGGAATCGGACTGTCTTTCTGAGCAACTCACCAACTCTCAAGCTCACTCTACCGGCAATGGCTCGCCCGCCAATGACTGCAATGCCTGTACATACAGCATGTCCACTTATCGCTCCGCCAGTTACCCACCAGTAGTCCTGACCTGCAGCCATAGCAATCGTAGCGATTTGACTGCGATCGCCCCATTCGCCGAGGAAGGTCATGATGAAGGTCTGTACCCAAGCTGGACTCAGGAGAAGCGAGAGCAGGTTATTGAGGCCTCCCAGAACCCCCTTTACTGCTGAGCGAGGGGGAGTCTGCGGACGATCTGGGGACGAGGATGGGCTTCGTGGCGGCGATGGAATTCGGGATCCAGATCTCGACTTCCTCGAGCTGGTCCGACCCAGGCCCATCTCAAGAGCATAAGGCGAAATGGAGGATCGTCTTCTTCCTTGTTGACGGGCTTGTTGCTCCTTCTCTTCTAGTTCCATTTCGACCTCCTTCATCTCTGCTGCTACGCCCTCACCGGGGTCCATTGCCAATCCTTCCTTGAGAAGACGTCCACCAAAGATGAGAAACAGCGCTGCAGCAAGGAAATTTGTGAATCGCTTCGGCAGTAAAGTGGGAACCGTATGTCCAAGCACCGCTGATAGTACGGTCATGGTGATCAAAGCCGTAAACGCGGCAGAGAATACCAGCAATCTGTCGTGCTTCATTGCCATGAGAGCTGCAACCAAGAAGGTTTTATCACCAATCTCCGAGAAGAGAATCATTGTGAGTGACAGAACATAAGAGTGGAGAGGCTGAATAAGACCATCGTTGCCCTCTTCTTCAGTTAGGCCTGGCTTGGAGGTTTCAGAGCCGGACTCTGAAATGTCAAGATGATCCTTCTGAGCAGAATTGGGGAGAGGATGAGGCATACTGTTCGGCGTCTTGGGGAGATCATCTGGTTTCTGTTCCTAATCAGTCTCCACGCAGCAAATCATGTGTCCGGCATTACCTCTAGACCGGCGAGACCGTCTCCGTCATCGTCATCCTTGTCAACCGTAGCCTTCATCTTTTCGTTGCCGGTTTTGATCTGCTCACTATGGGGTAGCGGAGGAGGCCCCTTCGGTGATTCCGGCTTCTTCTCGACCTTCTCTCCTGTCTGGCCTTCCTGTGCTTTTTGTGCCTTATTCCTCTCGCTAACTCCACCCTCTGTGCCCGTTGTACCCTTGATGGGCTTTTCTCGACTCGGGTCGTCCATTACCCCATCATTGGATTGAGGTATCTTCTCACCATCAATCACTATCACCTCTGGCTTGTCGTCCTTCGATGAATCCTTCTCTGCATCGTTGAGCGCTTTGCTGTTGTCTTTTCCGACCCAAGGGCCAGCGTGTGGCTTGCCATCCTTTCCATCAACCGGCGCATCTTTTGTTCCAACCTCGAATCTCGACTTGCTGAGATCGACAGTGCTGGACGGTACTGGTGGTTCTACTGCATGGGAATCTTCCCGGGCAGCAACTACTAGAACAGATGCCAATGATGGCAGTAGCAGAAGTAGCAGGGGCGCAGGGCGTCTGCGGAACTTCATGTTGGTATATGGACTCCCGTGGTGATGAAAAGTCGAGTTAGTAGGAAGGAGAATATGACACGCGACGAAGAAAGCTCCGGGCAGGCTGAGCGTCGGAGAATCTACGGTACGGCAGGCGGTACCGACTGACAATGAGACTGAGCGGAGGGAGTGTGAAAGGTTGGATAGATGGAAGAAAATCAGAGTAGAGTAGAGAATTGAAGGGTTAGAGAAGAGCAGAGTAGAGTAGAATAGAATTGAAGAGAGTTAAAAGTCGAAAGGAATGTTGTGTGGGCTGAAGGTCGCGCGATGGCGCAGAAGGGAGCAAAGGTAACCAGTACGGTACGGTACTCTTCATGCGCTGACAAGGGGGAGGGGCATAGGGGCCCGTAATGCTGGGTTGGTTGGAATATGGGGAAGCTCTGCACAGTCGCAAGAGGAGGTGCTACTGTATTTAACAATGTCCGTAGTAATAATACTTCCCTACTTACCTACTAACTACTAACTTACTTACTGAACTTAGTTACTTAGTTACTTACTAGCTTACTTACCCGTACTCTATGTAAAGTCAGAACGATTTGCAGACCTCAGGCAGCTCTCTCCTGTCCTGGATCTATATCGCTCAGCTTCTCTCGAGACCAGAGACTACTTAAGAAAAAAGTAACTCCTCACCTTTGCCTAAGGCTCCTTCCGACAGGGATCGACCTTCCACACGTGATCCCGAGTATGATATGGAGATCTCGCGATTCTGAGAATCAACAAACCGCGTCTACTCAGCCTTCCCCTCCGCCCTCCCCCTCCCCCCCTCTTCAACCTCAACCTCAACCTCAACCTCAACCTCAAACTCAACCTTAACCTCAACCTCAAAGTACGCCGCAAATAATCCAAACACAAGTACACATATCTAACCCGACATGGCTCGGGTCAGTGTCCGATCCTCTGTGTCGCGCGGAGAAGCATCCTCTCCGCCCAAACAAAGAAAGTCGCCAAGCCCAACTGGACCCCGAACGAGGTCAGGTCGAAGCCGGAGCCACAGTGTGGAACCCGAGGCTGCCATGAGCAGGAAGAAACCCGGAAAGAAGATTGCACGTCAAGCCAGTGTGGAGAGCGATGGTGGCGTCACGAGTGCTGCCAGTAGCGTGCGAGCAACGCCCTCTAGGAAGACAATTCGGGCTCCTCCACTCAACCCAGGTCGGGATTCTCCATCCATGGCTAAAATACTGTGCTGATCTATCCACACAGATCTTTCCGTCGTGGAGGAAATAGACAGCAGTGGATCAGAGCACTCAGAGGATGAAGGTATCGGACTTGAAGGTCCAAGTCCACACTCGTCCGCAGTCTTGTCGCCGCTGTCTGGAACGACTACCCGAACGACTTATTCAGAAGGTGAAATGGGAGAAATGGATCGGTCTGATCAGATAGCGAATTCTCTGCCTACTCTGTTCGTCAACTCCAGCGAACTCCTCGACCTACTTGCGCCCGACAACGCAACGGCGGGCGACGTAAAAAATATAACCAAACTGTCGAGGCTCCCTGGTCAGCCGTTCGCATCACAGTTGAAAGAGTACGAAGACCGCTTCAAATCAGTAAAACAGACTTATGGAAGTGACATTATTTACATTCGGGCATCTGTCGTCCTGAAAAAAGTTAACGGCACTGAAAATGCGGACGACGGAAACTGGCGCCCTGATCCAGTTATATATGCCGCCAATCTCGCAACGTTGGTGTTAGAATTGGTCCCTTGTATTGAGGGAAGCGAAGCTACTAGGCTCGCGTTGCTAAGTATTTGCCAAGTATTTCCAAAAGCGTTCGTTGGTAATTTCGACGGATACTCCGAAGTCTTTTCAACTCAACTGATGGACCAGACTTTTGATTTGGCATTGAACTTGCTCGTGCAGAAAGCCATTGCTTGTTTGAGGCACGACAGCACGAAACCCCATCTGCTCCTGGCTTCCTGTTTTTTCGAATCCCTTCCCGACCTTGACGACTTGGACCCGAGAGCCTCATTCAAGGAAGTTGCCAAAGATGCTACGCTGAAGAACATTCTCCACACTGGTAATACACAGAATCAGGTCGACATAATCTACGACACAATGGCTTCGATCAGCGAGGCGTTCCATACAGGGAAGGATGAAAAAGAAGTCAATGGTGTGGTGGATTTCACCGTGCTGGAAACCCAATTTCCTTGGCTCGATTTCATTACGGCTGTTGTCCAATGGAGTCGACTTCGCTTTACTGAACTGTCCACATCTATCAAGCATCGAGGAGGGATTGAAAATATCAAACAATCTTTGATAGAGCTTCTGGAAAATGTCAACAGCCAATCACCGACACCCTCCTCGCCAGCTCGGTCGGTTAATCAGCAACGGCGGCCAGCACCTAGCATTGCCCCAGGGCATCAAAGGTATAGTGGCGCCGTCTCTATTTTCATCGTCTTACTTAATTCGGTCCTTGGCAAAACAGCAATCATCCATGACGGAAAGTCTTCTAATACTCCATGCTAACTATTGTAGTAATACCCCGGGTTTGACCAAGGCCAAATTGATGAAGCGAAAGCGGAGCGAGGCTGACAATTACCCTGCACCAAAGCTGGGAGCCACTGCTGCTTCCTCGTCCTCCCACACTCTAACACGCTCAACACAAGGTGTACCTGTCCCGATTCCAACAGAGCTACCTGCAACCAAAAGGCAGAAGCGAATACAGCCGATATTAGATAATGAAAACGATGATCATGTTGACGAAGACCTAGACTCAACTGCTGAATATACTACCGCATGGAACGAGCACAGCAGAGAAAAGAACAAGGAGAACCAAACGCCGGCTGTAGAGCCTAACGCTCAAAGAATAAGCAATGATCGGGATTTGAGCCAGGAAGATGTCGCTGGTCCTTCAACACCGAAACATTCTCGTGCTCGGCGTGAAGAGAGTGAGCAGAGCGAGGACCAGGGGTTTCAAGAGGACCAAAGACGGATTGATGACCGCCGACGCAGGGCTACGGCACTTACAGCTCGGCGAAATTCTCCTGAACATGAGGATCAACCGCAACCCCGAGCACGGGCCCAGGTCAATGGGCGTGAGCCCAGCTCACGTGTTGAGTCCAACGGTGCAGCTGCGCCGCGACAGGAAGATGTAAGAGCTGCATTATCCATACTACAAGCTCAAGATGAGGAAGACGGCGAAGATTATCCGGCACCATCGTCCACACAGGCAGCTCTGTCCGCCCGTCTTGAAACCGCCCGTGCGAGAGGCCCGCAACCTCCCAGGGGGCGCACACCCTGGTCGGATGAAGATTCTGACCGTCTCTTGGCCGGTATAGCAGAATGGGGCTGCTCCTGGACCATGATCGAGCAGACTCAAGCTTTCGACATCCCGCGTGGGCAAGTGGCCTTGAAGGACAGGGCTCGGAACATGAAAGTTCAATATCTCAAGTATGTACGGATTCACTCTCTGCTTTTATCTCGCGACTTACTTGGTCCAGGAATCGTTGGCCTCTACCCGTCGGCTTCGAGAATGTTGCCTTAGGGCGGAAGGAAAAGGATGCCGTAAAGGCTGTCGTACCTGAATTCGATGAGTGAGAACCAGAGATTCATTCGCGCTTAAGGGGGGGATCTCTCGTTTAGGTTATTCGTTCCAAAATGTAGATAGAGGGGCGCTTTCTGGTTCTGGGATTTTGACAAAGTGTCTGGTCGGTGGTTGATACCTCAGATCTTGATGGCCGAACTTCCTAAGCTGGAGAAATGTTCCTCGTATGGGGTTTTCTCCCTTGAATTGTAGGCAGAATTTTGAAGTTCTCTCTACATTTACATTTCGCAACAATTGCTCGTCTCGAAGGTGATTAATGCTCCAAACCAATCACAGTAGGTATGCGGCAGGCCCCGAAGCATCACCAAGCGTTTGGCTTGGAAAAGCTTGTTTTCAAGTCGTCACATGTAGGACCCGACCCGACTATGCTCGATGCATGCATAGGTATATACATGACTCGTCCCTCGTCCCTCAAGACAAGACTTTTGCCGGTGGCCAACTTACAGTCCACGTCGACTACGGGATGAACATCGAAAACAGCTGAAACCCATGCACGAGCGGGCTCTGCATGTCCCACTGTGCCAGTTTGACTTCATCTACGGAAAATCAACACGGCTCCTCTTGTCCCTGTTCAACCCCAAATTTTATCCCGGACTCGGTACCCCGTTTGCAGACGATCCTCTCTCGGAATCAAGATTGCCTACCTACAGCCTGTGATAAGCCGCATGGCACGACTTGGTTTGCGGAATGAAGAAAGACGAGCTGGCGATTATGGACTGGGAGAGGGGTGCCGAGTTGGAGAAGGGAGAGGGGCAGATGGTGTATAAAGAGGTCGCCATGGTGGAGGTACGGCAGAGGCAGAGGCAGAGGCAGACGGCATCAACGTGGGACTATATCAGGGCATGGTTCCCACACTGGTCGATGAAAGACATGCGCTGATTTGAGAAATCTAGGTTATAGTTGCAGCCCTCGTCGTCTGCTTCCTGCTCTGGCAGCGACTCTCTGATGCTCGACCTGCGACGCAAGCGCACGAAGTGGTGGGGGTACCTCAATATGTTCTGGACTATGGTACGCATACAATAAGAAGCCATATACAATCTGCGAGCCATTCCTGACTCTTACTCCCAGCCCCATTGGTATGGCTTCACGCCGGTGAAGTCTACTTCCCCTCCGATATCTTCGCGCAGGTCAAAAACACACACCCAAATGTCAACCTAACCGCAATCGAAAGCCCTCCCTCTCTTACGCTTGAAAATCTCGATATCCTGAATGCCTATGGCGACATTGGCAGAAACGTATATCTTACATCAAACATCGATGTTACAACAGAGCCCGTGTGGCTTACTGGCATCGTCCCTGACTCTACAGGAAAAACCCGCAACATTACCAGCTCGGCCATCATAATCAACGACCGCGGCAACGGCACTGTCGACGCTTTTTATATGTACTTCTACGCATTTAACCAAGGTAACATAGTATTCTTCCAAGAACTCGGCGACCACATCGGCGACTGGGAGCACAACATGATCCGTTTCCAAGACGGAGAACCACAAACTATGTGGTTCAGCCAGCATGGAAACGGACAGGCATTCACATACAAAGCCGTCGAGAAGGAAAGCATGCGGCCCATCTCATACTCAGCCATGGGGAGTCACGCCAACTATGCAGTACAAGGTACGCACGACCACCTCATCCCCGACTTGAACCTCCCGGCCGGCTTTCTACAGGATTATACAAGCAAGGGTGTGCTCTGGGACCCCACCCTCTCAGCTTACTTTTACAACTTCAACGGCACCTCGTCGACGTTTGAGAGTATTGAGGGGAGTCCGCTGGGGGTAATGTACTATAGGGGACGCTGGGGAGACCAGCAGTATCCAGATGGAGATCAGAGGCAGCCGGCTCCGTTCTTTGGGTTTAGGAAGTTTGTGAGTGGGCCAACGGGGCCATGGGATAAACAGTTGAACCGGACCAGGATTTGTCCTGATAATGGCATTCTGTGTATCATTAGGGAGACCTTGGGTCCGTAATCTGGGCCAAGGTTTGAGCTGGTTCATCCTCATTTTTTAACTTTGCGATGCATCAACACAGGAGGAGCATTGCAGGCAGGACTGTGGGTTGGATTTATTCTCTTTAGATACCCAGTTGGGCGGTTGGATTGGAGTTTTGGATCTCGGCATAGCTATCCAGTTGGGACACGAGAGACGGGAAGAAAGAAACGACAGCCTGTATTCGGGTGTCGGGGCGAGATGTAGCAAATATAGTGACGAGGAAAAACAATATCTAGAACCCAAAAACATTACAGAGGCCCGCACATAGAAGCGAGATTCTAAAATCCAAAAACGTAATCGAATACGTTATCTCGGCGTTCCAATATCCAGTTTGTCCTGAAGATGACTCTGCCTACTGAGCCATCCCGCCTGCTGGATGACTGGCGTGTGAACTGTTTGGGTATATCAATAAGGTGCGAAATTTTTCTGCGTAAGCGAGCTGAAGCGCGTGCTCGCCTCCTGCCTTTTCAAGAAACATTATCACTGCGTCTTTTTTCTCTCACCAAACATCCCCCGGGGAAGTGGGTGGATCGGTTATTATTAGCAACTTCTAGTCTGAGTTGGATGTTTCGCTTCTCTAGATGGATGTATGCGATCAACTACAGCTCCATTAAGCTCCTACTAAGGTCCCGGGGTGAGTGAGTACATGTAAATACACTTCTATCAACAGCCAGCCTCAAGCTTCTCTGACGCGTGAAGATCATGGGCATGCGCTTGTTATTTCTGCTATGTAGCCACCGTTGTCTTCTTGTTTTTGATTTTGCTGCTTTGCTGCTTTGCTTACCCTGCAATCTCTACCGAATGCCAGAGCTAGGTCTGACATTCTGAGCGGTTCATGGATAAGGCAGATGAATGGATCGATCTGCTGTCTCTCCTCGCGGTCCTACAATCACAGCTGTCGCTGTCATTCATCTACATGTCCCTCTCTCCCCTCCACACCGTTCAGATCTTGCCAACCCAGCAACAGCGGGTATTGCAACAGTGCAACCAGTCTCCTCCTCCTCCTCGTCGCGGAAGGAGTTCTCGCCCGAACGAGCGGGGCGTCGATCTCCTTCCTCACATAAGTCAACCCTTCCTTTCGCAAATCCGCGACAGTGGTGTGGATCCAGGTGGGTTTTACATCGGTAGGCTCACTTTTCGAAGGTCTGAACTTCTTGCGGCGAGCTCGTGGAGCCGCGCGGGCCTTTATCAGCGTGCACTTGCTCCAATGGTTCTTTGCAATAGTCGACTTCTCGAGGCACTTACCTTTATTCGACCCCTCCCTCCTCTGTAAGTCGTGGCACTTACCTATCTATCTCTTTGGACAAGCCAATAGTCACCAATGCAGTAAGTAAACAAGCTCTCACTTTTTGAAATGCTGTATGGTTTTTCCATTAGCGACCTCCGTAAGTCTAGGCTGAGTGAAGTGAGGCAGTTGCCAACTCCGATGATTAGGCAGGACTCGGAAGTTACATCCCGCTTGTTCTGTTACTGGACTTAGAGCTCTCATAGTCTGGAAAAGCTATATAATAGACAGGATGGTAGGCTCTGGATGATCACGCACGATTGCTGATCTGTGCAACATGTCTAGATCGTTCTCCAAGGTGAGGTGCTGATGCGTTTCTGCTCTGGGTAGCACTGCAGCTCGAATATTTGCCTGTGTAACAACTACAATCTCTCTTCGTTGGTAAGTAAGATCATTCGGTATTGGTTTATAGTATATTTAGGTGGAATATTTGCTGTTAACCAGGTAGCAGCTGTTGAATTCTTCCTCGCTGTCAATTTCCAGATTTCCAGACGCAGATCTCACATAGTGCCTTGTCCTCCTATTCAATAAGACCATCGTGACGTTGAAACATTGAGCGGGGGGGGGGGGGGCAGTTTATGATGCTCAAGCGGAATGAAATCGTGATTTTTGAAAAATAGAGGTTTAGTTACAGCTCACGATTTGCTTCTTCTTAGTGGGCTTTTCGATACTAATTTGAGAGCTAGAGTATCTAGGAATCTGATATACTCTGCATTGCGAATTAAAGACACGAGACCAACTGCGAATTCACCACTCGTATCTCTGACGAACTATCAAGAAGTGAAGTTGGCTAGTTTAGATGGTGAAGCAACTATCCTTTCTCGCGTCACTCCTCTTAAAGATTATATGTCATATGAATCATTCCAAATAAGTTTTGGAAAGGCACTTCACCCGCTGGTTTCACTAATTTCCTTGACATACGTGGGACGCTAATCGACAGATTTGAAGTTTCCCCCGGGGGAGGTGATTTCTGGCATTTACCGAGACGGACGGGCGGTGGGCGATCAGAGTACTAGCAGTGGTAGCAGAGACTATAGCGAGCGATATCGTATAGCTTTTGGGCTCAGATGAAGGGTCTCTTACGAGCTAGCGAAGTGCTCGTACCGATTCACTCAGGCAGTAGGAAGCGAGACATGGCGAAATATTCAAACATCGAAGCGACGTTACCAGATGGAAAGCTAGATCAGCAGTTCCATTCACGGCCAGAGGAGAAGAGCAATGCCAATGACAGACGGAAAAAAACAAGTGCATCAGAATGAAGACACTATACTGCACAATGCATCCGGACATAGAAGGGCTTTGGCCCAACCAAGTAAGGATACAAAATCGTGCCATCGAGGAGGAACATGAATGGTCAAGGCTTGATGTTTACTTCGCCAGCTCGCTTAGTAACAATATTTTGTATAGCGACTCCTTCGAGCTTCTCGATTTTGCTGCCTACCCAATTGAGCTGATAAGCTCCTACGAAATTGCACAGCACCAAGGCTCCGGCTTCAAGTGCACTAGTCAAGCTGGAGTACCACCAACGGAAAATGTTACCTCCTATATTAGTTAAACTCCTATATTAGCTTACCTTGACTGGCTGTAAAAGTCGCGCTGACATCTTTGAGTACTTCTCGAAGTAGTTGAAGCATCCACCATGGAAGTTCAGCCGTCAATCAATGCACTCGAATGAAATAGAAATCGCAGGAACATCCAGCGCATAGCGTTGGACTGGAAGTACTGAGCTGACTGATTGTACGACGCAGCTTTGGATAATGAAGGAGGCTTATGATCCTGCATGAGTCTGCACAAGATTGCTGCCTGATTGGTTCGTAAATCCTAGAGACAAGCCCTGCCGCTCTGTATCTAATTGTCAGTATATGCCTTTGCTTAATCGCAATAACATACAGTCACATCTGTACCCAAAACCCATCTCAAACCATAACATGATTCTCCCACCTCACTACCCCACCACAAACCATCTTCCCCCCAACCGCGTAATGCATCTGACTGACCACCTCATCAAAAGCATCCCGATCAGCCTCCTGCTCAGGTCTCCGGGGAACCCTCACGACCCTCTCAAACCACTCGCCACCTCCCCCACCAACCTTCAAATCCTGCATCACCGTATCAAATAGCACAAGCTCAGCAAGACTTTCCATATAGCTATGTAGCAGCTCACCGAACTCCGCGTCCTCCCATACCAGCTCCAAAGTCCTGAAATGCCCCAGCCGCGCTCGACTGGACAGCGTATGTAGCACCTTGCGGAGGGCGCTGATTTCGGTATAGGAGCTGGTCATGCGGATCGTGACCCGCTGGATCAGCCGGCTGGCCGTCTGACCCATCAGCTTGAGCGTGCGTACGATGCCGAGCCCGCGTCCGGACTCGTGCAAGCCGTCGAAGTAGAAGGTGTTGTTGTCCCAGAACAGGCCGTGCGTTTCGTGGTAGATCTGGCGACAGGTGCTCGGCAGAGCGAGGCTTATCGACGTGCGGGTATCCTTGCCCTTCCAGGGACGCCGGGTCTGGGACCTGGGGATGAGAGCGTCGCCATTGCGGGCGTCGTGGGGATTGGTGAGGAGATGGAGCTTGGTTTTGGCTGTGAAGTTGCGGCGGCGGGATTTCAGGGTGGCGTAATGTGGCGTGAATGTAGGAGTGACGAGCCCGCTGGGCGAAAAGAGTACATACTTGTAAATTTCGTCGCGGATTTCGCGTGGCAAGTCGAGGAAGGAGGGCATGTGTTGTTGTTGAAGATGGAGTTTAAAGGGGGAGTTCGAAGGAAATGCACGCGTCGGCCCGGGCCTCGGCAAGATTTGATGGGTAAATTGCAGGGTAGGTACCTTGTAAGGAAGCTGAAGGTCCAATGTCACAATGTCCTGGTCAATACAATGATGTTGGAATAATTTTGGGAGCATGGAGATTTTGTGTAATTGGTCACTCAAGTCATGTCTTTGCGAGTTTTTGACCTGCTGAAACTGAGGAACCAAAGCAGTGCCAAGCCGAAAGAGAGACTTTTTTCAACTTTGGTCTTATATGAGCCATGTCATTTTTTTTGCAGCACTTAGATATCATGCTTTCAAGAAACAGTCTGCCTTGTTATCCGTAGCGGGTGTTCCTGATGATTTTCCAAATTTACCTCATTTGGTCGAGATACAAGACAAAGGGGTACATCTCGCTAAGCTTGTTTACACGCTTCTTCGTTGATATGAGTAACGACTTCAGCCTTCCTCCCTAATTAACCCACTTCCACATGACCTCGGCTACTGGAATCTAGCACGCAGCTACAGGAAGCACACCCAGTGCCCCGAAGATTAATGCACACCCACCATATACTCTCCTTCGGCCTGGCCACCACATACTTTCCCTATCCAAAACACAAACCACCACTGTCTATATCATCTCTACCTGACCCAAACACCGTCTGATATCCTCCTCCGCCAATGCAAATGCTAGGTAAGATTTTCTGGATGACGCCAACTTTGGCGTTGGCGGAAGATCGATTTTCGAAAATTAAAAAGGATTTGTAAATTGGAGAGTTGGATGAGGGTAGTGCTGGTAAATAGACTGCAAAGAATTGTTGCATTATCTATCTATCTCTGAGGACATTGCTGGCGATTTGATTGTAGTTTGTGGCGTTGTGAGAAGCATGGGAAGAGAATGCCGGGCAGGAGGAGGCTGGTAGGTAGATGGATCCCGAAGAATAGGACCTGGGTCGATGCTAAGAGGGAATTCACGATAACTCTTGACGAATGATTTAAGCAGATAGGTATAGTGCCAGTAAAGTTTGATGGCGCCAAGACTGATCCACCTGGGACTTGTTCTGCTCTGTAAATCGCACTCATAGCGGTTGAAATTCAAGGAGTAGAAGCCTGGAACTTGAAATACCCAAGATCAAAGTGATGGGCAGCGCAGTATACATAAATATTTTTGCAGTTATATAGAAACTTGGAAACTGCTTCTCAATATAATAGTGCTTGTGGCAGTGCACAGGCTGTCTCTTGTGATTTGTATGCCTTTCAAGCTGCGTCATATGTCCCGGCCAAGCTAGCATGAGCAATATCAAAATATCTTGAAATTGAAATTTATAGAGAATCGATTGTTCGCTGATATTCTATGATATACTCAAGCGATTAAAGGATGCATCAGCGAGATCTACGGAATCGCTAATCTTTTAGGTTTCTATTTATGCTTGAAAGTCTTCCAAGTCCGCCCTTACAAATGAATAGATCGGCATTTCTTAGAGGATCTGGCTAGGCTATCTTTATGACCACTCCGATGTCCACGAAGAGATACGGACCTCACCCTGGGGTGCTATGCAGCTCTGGCGAACTAAGCGATGCCCTTAACTTGGATCGGTCCTCTCAACCGAGGAGCGTCCGTTGAGTAACAAGATACCCTGAATGAATATTATCTGTTGGAAATAAGGCTACGCTGTACCAGGACATCAACAGCAGGTGAAGCGAGCTCGAAGCGAAGTCACCAAAGATGATCATAAGGAGGACGATGGCAGATCAAATCAAGAGAAAGAACCCAAATACCAGGAAGGGGAGGGCTTGCTTGTTCCTTTTAAAGATGATTCGCATGGGCGATTCATAGTAAACAAAGAATCGGCAACGTAGCGCGATGTTGGAGCTCAAATAAGGCTTCGTGACGGTATTGACAACCGAGGTGGAGGAAGAGTGGGTCTGAACTGAAGAGGGATACAAAGAGGGATATAAAGGGGGATATAAAGAAGGATATAAAGAAGGATATAAAGGGGGATATAAAGAAGGATATAAAGAGGGATATAAAGAGGGATATAAATAGGAACAATACTCCTAATCGATTTGTTTAAACAAAGGCTTGTCCTTTCAGTTCGCTCGCTTGCTACTAGTCCGTACTTTGTATGTAGTATTTTCTATTTTCCTCTTTCCTCCGACAGGGAAATGAATATGCGCCCGCGGCTCTGGACCGAACTATTCCACAGCCAATGACCAGCTCCTGATGCGCCCAGAAACGTCATCGGGCGCTAAGATCCTTGTCCACAACGTTAAATGTCGAGCCAGGATTTAGAGCCAGCATTTGAGCATTTGAAGCCGGAGACCCCCCCAACAAATAATTAATCAACCGCGACTCACAACCTGTGAATGTCCTCTTTAATCCTTAATCCTCACTCCAAACCCAATCTAACACAACACAACACAACACCTTTCAACAAAATACAACCCAACATCACCCATCTCAACCCAATCTGCAACCTGCAACCTGCAACCTGCAATCTGCGGCCAGACCGCTCTCCAACCACATTCCCATGTTTCGATAGCGACGAGGTTCCTCCTACGAACCCATCATGTCCTCCACAACTGCTCCCAGCGCCGCGGTGACCTCCTCCCGTGAAGCCTTCGGTGCAGGCCAATCCCAGCAAGGAATCAGTCTGGTGGCCTTCCTTACTGCGTTGGCCACGGCCTTGGTTATCTTTGGCATCCAGATGTTGGCATTTCTGCTGCTGAGGAACCGACTGGCACGCATCTTGTGAGATTTTACCCGCAGATGCCAGCCAGCTATCGATGTGGGCCATTGCTAACGTTTGTAGCAAACCAAAAACCTACCTCGTACCAGAAAAAGAACGAACAGATCCTCCGCCCAGGACGCCATGGGGTTGGCTGGTAGCTATTTTCCGATTTACAGACCGAGAAGTGATCAACAAATGCGGTCTTGATGCCTACTTCTTCCTGCGATATCTCCAGACGCTCCTCGTCATCTTCTTGCCCATGGCTGCGATCATACTCCCGATCCTGATTCCCCTTAACTACGTTGGTGGCCGAGGTTCACACTATGAGGAAGATGTCAAGGCGGCAGGTGGTAATGTGACCTCCACAACTATCGACGTGAAAGGATTGGATGCTCTGGCCTGGGGAAATATACGGCCAACACATACCCGTCGGTATTGGGCGCATCTGGTCCTTGCGATACTCGTTATCATCTGGGTCTGCGGCGTATTCTTTACGGAGATGAGGGTTTACATTAAGGTTCGACAGGATTACCTGACATCAGCGGAGCATCGTCTGAAGGCTTCAGCAACTACAGTACTTGTCAGTTCTATTCCATCGAAGTGGCTTACTCAAGAAGCGCTGGCTGGGCTGTACGACGTTTTCCCTGGAGGAATTCGAAATATCTGGATCAATCGTGATTTTGATGAATTGCTAGAGAAGATCAAGGAGCGAGACAAGATACATATTAGGCTAGAAGAGGCTGAGACGGAGCTTATACGAAAGGCTAAGAGGGCCCAGAAGAAGCAATTGGCAAAAGACGAGAAGCATCTGGCGAAAGAGGCTCGTCAGCCTCAGACGAAGGCGCAAAAGACCCAAAGATTAAAAGAAGAGAATGCGAAGGCTGATCAAATGGCCCAAGCAGGAGGAGTGAGCAACGCCGATCCCAACCATCAGGTGCCTCATACCCTTGAGGATGCTATTGACGAAGAGGAAGAGAGAGCGAGAGAGCAAGGTATGGAAAACGGGGTCCATACCGACGGTCAGACCAACTGCCAGGTAAACAGAAGCAAAAGCTACAGAGTTCCTCTGATCGGAAACGGCCTCGCCGCCGTCGGGCAGGGCTTAGGTAAAGGCTTTCAAACATTTGGCAAGGTGGGCGATACCGTTATTGATGGAGCTCGAAATGTCGGGAGAGACTTGAGTGACCAAGTTGAAACTACAAATGGGTTCCTTGCCATGGATGCACGATCGATAGCAGAAGACGATCCGTATGATCAGTATGGACGTTACCGTGGAAATGCAGCTTTCAGGCAGGCCGCTGCAGCTGCCGCTGACGATGTGCAGGGGCGGGACCAGTCACCCACCTCATCAAGGGTTGCTGGAAACCATGCACAGGATACGGCATACAGAGGCAATAAAACCCGACAAGACCATGGATTGGACGGCACCACCGATTACGAGGGCCGCGGATGGGAGTTCTTGAGATTCTGGAGACCACCTGCGGGAGGATTTGCTTCACCAGTGCCAACAGGATACGAGGAAGGTGACGGATTCCCGTTTGCCCAAGATGGTGGCGGGTCTGTATCCAAGGGAACAGGTCAAGACGAGAAGAAGTCATTTGTGGCAAAGGTCAAATCCGCTATACCATTTCTCGGCGGGCAGGAAGAACAACACTATCCAGTGGCATACAACGAGGAGTACAGAGAAGATGCACAAGGTGCCGCCTGGGAAAGATACTTGAAGGAAAAAGATCGACCGACTCACAAGAATCCGAAGCTCAGTTGGTGGCCTGGCTGGCTTACCTGGATACCATTCACAGGCACTAAAGTAGACTCGATCTACTGGTGCCGAGGAGAATTGGCCCGCCTGAACCTGGAAATTGAGATGGACCAGAAGCACCCGGAACGTTTCCCCTTGATGAGTTCCGCATTTATTCAATTCAACCACCAAGTCGCTGCACACATGGCCTGCCAGGCTGTCACCCATCATGTACCGAAGCAAATGGCTCCAAGAACTGTTGAGATCTCCCCTAAGGATGTTATCTGGGACAATATGTCTATCAAATGGTGGGAGGCTTGGTTCAGAACCGCTGTCGTTCTCGGGATTGTGATTGGCATGGTGGTGCTCTGGACATTTCCTGTTGCTTGGACTGCTTCGCTTGCCCAGATTGAAGGATTGGCGCTCAAGTACAAATGGCTGAAATGGTTGACGAGGATCCCACGCAGAGTCCTCCAAGCTGTTGCGGGTGTACTGCCAGCTCTTACTCTCGGTATCCTGCTCGCCTTGGTACCGGTGATACTGAAGTATCTGGCCACTGTCCAAGGAGCACAAACAGGTGTGGCGAAACAGCGATCCGTCCAGAATTACTACTTTACATTCTTGTTTGTACAAGTTTTCCTAGTTGTCTCTATATCTGGAGGTGCACTGGCAGCACTTGGCTCCGCAACAGATATCACCTCCATTCCCTCGACCCTCGCGACCAACCTTCCGAAGGCCGCCAATTACTTTTTCTCCTACATGATTCTTCAAGCTCTGTCTACGAGTTCTGGAACACTGCTGCAAATCGCTACTCTGATCATGTGGTACATACTCCCAAAGATCTTTGATAACACTCCCAGACAGAAGTGGAAGCGGAACACGACTCTGCCAACCGTCACCTGGGGTACATTCTTTCCCGTCTACACCAACTTTGCCTGCATTGCCATCATTTACAGCATTGTTTCTCCCATCATCATCATTTTCGCCTTGATCACATTCTCATTGCTGTGGATTGCTCATCGGTACAATATGCTTTACGTCTCTCGCTTCGAAATCGACACTGGTGGACTGCTATACCCTCGGGCCATCAACCAAACTTTCACGGGTCTCTATGTCATGGAGCTTTGTATGTTCGGTCTGTTCCTTTTGGTCAGGGACGATGGTGGTGACCCCACATGTATCCCGCAAGCATTTATTATGCTCGTTGTTTCAATTTTTACGGTTCTCTACCAAGTCTTGCTCAACAGTTCCTTCGGCCCTCTTCTTCACTACCTGCCTGTTACCTTCGAAGACGAAGCCGTTCTTCGAGACCAAGCCTTTGAAAGAGCCCAAGCCCGTCGCCTTGGTCTTGTCGGAAATGAAGAAGAGGAAGAAGCCGACATAGCTCAACACGATGGCGCCATCGAAATGTCCAGACTGAACTCGACTAGCCGGCGCTCCAAGTTTAACCCCATCAATATAGCTCAAGGAGCAGGCAGCTGGGCCGCCGAATCCGGACGCCAGCTTAAGAACAAGGCCGGCCTTGGGCACGATACCAGCGCTGATGGTAACCACGAACACGGAGTCTCTCAACGTCCCCATCGCCGCAAGCGCCAAAGTGACATTGAAGCCCAGCAAAAGATCGCTAATGCTCTGTATGGAGGCTATCACGACGAAATCGAGGACCTGACGCCTGATGAGAGAGATGTGCTTGTTAGACACGCTTTCCAGCACTATGCTCTGCGGGCTCGGAAGCCTACTGTCTGGATTCCGAGAGATGATATTGGGGTCAGCGACGATGAGGTAAACAGGACGAGAGAGTTTGCGGGCACCAATATTTTGATTAGTAATATTGGGGCCGCGTTGGATGCGAAATCTAGGGTGGTGTATGGGAGGAATCCTCCGGACTTCTCAGAGATCGATCTGATCAACCTATGATCTGGGATCTGGGATGGGTTGAACATAGAGTTAATACAGAAAGAGGTTGTTACAGCCAGTCAATGGCTTTGGATTTAGCGACATGGCGTTCGGCTGGGCTACGTGGGATGCATCGCATTCCTGATGGTTGTGGCTAACTACGGTACATTGCTTGAATACTCCGTAGATAGGAGAGATGCCCGTGCGCCAACAAGGCAACCAGCTGCCTTTAGTATAGCGATAGATTCTAATAGACGCTTTCGAACTTCACATAGTCTGTCCCTTCATTGCAGTGGGAGAGAAAGGGCTACACAGCAAACGTAACTACGACATGCACTTGCAGTCCTGAGCACTGTCGAAAGCCCCATCTGTCTATGTTTCTGAATCCAACTTAAGGCATGTGCTTAACCATCCGATAAGTTGCCCGAGCCGAACAGTTACATTGTCCTCCCATCCCCCCTCTGCTCTCCTCATCACACCCTCCCCTCCTCCGCCCTCCCTCTCCCAACCCAACCCCCAAAACCCACCGACAGAAACTCCTGCAATCGCTCTTTCGCAACTCCGCCCTCCGCATCATGCCATTCACGAACCGATAGAAGTGAAAGTGAACGCATGTGAGGACCCTGAAGGGTGCACCATCGACCGATCCTGATACCTTTGGATGGGTTTGAGTAAGAGCATAGCTGTTGGGACCCGAAAGACGAACTATGCCTGAACAGGATGAAGCCAGAGGAAAGAAACTCGGGTGGAGGCTCGCAGCGGTTTATTGCATGGAATTCTCTATCCCCGCGGTTGAAGAGAGTTCCCAAGTCCATATTCTATGAGCTTACAATATGTCCGAAGTGGTTTTTCAATTCCGAGTCCCCAACGCTGGAGCTGGCGGAGGAAGTCCCATGTTTTGCAGCATCAAGAAAGTCTTCCAAACGTCGACTCCCCGAACTTGGCCTGGATACTGATAAACCCGCTCTCGCTAACAATCTTTCCCCTATCCCACTCCCTGCCCTCGCCCTTCTTACTCCACTTGACATCTTCCTCACGCTTTTCACCCCCTCTCTCCCATTTGCTAACCTCCTCATCTGTAAATCCTGCAGCTCGTAAGCGGTCTGCACCCTGTTGTTTCCACTTCGTGCGGTCTCGCAAGGCTTCTAGTGCTTGATCCCAATCGTTCTCTTCATCGAAATCGAGCTGTACGTCGGCTGTAGGATCGTAGTTCGCTGAAAATCGGGAGTCGATTCCAGAGCTTTTCGACATGATACCGCGGCCTTTGCACTTCACTTCGGGAATTGGGGGTGGTCGAGGACCGATGATATCGTCGAGAGGGTCGGAGTCGTAGTCTGGTTCATTCGTTTGTTTTGATTCTGCCTTTGAAATTTTGCGCTCAGTCGAGGGAGACCGTCTGTGTCTATGCGACCGATGCGACCGATGCGATCTCTCTCCGGATCTGTCCGTCTCGGGAGATCGCGATCTTTTCCTCCTCGGCGATCTGCGTCGAATCCTGGTTTCATCGTCTATATCTCGGCGTTCCCTGGGTGATCTGTGTCTTCGTCTCTCTCTGTCTTTTCTTCTGTCTTCGGAAGGGCTTCTGTCTCTTCGAGAACTTCTGTGATCTCTAGACCTTCCACTTCCCTCCTTACCCTCATCCCTGTCTCTCTCTCGTTGGCGCTTCACTCCAGATGTCTCTTCAGGCTTGTCCTTCGATTTCTTACTCCTAGGCTTCTCCTCATCCTCACTCGAATAATTAACCGTCTTGCCCTCCCTATTCCCACGCTCCTCTCTCTTTCGCTTGGTAGAGCGTCCTCCTAGAATAGCCGCAATATCACCCAGCTGTCGTCTTCGTATATCAGCGCCTGCAACAGTCTTCTCTCGGGACGTAACGCTAGGGGCCAAGCTCTTCAGCCGGGCGCGGGACTCCGCAGCTTCTTTCGCGAGAAGCGCCGCATTGTGGCTGTCCGTGTCTTTGATGATATTTCTTAAGAATCTCGTATTTGGCTTGGGCTTGTTTGCTGGAGGTCTGCCAACGTTAGACTGGTATGTGAGCTGTAGAAGGGAGGGGTACCCACTTGGAGCGCCCGAAGGCTTCTAAGCCTACTGAAGAATATTTGATCGAGCTCTCTTTCGCATCCTTTGCTAGGAGACTAGCAACATAGTCATCTGTCAGATCTTCGCCTGCCATGGTGCTGAGCTGTGGGTGAGGGATGGTGACTTAGAAGTTGGAGGTTGCATGGCTCAGGACAGGCCGAGCCCATTTTCTGCCGAGTGGCGTCATTTACTCGACGGGCGGTGAGTCAGTTAGACAAAGGCTGTGGCTTGAAAGTAAACAAACCGATCGCGATACAATTTTCGAGGGTAATCGTACATACAAAGCCGCCGCAAGACTCTGTCGCACAAAATCGTCCATAGCTCACTGGGCTTCGGTGATTAAATCCATATACAAAAACTCGAGTCATTCCCGAATACATACATTACAACCTACGCGTTTCCGCCAATCCCACATCCGTCCTTGCAGCAGAGACCTGGGAATGCACCCAGAAGTTCGGAAAAATGGCACAGTCTCACGAGGAAATCTTAGAGGTACTCTTGGAAGCTCAGAATGGACACGAGCTATCTATCATAAAGCTCAGTGAGCCTGTCTCTGGGCAACTGAAGCAGAATCCGGGGGAACGAACTTCCGACGTCTCGGCGGATGTATTCGACAACCCAACTCCTGCAAGTCTTGAAGCGGACCTGTCGCATTACAAGGTAAACCGAGCAGGTAGTCTATACGAACATAAGCCGTTAACTGCCTACAGGAACTCTTCTCCAAACTTCGGTTCTCCTACCTTGAACAAGTCACCAAAGAGAAATTCATACGCGCCATTGTAGGAGACCCACCTTTAGTCGTCGAGCATCAGGAGAACGTCGAATTAGAAGCATCTCTTGCTGTCTCAAAGGCAGCCCTCAAGTCCCAGAAGACTGAAGTAGCAGATTTGGTGTCCGAATTGGAGAAGAGGGGTCGGGAGCTATGTAAGAAGTACGAGAATATACGGATGCAAACCTCGCAGCTACAGAAACTGCCACAAACAATCCAAGGCCTCGAAGCTAGTATCAAGGAGTTGAGAGCAGTGCAACATCCAGGATCGAACCCGAGACTGAATATGCCGTTAGAGAAGACGCTCGCGGCTGTTGAGGAGCGTGAGAGGGAGCGTGCTGAGCTGGATAGACAATTGGAGCAGTTGCAGGTTATGGTTCCGAGAAAGACGAAGGAGTTGGAGAGATTGAATGCTGAGTTGCAGCCACTAGAGGCTAAGAGACTTGGCAGTACTGCTTCGGCGAGGGAGGCAAAGAGAAGAAAGGAGGAAGCTCTGGGGGGCGTGGGTGATGATCTTGAAGAGCGAGGCAGATGGTGGAGAGGAGTCGAGAGTGGATTGAAGGGCATGCTGGGTGTTGAGAACTGATTTCAGAGCTTGAGTGATACGGTATACCAATGGAACGGAGGCCGGCGTTTGGGAGGTCAAGAATGATTTGAAGATGTTTTATGTTGTATATGTGACAGACTCTTCTATCGTAATTTCACTGTGAAGAAGAGTACTTAAGTATAGGCTGCAATGTCACCATGCATCACCGGCACATAAGGATCACTCGGCCGGAACCAAGTATTGAAATTCGGAGAGCTCCGCAGGGACTAAGGCCTCATATTGGACGAGGACCTGCTCGATCCGATTTACAAGCAGAGGCAATCGGATGTTGCATTTCTGAATGTCCCAGAACTGCTCGGCCAATGTTACATCGATAGGCTCACTTTCGAGGGTCTGAACTTCTTGCGGCGAGCTCTTGGAGCGGCGGGCCTTGCATCTCAGTGCACTTGCTCAAGCTCGCCAATCTTCCTCTTCCGTACGTTCATCCTCATCATCATCGCGGGTTGCCCGGTTGTCCGAAGCGTCTTCGTGGGCTGCGAAGGACTCGAGGCTTGGAGATCCTGTATGTTGGTATGTTGACTCTTAAGGACGGAGGGTTGAGAAGATCGTGGGGCAAGAGAAGGCAGGCAGGAAAGGTCGTGCGGGTCGTGGTCTCTACCGAGATGGCTGCGGGCAGAACCAGCCTCCCGACCCTCTTGGCCTTCCAAACTCCACCGATTCACACCTATCTCAGTCTTTATATTTTATTCTCTTATTTGTATGTATTGCCTGTAGCTGCCGTGAAAAGAGTACAGAATTCAGTTGGGACAGTTACCTATCAAAAGTGATAGTCCATTACATATACCTAGATTTCCTGGGTTCTACTGTGATCCAGGGGATTCAGAGTCACGTGATATGCTATCACTGTTCGAGACTAGCGCCCACATTGAATTTCAATCTCGATATGCGCCCCGCATATTGAAAATGTCGAACCTCATCATCAACATCAACGACCCAACGTCAACGACGACAACCTTTCGACAACCACCACGACAAATAGCTCATCACAGGCACGATGACGAAGGGCACGGCTTCATTCGGTGCCAGACGTGCGTACTTTTTTTCATTTCTGTTGCTGAATAGACGGGAGCTCGCGACCCTCCTCGTTTTTTCAGCCTCCTTTACGGACCAGAACCGTTTTTTCGGCTTGTCAATTGGATCTGAACTGACATTTTACAGACAACAAGACGCACACCTTGTGCCGTCGCTGCGGTCAGTACTATCGACTCATATTAGAATCGCCTGGATACAAAAGATAGAGGGGTGTCAGACGAACGGGGTAACCCAGAAGACTCGAGGACTGACATGTTGGAAATCAGGTCGCCGATCTCTCCACATCCAGAAGCACACCTGCTCGTCCTGCGGATACCCTGCGGCTAAGATCAGACAATGTACGTGAGACTGATTCCGGTGGATATGGCACTGGATTGGCACAAACAGGGAGACTAGGTCTAACACGAAGTCAGACAACTGGGGTGCGAAGGCCAAGCGCAGAAAGACTACTGGTACCGGACGGATGCGCTACATGAAGGGTGTTCCAAGAAGATTCAAGAACGGCTTCCAGACCGGCGCACCAAAGGACGCGAAGGGACCTACCACCAAGTCCGAATAGACTGATCATCCGCGGAGTTGAACCGGGGAGGGTTTTCTGGGGTGATTTGTTCATGATGTCTCGAGGCCTACGTTCACGCTAGCGAAATGCCATGAATTGCAAGAATGGGCTTCGACGCCGGGTGATCTGTGAGGATATCACTGGGCCGGTTTCTTTGGGGTTCACGCATTGCTTCTACGGACAGGGAACGAAAAATGAAATCGCTCAGGCAAAATCAAATGAGCCAACTATTCGTGGCACAGAGTTGAAGAGGGATGTGGAGAGTGATTAGAATTGCAAGTCGCACTTCAGTCTCGTCTATCAGGCTTATTGACCTCTCTCGAAGACTTTCACCCCGCCATCTCCGCCCACAAAGAACAGCAGTTCTCTCTCTTCCATCCTTTTCTGGATATCTTTCTTATCCTCCTCCGTTTTGTCCCCTACTGTGACCCTCAGCACGCCACTAACATCCCTCGCGGTCCCGGTATCTAGCAGCCTCAAACCCATGATGAAATCCGCTTGGTGAGCTGTATTCAGTAAAAAAGCGGCATGGTCCAACTCGAGAGGCGTGTGGTGACCTGATACTAGTGGTTGGTCGGCCGAGATGGAAAGAATGGTTGCATGTACATCCTGCATATTATTTAGCAGGGCACTTGATGCTTCGAGATGCTACATACTTCCCTCAAATCCATCAACATCTCCCCCACGTTACAGGCTCCGATTTGCTCGCTCCCAGCCGCTATCAAGAGATCCAACTGGTCGATCACTAGCAGTACTTTGCCGGAGCCTGGGCTATCCCTCAATACCTGAATAGCAGTTTGGATCTCTTGTGACACGTTTTCAAGCTTTGGACTGCTCAAACCCCGTTGCTCAATTCCCTTCGAAGCAGCGACATTCTGCCGCGGAAGAAACAGCCCGCTCAGGCCATCTACGAAAGCGAATCTTTTCTTGAGAGCCAGCTTATCAAAATCCAAACCCTAAACATGCTTTATCAGCCGTAATTCTTCTCCAAACCTACCACAACGTCTTAAGCTCTCCCCAGACCAAGTAAATGAGAAATGAGATTTAACAGCATACCAATCTCCTGCCGCCCTCCTTCCAAAAAGCCAAGTCCCTCATAAAGCTCACCAACACCACCTTCGATTCATCCTCAACGGCACCAGAGGAACCATCTGAGCCAGTCAAAGAGCTATGAAGAAATCGCAGGACGAGCCAATTCGAGCTGGCGCCCAGAACGCTGGTCAGGAGAATCAGAGATGCTTCTGAGGGGAGCGCTAAGTATGGCTCAAGGAGCGGTGGAATTCGTAAAGACATTTTTCTCGTTGTGAATATTTTTTTGGGCGAATATCTGGGGGGTTTGATTTCCTTCGATCTTTGAACGGTGGTCGAATTTTGCGGTGCTAAAGCCAAGGCGTATCACGTGTACGATGATGTCGAGCTCTCATTCGTTCTAGATGGGAGTTGGAGACTTGGAGTCCGTCGAAACTCTGGGTTCTTCTGCTTCCTGGGTGTTTACATACCTATACATATACATATACATACACATATACATTGTCTCTATGATCAGGGTAGTTCTTGTTACCAGTCGCCTTCGGTATCATTATTGTTAATGATTTTTACTATATCCGTTCCATATTAATACAAGGCTTTCCTTCCGCTGCGTCCTCGCCACCTCATCCACATGGACAGTCACGATAGAGCGGTAGCACAAATCGCTGCTACCATTCGCAAATTTCATGCTCGAAAAGAAAAATTCCGAATATACCATGGATCGACAAACAGTACTCGTCAATCTCAGTACCAACGAGACCGAATGGTAGACACCTCAACACTCAACCATGTTCTCAAAATCGACACCAAGAGCATGACTGCTTTGGTTGAACCGAATGTTGCCATGGATGCTCTTGTGGAGGCTACGCTACAGCATGGCTTACTTCCCCCAGTTGTGATGGAATTCCCAGGTATCACGGTTGGAGGGGGGTTTGCTGGAACGGCGGGCGAAAGTTCGTCATTCAAGTATGGGTTCTTCGATCGGACAATCAATTGCATTGAGGTGGTTCTTGCCGATGGAGATGTCATCAAAGCTTCCGCAACGGAGAACTCTGATCTATTTTATGGAGCTGCATCTTCGTTCGGGACACTGGGCGTCACAACGCTGCTTGAGATTCAGCTGGTTGAAGCCAAGACCTACGTGGAGTTGGACTACCATCCCGTCACGAGCATCGCTGAAGCTCAGACTGTGATTGCTAAAGCCACAGAAGATACTACTACCGATTATCTGGATGGGATCATGTACTCGAAAGACTACGGCGTCATGTGTGTCGGACGACTCATGAACGAAGTTTCGCCTGGCAGCAAAATCCAACGTTTCACCCGCCCAACAGATCCATGGTTCTACATCCACGTCGAACGCCTCATGAAGAATCGCAAATCTCCTGCCAAGGAATCAGTCCCGGTTGTTGATTATCTCTTTCGCTACGACCGAGGAGGATTCTGGGTCGCGAGATATGCATTCAAGTACTTCATCACACCTTTCAATCGTATAACCCGCTTCATTCTCGACTACTTCATGCACACCAGAGTCATGTACCACGCTCTACACCAGAGCGGCCTATCCTCCTACTACATTATACAAGATGTAGCAATCCCATATAAGGAAGCGGAGACGTTCATGTCCTACCTCGACACGAACTTCAAGCACTATCCGATTTGGCTCTGCCCGCTCAAGCAAAGCGGAAAACAAATAGCATCGACACACAGCCTCCAAGTGCAGAAAACCAATCAGCAGAGACCGGAAATGATGCTCAATTTCGGAGTGTGGGGGCCAGGTCCTACGCGGCGAGAAGACTTCATACAGTGGAATCGAGCGTTTGAGAAGAAAGTCGATGCGTTGGGTGGCCAGAAGTGGCTGTACGCTCATACCTATTACACGGAAGAAGAGTTCGATGAGATTTATGATCGGGAAAAGTACGATGCTTTGAGAGAGAAGTATAACGCGACGTATCTGCCGAGCGTCTATGACAAAGTGAAGGTTGATGTCGAGAAGGAGCAGAGCGCGAGAGAGGCGTCGTGGAAGGCGAGGTTGGTGGCGCTATTCTGGAGTATCTGGCCGCTCATGGGTCTCTATGGGGTCTACAAGGCTATGATGGGTGGGGATTATCTGCTGCCGAAAACGAAGAAGAAGGCTGCGAAGGATGCGTAATTGTGGCTGTTTTGATTATTGTTGTAGCAGGTACTGCTGCGTACAAGACGGTTTTATCGTCTACAATCGGGTAGGCGAATGTCAGCTGGTTTTCAATGTCAAATAAGCTATTTCAGTGTCCCAGAATGACTTTGACAATGGGTCCGACGTGCAGCAAAACCCCTTTGGTCGTGAAACAGGTGAATCTTACCCTACCTCTTCTGAGAGAGAGCTTGGATTCGGTCTTCGCCGCCTCAATGCCAATTTGGCTTCTCGATGTTCCAGAATGATGTCGACAATGGCTGCGACGTGCAACAAAACCTCGCTTCGGTCCTAGATGAGTGAAGTCGGATATCAAAAGTGATTTTACCAAGAACCGGGTGTGCATGTTAATCATGACTTCTGATTGTCCCAAGTCACTTTCGACTATGGGTGCGATGTGCAACAAACCCTATCGTACCGAGAAATTTGAGTTTCGCGCACTCCATCAGCTATCCAGGATGTTTCATCGTCTGTACAAGTAAACCAACGCCGTACCATCGCCACAAGTTAGTCTATCCCAAGAATGTCATGTTTCAGTCAAGCCCTAGAACTTCCTCTCATGTACCAGTCGTCCCTTGACCCATACAGCGAGAGTATTCCGGTCATCCCCATTGAACACCCACTTCGCAATTCTCTCATCCCAAGTCTCCCACCCAAAAATGTCAACCGGACCCATATCACCCTTCTCCTCCCCACCCACCACCCCCATCCCAATAAGCTGTGCATCCCACTCCATTCCCACCTCAAATCCTCCAATCTTATCGGCCAGTCCCACTACTTTTGCTCCTCCTTTCGTAGCAAGATATAAACCCTCCTCCGCGCTCAACTTCGCCATGTCTTCGCCTCCCATTGCAACGTGGTTGCTAACCAGCGCAGCCTGTCTCACAGCTTCGAGGACACTGGGACTATAGCCACCGCTCATATCCGTGCCAAGTCCCACATCGACACCTTTATTCAACATCCATCTTACCCTCGCTGTGCCTGAGGTAATTGACGAGTTGCTGACCGGGCAATGACTGATTTTTCCCTCCCTCTTCTTGATGAGATCAAGCTCATCTTCGGAGAGGTGAATCGCATGAGCAAGGATGGTTTTAGGACCAAGCAAGTTATGACCATCGTATACCTCGGTATACGAATCGAATTCCGGGAACAAGGATTTGACCAGATCACACTCGTTATTGTTCTCCGAGATGTGAGTTTGCACGGGCAGATTCGTCTCTTTCTGCAGCGCACCTAGACCGTGCATCAACTCGCGCGAGCAGCTAGGAGCAAAGCGCGGCGTTATGATAGGTGTGATGAGAGCATTAGTAGGGTCAATACCAGCAATATGTGTAATCGTTGCTCTAGTATCCGCAAGCGATGAAGCAGCAGACTCATCGCGATAGTAGTCTGGTGCAAGGCAATCCATACAACAGCGGCCGATGAATGCCCGTTGACCTTTTTCGAGGCAGAGATCCGCGAGCAGGTTGGTGGATGGCACGGAGATGGTGGCGTAGTATGAAGCGGTGGTGGTTCCGTGAGAGAGCGTGCGTTCAATGACTCGGCTGTAGACTTTCTTTGCCTTTGAGGCTTCTGACAAGCTGCTTTCCATTGGGAACGTGTAGGTGTTCAGCCAGTCGAGGAGGGTGCTCTTGCCAAAGATCCCGGCGTTGGGGTATTGGGAGGCGTGGATATGGGTGTCTGGAAAACAATCAATACTTATCTCTAGAATGAGGAAGCTATAAATACCAACGAAGCCTGGGAAGAAGAATTGTCCTTGTTGAGAAGTCCACACAGAAATCTCACCAGCGGTCCAGCCGAGCCTGGGGAGGACGATCTCCTGGACCTTCTTTTCGTCACAATCCCTCTCAATAGCAACGATCAAACCCTTCTCGTCAACACACACAGCCGAATCATGGAGAAATTCCAAGTTCCCTAGAGTTTTGCTGTGTACAAAGCTGCCCAGGAAGAGGGTCTTCTCACTAGTGGGGGTGGACATGACAGGGCAATTGTCATTTATGGTTTTTGAATTTCCAGAAGTCGTAAATAGTTATGAGGACAGCAGTTCTGCTTAGGACAGTCCCCATACAATGCGTAGCAGAGGTGAGGATTGTCAGTTGTTTGTGTTTACGTGGTTCTGAGGGTCCAGCCCATGTTTTGCTCCCGGAGACTTCCTGCTTGCCTCTTTTAGGGAAGGCGCGAATTCGGCTACTTAACGCCGATATCCTCTGCTGAATTTCATAATACCGAAGGAAAAAAGGAAAACTACACAGACTCCTCGGGTTAAATATCACGATTGCGATAGCCGCTGTTACACAAAAAAATACAGTGGCACAAGGGTCGCCCATGTTGTACAATTTACAAGTCTTCATCTAGTCGTGTTCCCTATGATGGGTGGGTATTCCCAAGCGCCGTCCATGGACCCTCAACCAAATACGCCAAATTATTCGAAATCAAATGCTGGCTCTTCTCGGAGCCATAGTCCTACGCAGGGCTTTCTTCTCCTCCGTCTCGTCCATCAAGGGCAACACTCCTTCATCCCGCATCTTTGCCAGATACTCCTGCCCAAACTTATACCCTACCTGGTATATCTCATCAAACTTGCCAAAGTCCAGCGTGCCATAGTTGTCAATAGGAGGGCGCATGTAATGGCAGCCGGGGGTCGTCTTTGCTCTTTCCAAAGCATCCACACTTGACACATATGCAAGTCGTGCTTGGATTTCGGCAAGTGTGGGTGGGTTTGGAAAAGAAGAGAACGGATTCCAGCGATTTGCAAAGGCCCAGAAACCCGACAAAGAATCTCCAAATGTCTGTGGTGTATCGTCGTCCAGACTGCCCACGTCGATAGCGAAGATAACGTCGGCTCCTAGTGACTTCATGTGCGAAACGGTTAAATTGTCAACATAGCCCCCGTCAAGAAGCATACTTCCTTCATCACACAGAGGCGGGAGAAGTCCAGCAAGTGACATGGAAGCTCTGACATAGCGCCATGCATACCCACTTGTGTGAATCTCAGATCTACTCTTGCTGATATTGGTTGTATTACAGTAGTATTCGAGCCAGAGATCTTCGATCTGGGTGTTTCCGAAAGCTTTGAAGATACCACGATTGAATTCGTGACCTGTTGTGTAGGACGCAGATGGATAGGTCAAATCCAGAGCAAACCGCCACATACTCGCCATGCGTCCGGAAAACTTCTTTGCTCGGCCGTACATAGGCACTACATCTGCATCGCGAGCATACAATGCACCGATAAAGGCACCGATGGACGTACCTCCGACGATGTCAATAGGAATACCAGCTTCTTCGAGAGCTCTGATAATTCCGATATGTGATATGCCCCTGGCGCCTCCGCCACCTAGCACAAGACCGATGGATTTTCCGCAAAGGCGTCGAGCAATTCTATGGAAGTCGCCTTTGAAAGGCGTCTCGGCGGAGTACAAAGGCGTCTGTCGAAGCCTCCGAGAAGTATACTTCTGGATTTCGGCCTGTATGACCTGGACCCGTTGCTTTAATGCCGATCCGAATTTCCTTGCCTGCGGATGGACAGGTGCAGAGCTTGAGCGGAACGCCATTTGAACATGATGGTGGCCACCGTTGATCCAGACACGATTGCGCAGCCACGATCGAGTTAATCCTTGAGGTGCAAATCTGTCTGCGTGCAGCAAGACCAATTCTTTCCTCGCCGTAGTCTTCGTACCCAACAAGAAACGCTCAAACTCGCCAATTGCAGGTGAGCCTTCAGCTAGACCAACAAGAAGAATGCAATCGGCTTGGCTTACGCAAGTTTGGGTCCAGGGGGCATTGACATTTGTGTCTGGAAATTTTCAAAATTAGCTTATGGATGTCTCAAATATTCATGAAAAGGGTGGAGTAAGATTGACTCGGCAGAATACAAGACTTATTGTTCTTGTAATTTTGGTCCTTGTTTTGATATCCAGGGAGCAACTCGGGGTTAAAGAAATCCTAATTATTTGCCATGCGAGAAACCGAGAACGGACAAGTCACTTACCAGCAACATATAGAACCAGACCATATTTCTCCTCAAGGTCAGCGAGATACTGCGAGAGCTTCAGTTTCCCCATACGACTGAAAGCATGTCTTCCAAGATGATTAAAAATGGCGGATTGATTGAGCGAAGTGACCCCATTGGTTGCCCCAATCTGAGTGAGGGCATTCATTAATCGGCTAGCGAATTCAACCACAGGTACGCCGGTAGTGACAGGTAAAATCGCCACAGTTCTCAAGTTTACCGTCGAGGATACCTTATTGTTGGTGGCTCCAGTCGTCTTCTCCTTGCCTTGAATGAAGACTGGATCTTCAACCAAAGACCGCATCCTGGATGCTATGATCTTGGAGATCTTGATCGTGATGCCTGGATGTTCTTGAGCGAGACTATTGAATAGAGTCCGTGGAAATTTTGCGAGCTCGGTATCTCGAATAGCATGGAGCGTAACAGGTCGAGTCGATTCGGTCATAACCTCAAGCTCTCCGACGCTTTCACCCTGACCGTATTCACCCATAACCTTCTTTCCAGCTTCTTCATTGTTGGCGACGGCGCGAAGTCGACCGTTTAAGACAATGTATATTGCATCACTCTCATCTCCTTGATGATAGATGACCTGACCTGCATTGACTTGAACCCACTCAAGAGCGAAATCAATATGAAGTATGAGTCGTGGCAAAAGGCTAGTCAATCGCTTTGCCATAGTTAGGAGGACGACAGGGTATTTCTCTACTATTCTCTCCAGGGAGGATCGAGGCAGGAAGCCGACATAGACGTCGGTTTTGGCCACGACATCAATAAAAGAGCGATATGAAGAGATCGTACCAATGTAGCCTGCGATCCCTCCCGGTTTTATGAGCGCGAGGCTCTTCCGGCCCGGGGACTTACGCTTTTTGCCATCGCCTCCATCATTTCCTAGAGCCGAGCCAGACGTGCGGGACGATCCTGTCCGAGTCCGGGATAGAGGAGACAGCGTTTGATCTTTAGACCTTGGGTTTGCCGAACTCGGATGCGAATGACCCAAGACGGTGGATTGTGATCTGTCATCGACAGGAACAGTGACATCCAAGAACCCATCAATCACATAATATAACCCGGGGTTGCGTTCGCCCTGTTCTACAAGAATCGAGCCTTTTGGGAAGAACACGATCTCCACCTCATCTTTCAACTCGCGGGCGAGACCTTGCGTGCTAGGAAAGCCTCCAACACTCATACCACCGGAAGTCATGGACTCTGTATCACCATCCGCTGATCCTTCGTACGGGTCAATGAAGCCAAAAGCATTGTGGCTGAACACTGCTTTCTGCCGCTTTTGGTCGTACGAGACCAGCCTGGGTGAAGCCTCAACTGAATCCGACATGTTTAGAGCATTCTTTGTATTCGTCAAACCAATAGCCTTGAATATGCACTCAAGAATGGATGACCGAAACATGCTGTCCTCATCAACTGAATCCTGACGGTGGAGGGTCTCCCTCGGATTGATTGAGCTGTTGAATGGATTGAAAGACCGCTGTTGAAGAGGGCTTTGAGGATCATGCTGCCAGATCTTCGGCCCCGAGACGAGATTTCCTGAAGAAGACCCTAGGGTGCTGAGTCGTCGACCGCCGTTGCGAGACATTTGTATATTGGTGAGGAGGTCTCCTGGACTTGGGCTGCCGCCCGTTTCGCTGCGTCGTGTGTGCTCTGCGTTGAAGGTACCATGAGAAGTTTTCTTCCCAGATAATACATGTAGAGTGGCTCCCTTTCGGAGACTGTTACTTGATCGACTCCTTCGACCAGTGCCCGAATTATGCAGTGCGATACCTTTGCTACCGTCCTCTGGACCAATTCGTTCGCGTTCCCTATCAAATTTTTCCTTCAACCTGCCTAAGGCATCGCCGCGTAGGAAGTTTGGAAGCTCATATGTCGTATACTTGTTCATATGTTTCTCGGTACGCAGGACTTCGCTTGTCAACCCAAGATACGAGTGTGCTGTAGCCAAGGTGACCCTTTGCAACCTGGTTAGAATAACCTGAACAATATGTGCGGTAGCTTTAGGGTAAATTCTCGTAAGGCGACGAAATGCACTGGCTGGAATAATAGCAATAGTAGTATCGACGGTTGCGCGGGCCACGATATCCGGATGAGCAGAATTAGTCTTTGCTCTTCGCGTCGTTGGTCTTGGCAAAGGCTTCGATTGCTCTTCTGGGGTATCAAGAGATAGAGGTGGGATTCTAGGCAATTTTCCTCCTCCGATAGAGGTGGGCATTGTAGAAGATCTTCGGTCTCCAGGGGTGGGTTGGTAATTCTGGCCTGGGGCACCATAGATAGGGCTTGTTGGAAGTGATGGTGGCGTCTCGTGATGAGTGTGGGCGAATGACAAACCAGCACCCGATGGAAATCCTCGATGGCCATGCGCTGACGAGGAGCGGCTATCCACTTCATCGTCTTCGTGTCTAAGCTTGACGTCTTCTGTAAAAAGGGACAGGATTGAGAAAAGGGACGACATCGGAGCTCCATTCCTTACTTCCGTCAACAATTGATATCCCTGCTGCGTACTTCGACGATATTGCCCCTCCCCACTATCAGAAGAATCATCTGGATTGAACCTTGGTTCAGAGTCTGAGTCCCTCGTTTCCCGGGAAGATTTCACGAAGATCTCGACGAGGCCATCTACCACAAGACAGAAGCCTTTTTCCTCTTCCAGATTGAGGGTCTCTCCAGCTATCAGCTTTCTCGTTTGCATGGTCCGAGTAAGCTCGTGGAATACAGGTCTTTCCAAATATCCAAACACCTTGATGGCGCTCAAAAATTCGTCTAAGTAGTTGGAGAAGCCGGACTTGGAACTATCCTCTTGGTTTTCAGGATATAAATCTATCTCGGGCTCTTTTCTTTGAGGCTCAGGAGGCAGCCGAGCATACATATTGAGGAATCGGTAGCGTACAAACCAGCTCATGGTCGACACGAGGGCAATACCAATCAACATTCTGTATGGATCAGCAAGAGTGAAGAAAGCTAGGAAAAACACTGACAATGTCGTTGCATTCATTGTGAATGTCAAGCTCGTGGAGAAAATGGTGAAGAGAAAAGTCGGCATAGTGATAGTCGCAAATGTGATCAGCCAGTACAGGATGCCTGGAATGACCTTGACTGTGAACAGTATCATTCGACTCAGGAGGCCAAACCAGGAAGACTGAGTAGCCTGCTCCATGGATGTCGCGTTGGCCAAAGCCAGGGCGGAGGGTGTTGCGGTCGTCATGGCATTTGGCAAACTTGTGATGGCCTCGAGCACTGAGGAGGCTTGTTCCGACATGCGAGGATAGACTGCTAGATGGATTGCTGCACAGTTTCAGCACCGGCAGAGCTGACAGCCACTCTGATTGCTCATCCCTTAGTTTTTAGTAAAGCCAATCTCATTGCCCGAGCCGACTTGGGTCCGGGAGTTGTGCTATGTTGATGTCGAATTCGGTGAAAATGATGGGGTTGAGGTTTGATGATGTCGAGAGAGCCACCAGCCAAAGCTTGGACCTCATCTCATCGGCGCTAGCCGCACCCCCCACCAAGCGATTTTTTGTGACTTGAACAGAACAGAGTTATCAACCAGCGCCTTCACCTTCCGACTTCCTTTGCGCCTCCATCCACTCCACTCCACTCCACGCTCTACGATACTCTTGAAGATCCCCATCTGAACATACAGATATCCCCGACAAAACGCAACAGGAACCCATTCATAACACAATCACGCGCCGCCCCGCGCAACACCCGCCAATATGTCTTTGACAAATTGTCGGTTCTACGAGGAGAAGTTCCCAGAGATCGATAGCTTCGTCATGGTCAACGTCAAGCAGGTAGGATCATATTTCATTGCAGAAGAATGCCGGTGGGAGCGAGGCTGACCTCGGTCCAAGATTGCGGAAATGGGTGCCTATGTCAAGCTCCTCGAATACGACAACATCGATGGCATGATCCTGCTTTCCGAACTGTCCAGACGTCGTATTCGAAGTATCCAAAAGCTCATCAGAGTCGGACGAAATGAGGTAGTTGTGGTTCTCAGAGTAGATAAGGAGAAGGGTATGGATGCCTGGCGCCAAGGACTACATACTTGCTGACGAGGCTGGATTACAGGTTACATTGACCTTTCGAAGCGCCGGGTATCCCCAGAAGACATTGTAAAGTGCGAGGAGAGATACAACAGGAGCAAAATGGTCCACTCGATTATGCGCCATGTCGCTGAGAAGACAACGGTCCCTATTGAGGAGCTCTACGAGAAGATCGCATGGCCACTGAACAAGAAGTACGGACATGCTGTAGATGCTTTCAAGCTATCGATAACGTATGACCTCAAACTCCAGCATTAGAGATACTCACTGACCACTTCCTAAAGCAACAACGATGTCTGGTCCGATATCGACTTTCCAAGTGAGGTTGCATCAGAGGAGCTGAAGTCATATATCGGAAAGCGTCTCACACCCCAGCCGACAAAGGTCCGAGCAGACGTCGAGGTCACATGCTTTGGTTATGAAGGTATCGACGCAGTCAAGACAGCGCTTCGAACAGCTGAAGCCAGAAATACCCCCGACAACCAAGTCAAGGTCAAGCTTGTTTCCCCGCCGCTGTACGTTCTGACGAGTACCTGTCTCGAGAAATCTGTTGGTATTCAAACTCTGGAAGAGGCAATTGTCGATATCCGGAAAAATATCGAGGGAGCCGGAGGAAGCTGTGTTGTCAAGATGGAGCCAAAGGCCGTCACAGAGAACGACGATGCGGAGCTGCAAGCCCTGATGGAGAAGCGTGAGAGAGAGAACGCCGAGGTCGGTGGAGATGAGAGCCAGAGCGAGAGCGACGAGAATGCCGTGGAGGTGATGTAACGCATCTTGGGGTAATTAAAAGTATTAAGATTGCATTGCGGGCGCATAGATGGGTTACCATGGACTACCAACAGATGCCAATATGTGCAGAAGGTTTCTCCGGATATAGTGCGAGCGAAACAAGAACAAGAAGCAAAATCAGACAGAAAAACTCTCACATTTATCTCATTGACTTTGCCGTGACTTCCGATCTAGTCGACTATATGGCAAGGTTATTTTCTCGTTCGTTCTCACAAGGCTGAGATTATCGACGAGCAGGCTAGTCTAGAACTCGAATTCACATTTCACCATAACGCTTGTCAACTCAACCCAACTAACTTACAAAATGGCGTCGAAAAGACTGTTCTCTATTTTCAATCGCAACATGCAATGGGCTTCTTCTCTTAGTGATCTTCGATACTGGCCATTGACAGTTGCGAGCTGGATACCCGCCATAATCTTCTTCAACGACCATGTTGGAGACGTAACATGGATCACAGGGAGCTCGATGTACCCATTCCTAAACTCGAATTACAACAACGATCTCAAGAAAGACTGCGTTTGGAACAGCAAATGGAGCCCGATATCGAATTTGAAGAGAGGGATGATTGTCTCTTTCCAGTAAGTTGGCCTCTCCCTCTTGCACAACCAGCCACTTACAGATTAGCAGTAGCCCTATGCATCCCGAAGTCACAGTGGTGAAGAGAGTCATCGCTCTCGAAGGAGATATTGTCTATACCAGAGCGCCGTGTCCTGTACCGACTGTCCAAGTGCCCGTCAACCATGTTTGGGTGGAGGGAGACAACAGAGATGCAAACAAGACGCTCGATAGTAATACTTACGGCCCGATTCCGTTGAATCTTATACAAGGGAAGATTACACATGTTCTGTGGCCGCTGAAGAGCTTTGGACCTATACGCGCGGAGGAGTTCAAGGGGAGAACGAAGGTCATTCGAGGCAGGAGGGAAACAGCACCAGGCTGGGACTGAAATGCTGGACCAAGAACCTGGCATCATGTCTAAGGAGGTTCTATCTATGTACTGCCTTGCGAAGTCCTGGCCATAACTTTGGATGGGGTAAGAAGGGGGATCCTATGAGAGAAGCGTCCTGGTTGATAAATACCAGAGTTTCTAGCCTCAAAAAAAGGGTGCGGACATTGCAATTCTCACTTGTGACTGCGAGCATGTACATAGAAGATATGTACCCCAGGATAGCCGAAGCTGCGAAAAGAGAGGCATTCGAGGTAGGCACTTGATTATCTCCCTACTCAGAGACTCACAAATCAAATTGACACCAGCCATAAGCATTTGAACAGGCTGAAGCTACAGTATATAGTAAGTCCGGCACAGAACATGACCTCTGGAACTGAAGAGTTTCTGGACTTCAAGTAAATTCTGTCTTAAAAAAACTTGCTGCCTCCACCAAAAGCTCATGATATTGAAGCTCCGGAAGCTCTGGTTTACCGACCGCTGATTGGTCGTCAGCCTTGTCCATAATATGAACTTTTTCTATGTAAAAGCACGGCCCAAACTGCCAGTCACTCACAATCAACAATTTGCGCATTTTTCTCCCAACAAGTAGAATAAAGCCTCTCGCAGTTTTTGCTGAGAAGCTCTGCTGGCCATTCCATTGGGATACTTAGGAGGAGCATGTCCCTGGGCTCCCTGGTCGCCAACTTGTTCCCCGGTCGAACGCCCAGTAGTCAACAGGATCGCAACGAATTTACTGTCGCTGATGATGGGCTGTCAGCAGGAAAGCTCGACTTTGCGGATGCCAAATTTGAAGCTGGAGGACTTGGGGCGAAAAAGATGGCACCGAAAGAGAATGAAGAGGAGCGACGGCCGCCCTACTTACATGTGAGATACGAAGCGCCAGCATGGAGAATATCAGTGCTGATATTTGTAGTCTATGATTGCTGGAGGACTGGGTGGAACAACGGGGGACCTGTTGATGCACTCGCTGGACACAGTCAAGACGCGACAGCAAGGTGATCCGCATATCCCACCGAAATATACGTCGATGTCGACTTCCTATGCCACGATCCTACGACAAGAAGGAATACGGCGAGGTCTATACGGGGGCTGGGTACCGGCTTTACTAGGATCTTTTCCTGGAACCGTGATATTCTTTGGGACCTATGAATACAGCAAGAGGCATATGATTGATTTTGGCATTACACCACAGCTTGCCTATCTCAGCAGTGGTATGGCCTTTTTTTTCTCTCTCGGCAAGGCTGCACTCTTTAATGAGTTGTCTCTAACTATTTGTAGGATTTCTTGCAGACTTCGCAGCATCTTTCGTCTATGTGCCGTCAGAAGTCCTCAAAACTCGTTTACAACTGCAAGGCCGATTTAACAACCCCTTCTTCAAATCAGGATACAACTATAAATCCACTGCCCATGCCGTTAGAACCATTGTCAGGCAAGAAGGCTTTTCTGCACTCTTTTACGGTTACAAGGCCACGATTTTTCGGGACCTTCCGTTTTCAGCATTGCAATTCACATTCTATGAGCAAGCACAGACCTGGGCAAGGGAGTGGAAGGCGAGTAGAGAAATAGGGCTGCCATTGGAGCTTACTACGGGTGCTGCCGCTGGTGGACTCGCGGGAGTGATCACTTGTCCACTCGACGTCGTAAAGACGAGGATCCAGACGCAGGTCAACGAGACTGTACAACCAGACTCAAAGCAAGCTCCAATGAGGACGCTATCATCTCATGCGAAAACTGGATCAACGGTATTTAAACGACAAATCAGAACGATTTCGACTTCTTCTCCTTCAACACATACTCCACGACCCGGGTCGGTAAATCTCGACACCTCCTCGGTCTTTACGGGTTTGAGACTCATTTACAGGACCGAAGGAATAGCTGGATGGTTTCGTGGTGTTGGGCCCCGACTTGTGTGGACGAGTACACAAAGCGGGTGCATGCTCTTCTTGTACCAAAGCATTTTAAAGGAGTTGGAGCATTTGGCTGCTCCGAACCAGGTGTCAGCTGTATGATGGAGATGGGTTCCTTGGAGCGAGGTGGGCGGGGAAGTGGCAGCACCGGAAGGATGGTAGAATGGGAGCTTTTGAGCACTTTGTAGGTATATGTATAGCATCAGCATTGGGCGGCGTTGGGGAGGAATGTGCAGGGCTAGACCTAGATCCGATCTTCACTTACTGAGCTTTCTGATCTGGACCATCTTTCATGTTTCTTGGAAGTGACTTATTGAGCAGCTTGCTCAAGAATCCAAGCCCCAAGAAATATATACCTCTGTCGTCATTACACGAAGATACAGTAGCTTTAATTGAGGATCTGACAGTGCATATCTATGTATGTGACATGGATGCCCATAACGTATTTAGGTGTTGCTGACTCTTGGCTTTTGATTTTGGTACGGGGGCCGTTAAATGCCGACTATGATTGTCTAAATTCATGCGACCTCATTACATTTCTTTCCTCCTTCAGGAAGAACCACGATATCTACTTGCCAGCCGGTAACTTCAAATGGCACTTTCGATTCGATACGGACACTCGATTTGACAAAGATGTGATGGCTCAGACATCGCCAAAATGCCGACAACTCTCCCAGTGCCTTCCAAAGGTGCGTTGCGAGCTCTCCGGAACATCGCCCTTGGAACCTCATGCACAATTGCTTTCGGCGCAGGCATGCTAACAGAGGACCGACGACGCCGCATAAATTCTGCCCAGGAAGTCCACAACAATGCGAAGAAGCTCAAGTCTGCGAGGCAGTATCACAGTGCGGGCACTACGTCGTTGGAAGATTTCGAGGATCAGACTCTACGACATCGAGAAGACGCATTTTGGCTCCCTAGCAATGTGCTGCGAAGCAAGTTACGAATAGTCGTGGATCCTAAACCCGGTGAAGACTTTCGTGTGCTCGAAACTCCAGCGGCCAAGGATCATATACCAGCGCTCCACGAGGTACCGAAACACATCAGGCCGGACCCAGTATTCGCCGCGATGCCTCAAGCAGAGAACTCTCCTCCTCCATTAGGACATCGAGCGTTACGAAGATTACGAGCACAGTCGAATCGCGAATTGGACTTGCAGGAACGCCAGTATAAGCTTGCGTTGGAAATCACCAAGCTCATGGAGGAGAATGCGACAGGGATAGGGGGTGCTGCCAGTCTCTTCGTGGACGCCTTTGAAAGTGGTCTGGCTGTCGGTGATTCCGGTATCCATCCGCTACTTGTGGACGCTGCCATCAAACTTTCGGGTGTCTGTCAGAAACATTCGAAGTACGAGATGGTACACAGGATATTGGACATAATCCTGAATTCAGGACCAATTGCTGAAGATGATTATCACCGATTCAAGCCGTACGAGATCATCAGGACGTTGGTAAAGGTTGAACGAGGAAGCAGACTTGCAGATCCTGTGAATTTGAGGAAAGCTTGCAAGATCTACCTTGCCAAGTTCAAAGAGAAGCCAGAGACTATGTCCCAGCACATGTTCTTCCTTGGCGAACGTCTCTGTCAAGAGACCTGTAGTGCCGGTATGTACGATCTAACGCAGCTCGTTTTTACCCGCCTCGAATCGTGTCGTGGTGGAAGGCCGCTGATAGCTGTTGACCATCTGATCACGGCCACACACGGCAGAGGACACCACAAGAGAATGTTTCGATATTATAGCAATTTTTATACGAAGACAACCCCGAAACGGCCAGAATTTCTACAAGTTACCAGTCTAGTCATCGATTCTATGCTAGTGCTTAAACAGATTGACAAAGCCGAAAAAGTTCTGATCTCTGCTAGCCGAATGGCTGAGAATGGGAATATGAAGATGTCAACCACATGGTTACTTCGTGTCTTGGGTGAAGAATGGAGGTCGAACCGCGACATGGTTCGAGCCGAGGCACTTTTCGTACGTCTAGAGCCTCTATTGCCACTCACAAGTCATCCCCAAGCTCTTTATGGTGCTATTATCCAATACTGTGTTGAGTCTCGGGACGACGGCCGTGCCTTGCACTACTACTCCCAGCTCCGTGAATCTCACGAGCCAACCTCAGGCGATTTACGAATTTATGGCCATTTTGCCCTTGCCAAGGCCTACCGAGAAGATTGGGAGGGGGTGAAGGAAGATTTTCGCAAAATGAAACCTTTCCGCACTGGCGATGGGGATGATTACAGTGCCATTTTCACACCGATTCTAAAAGAATTTTCGAAGAAGCATTCCGTCTCAGAAATTGAGGACTTTATTCGACATTTCCTCGTCGAGATGCATCTGAAGACAACGCGCCACATCATGAATATCATGATCGATGTGTACTCGAAAGCCCGCGAGCTGGATGCCATTTCGCGCTGGATCAATTATGCTATTGCGGATGGCTGTAATATTGATGCCGTGACTACCAACATCATACTGAAAAACTGTGCCAGCACTTTCGACTATCATTTTGAAGAGATTTATGCACTATACAACAAGATACGAGAATTAGGGCCCCAAATGGTCGACCATAACACCATAGGTCTGCTGCGAAGCATTGCTTTCTCGCACTGCTCGAATCAGACTACGGCGACTAAGAGGCTGCGAATCCTCAAGAGTCTGAACCCCGAGCAGTCAGAGAACAGCATGGAGGTTTATCGCGCGTTGGCTATGACGTATGCCAAAGAGAATTACGTCGCGGTTTTGAAGGTCTACAAGCTTGCTGAACGCGATCATGTTCATCTCGGACCTAATCATCTGTTATTTGCTGTCAGGGCATCCCTTCGCCTTCACAGGCAGGACATCCGCGAGACATCACGATTCATCGAGAATGCTCACACTCGAGGTGTAGATATTACCAGAGCTATCTCGACTGTCTTCATCGACCAAATGTCATCGCTATACGAGGAAGGGGGAAGCTCTAATCGAGAGCGCCTGGATGAATTAGCCCGAAACACAATAACTGCCTACGAGAGATCTGGGATTACTATTCCACAGTCAGTCCTTACACACACCGCAAGCGTTTTGCAGAAACAATGTCGCTACCGCGAATCCATCGATTTTTGGGATACGATGTCCCGTCGCTTGCAAATTCATCCTTCATCCTTCGATCTTCCTACCCTCACAACTCTTCTACAGGGTTACTTGAAGCTGCATGATATGAGTGGCATCCGCTGGGTGGTGAAGATGCTGTCTGCCAATAGATTGACGCCAGACACGCACGTGATGAGAGTTTTAAAAAACACTCGCAGGAGCACAATCCTTCACATTGAGGCAACTTTTGCTTCAAGCTCGCTGCTCACGTTTCTTGATTGTGTTGAGGAGGCTCTTCAGGCGTTCAAAACAATACGAGAGGACGCCATGGTCAACCGAAAAGAAGCAAGAACCAAGCTGATTAACATCATGGAGACGGCAATTGAGGACCAAGCACTGAGGGAGGCATTTCAAGTGGCACCGTCGCTGAAGGGGGCAACGGCGGAGGCCCTTGAGGGTCAGGTTTCTCACAATGTCAATGGCTGTGGGATGGAGGGCGTGTGTTTGGACCCAGATACCGGATCTGCCGAAGATGCAAATTTACCACCCGAAAGGGTTTCTGTGGCACTCGGGCGTTGATTAGTATATACCATAACGCCCTCTTTTATGTTCTGAAAGTGTGTTCCTGTTGCTCTGTGGTAAATCAATTATAGACGATTCGAAGGAATATCTCGCCAAAAGGTGACAGAAATGCATGTAACAGAATTCTGGGCACCCTCAAGGGCAAGCGAGCCTGTTTCTTTTTTTTCTTCTTCTTCTTCAATGAAAATTAATCGGATGGAGAGCCTCTCCTATATACCAAGATTTTAAGAAAGCTTCGAACGTTTGATTGCATGCTTGAAAGAAAATGTGGTGGTACTGATACACGTCACGAGGCTTGGCAGGACGTGACTTTCGGTTACACCCGCCCCGTTGCTCGTCTGCTAGTGGTTATTGTATTTACTTGGATTTCTAATCCGTTGAATGGAGGTCGCAGCAGACCTCCAGCATTCCATGCCTAATTCAATGGGATCCAATTCATAATGTCGATCGTCGCTGAGTATTTCCGCCGCCGCCCCTTCGACAGTGGAAGGCTCTGCTGACACATATGTTTAGCCAGGTTCGTCGCGTTGACAGCGTGCTGGAACGAGTCCACCTAATACCACGCGACACGAACGACGACTTCTTCGCAGAGCAGAGCCCGCTAGTACCCAAAGTCACCAGCTCCCCTCGCATCATTGAGCTGCAGAGCATCGTCAAGGCACTATCTACGTCCTCCTCCTCTAGCCCTCTCTTATCTTCATGGCGAATATCGCAACTTCTCGAACGCGCAGCTCTTTCCGAGATGACTGCAGAGAGCGAGCAGGACCCGGCGACGAGCAAATATGAGACGGAGCTGGAATGGCTGCTTGTTAGCAAAGCTACAGGTAGGTGCCTGGGGATTCTCTTACTTCCAATAGTTCCAGGAAACATAAAGACATTTGTTTTCCCCGAAGTCTTGTTTCTTGAACAGGCGTTACTGACTCCCGGGCCTTTACAACACAGTGCAGACGTATGGCTTAATATTGAGCACGTTGCTGGAGCAGACGATTCCTCTGAACGACGATATTTGGTACTGGGACGAGGTGCTAAGTTCTTACACATACTCGAGCTTGTACATGGCGCAGACGTCCCCGCTGAGGCTCTGGGCATGGTCTAAGGATATCTACAATGATACGAAAAGTAGACTGGCACGACTTCGAGATGGGGAAGATGAGAGTTCTGTGTCTGCGCGAGACATTGGGACAAGCATGTCGGATCAATGGAAGCAATTCTACGGCCTAGTTAGGGAGAGCATACGAGAGAGCTCTGTTGCGCACATACAGCAGCAGGTACTCTCTCCGATTGCCCTCTGTCGGTCCAACGTAAGACATAATCAGGCACGGTTGAGAAGGTTACGGGAGATGGGAGCCAGCGGATTAGGAATGCTGATGGATGAAGGACTGAACTTCGAGATCGGCGATGATAGTACGGATATTGCGAAGACGGAGGACAGTGACGTCCAGGAATGGAAATTTGTCGTTGAGAGAAGCGTTGCCCTCATGGACACCGTACTGCGCAATATCACCACACTCGACAGTAACCTAGCAGAGTTTGAGGATAATGTCTTTGCAAGCGTTGATGAAGACCCGGAAATTACTACACGAGAGACTTCGCCGACGGAAGTAGCACGGTATGAATAGACGTGTCCAATCTACCCATATCAGTCTGCTCATATTTACTAAAATTGATCCAACAGGCCTTCGAAACTGGGCATCCGCCTTCAGCAAATTCTTGAGGTCCATGTCCCGCAACATATAAACTCCTCACAGAATCTTGTCACCAAATATGGTCGCCCTTCGAGAGCCATTCGCTACTGGTTGCCAGTAACCGCTCTTCTCCTATCATCAACAACTATTCTCCGGATATTTGTCAATAGAAAGGCTGAGATCATCGCCTGGGTAAGAGATTTAGGAGCAACGACTCGAGACTTCTGGCTGAACTGGGTGGTTGAGCCGACAAAAAAGATCATCGGTACCATTCGTCACGATAAGGATGGCGAGGTTGCAATCATGAGCAAAGAAAGTCTCAAGGGTGATCGAGACAGCTTAGAACGAATGGTGGTGGACTTCGCCGTCGACAACCCTCAATCGTCGATGGGTGAAGCGAGCCTTAGTGAGGCTCAAATTGCAGAAATCGTTCTCAAGGTCAAGGAAGGCGATTTGACACCAGTCCTCCGGGCATATGAAAACGATCTCCGGAAGCCGTTTGTCGGCGCGATCCGTGGAGATCTCGTCCGCACTCTTTTGATTCAAGTTCAGAAGACCAAAGTAGATGTCGAGGTTGCTCTGAGTGGCATCGACGCTCTACTCAAGAGCCAAGAATTGGTGTTTGGCTTCGTCGGCCTCACTCCTGGGGTACTGGTCTGTTTTGCAGCGTTTCGTTATCTCGGCGGCGTATTTGGCACCAAGCAGGGTCTGAAGAGAGGCCAAAAGGCTGGACAGGCAGTCAGAGTGCTCCGAAATATTGACCGTATCCTTACCATGGCTACCCCGACACATAACAATCTCCTCTCTTATAAGGACCATGGTCTGCTCCTTTGCGAGGTACACGTTCTGCGGAAACGGACACACTCGTTACTTCCAAGAGATGTGGAGGGTGATTTTTTGGCAGATTTGAAGTAAGTCGTCTGTCTTTCATATCGTCTATTCCTCTTGTCTCTGGATCTCTCGAAATGTCAGGAAGGACTGCTGGATTTATCTTCCATGATATCGCCTACCTGGAAGAGTGGGCGCTCATCCCTCTCTCCCATGATCCCCTCCCAAAATACACAGGGACATGTGAGAGCGAAACTAATCTAGGACACAGTGACCTTACCAACATCCAACTTGGCCTGGGAGCGCAGATCCGAGTCTTGGACAGACTGAAATGGGGGTATTCGCAATGGTTGAAATGAAAGCGGCCAGATAAACAGAGAGCACCGAGGTAGAAAGCATCAATATCAACGAAATGTAAAAATAGTATCCACCCTAGGGCGTTAGAAGATTTCCCTTAAGGAACTTCATGCCAAACCTGTGATTCCATCTACGCAGCAAATTCCGAATGAATTAATGCCTCTATTTCTTTTTATTTAAAAATCTTTGATTCAGATCTATGGACTTTGATAGTAGTGCCTGCAGGAGATCTAGATGCCCACAACTCCTTCCCAGATTTTTGGTACTTATCGGCGTAGCGAGCTGCGGCTCTACGAGGCAACCGCAGCCTGATTGTCAATCTGGCGCGACATTGTCACTGCACTGATAAGCACCTCAATTTGCTTTGCATCGATCCTTCACTCGCCAAAGAGATAAAAACAAAGCACGACCCGAATCATCTGCGCCCTCAACGACGACGACGCCTGATTCACTGGCTTAAGTAGTCGCGACGTCCTTACCGCCCCCCCGTCGTCATCCTTCGCCGCTCACACCCCTAAAGTTCATTTCGACCGACAGCAACCCCCCCCCGCGCATACCCCACAGACCCTCTGATACGCTTGATACCACGAATCTACCTACCTTACACATACACCATCTGCCTCTCGCTCTGAGCGCCAAAATCCGAGATGGCTGGGACGCGTAATTATGACTTTCTGGTAGGCTTCACGCCTTTCCCCCCGTCAGCTGCTGGCAGCATCGAGGCTAACGTACCGAACCACAGATCAAGCTGCTGCTGATCGGAGACTCGGGAGTTGGGAAATCATGCTGTCTGCTGCGGTTCAGTGAAGATTCGTTCACACCGTCCTTTATCACCACTATCGGTATCGACTTCAAGATCAGGACGATCGAGCTAGACGGCAAGAGGGTGAAGCTGCAGATCTGGGATACCGCTGGGCAGGAGAGATTCAGAACCATCACAACCGCTTATTACAGAGGTGCTATGGGAATATTACTGGTCTACGACGTTACCGATGAGCGCTCCTTTAACAGTACGCACCCCCGCACCATACCCAGTCTACCTGTCTAGGTAGGAGGTAGGTACAGAGGTTAACGTATGCTTGCAGACATCCGAACCTGGTTCTCGAACGTTGAGCAACATGCCACAGAGGGCGTGAACAAGATCCTTATCGGAAACAAGTGTGACTGGGAGGACAGACGTGTGGTTTCTACGGAACGGGGGCAGCAACTGGCGGACGAGCTCGGCATCCCCTTCCTCGAGGTCTCGGCAAAGAGCAATATCAACGTTGAGAAAGCGTTCTACAGCTTGGCGTCGGATATTAAGAAGCGGATCATCGATACGGCAAAAACAGATGCGTCGGCGAGCCAGGGTGTCGATGTTGGAGCACAGGGAAGCGGAAGTGGAGGCAAGTGCTGCTAGGGATTGAGTTGAGGTAAGGGTGGATGTGGATGTGGTGGTGCTTTTTTCGTCTGGTCAAGAGCAGCTTAAGGGCGGAGTTTGGTCGCATCGTATGGTATCACAAATTGAAGGCATGATTTTTGCCTATTCCTATTGAGATTCGAGGTCACAGAGAAGTTGATGCGAGCAAGTGGGTAATGGAAACAGTATTGTATGTGAGATGGAAGAGATTCAATTGAGCTTTGGACTACCAACAGATTTCTGCATGAACTGTAGGAAGCGGCTCGTCACCTGTATGTTCTTTCAGTCGTCCCAGAGTTGTAAGAGGGAATGGGCGCCGATGCCATTCTCGAACGAATCTTCTGGCTTCGTTCGAGTCCTTGAAGGCAATCGTGTATCTCGCCGCGCCTTTGTAAGTAACCTTGCGGCGCTCAGCCGCCTCCTCTTTCAGCAGATTCGTCTCAAGCCTGACGACCGCCTCTTCCCTATCACCGGCGAATCTCCAATGCAAGTTCCGGCGCAGCCCATCATCGGCAAGTGCCCTGGTCAACGTGCTTTTGTCAATGAAACCTCCACGGCCATCTGTGGTAAACAGTACAATGTCTTGCGCCTTGGTTTGTCTCCCAACTAGAGGTGCTGGGCCACCAGCTTCCAGCATCCATTTCACACCCTTCGAGAATGGGGGAACGAGCATCTTTAACGACAGCTGACCATCGGCGGGAACCAGTGAGAAGCTCTGTATCATCATGTCCTGGTCCTCGCCCATGCGGCGGGCACGATGATGTCTCGTGAAATCGTCATACCCTGCGAACTCCTTTAGATCCAGGGTACGCGATAAGTAGTCACTAGCAGCCGCGAGGCTTGAAAATACGAGGTAGTATTTGCCCAAGGGTTCGAGTGTCATGTTGTCACGGGCAGGGATAACTTCAGCATGTCAGCATAATCTCCCTTGTTAGAGTAGCGTCGACCATCATTACCTTTGACGATGCCTCTCGTCCAGTCCTCAACATGCTCCCCTTGTGCGGTGACGCGGTAGAAATCAGACTCCTCCAGCGATGTACTGCACGAGCTCAGAACTAGCACAGCATAGCGCTTTGTACCACTGATGTCTCTCTTCCACGACTCGGGCTGTATTGGCTTACGCGCAGATCCTTTAAGAAGTGTTCGGTCTTCAGCAACAGGTCGGGCTGGTATCGAAGTAAGAGCAGCCCTCCTCCTCTCGCGCTCTCTTGCCTGCTCCCTCTCATACTCAGCGCCACGCCTGAAATCCGAGGTCCAATTGAACGCTGGCAACTTCTCCAAGTTCTCCAGGGCCTTCTTTTCTCGTTTCTCCCGCGCCAGTGCCTCCTCCGGGAAGAGTTCTTCGTACAACGACAGCGATTCCACGCCTAGGTCGTCCTCCCGTATTGCCTGCTGCAAGTCTGCGGCTGTTTTTATGGGGCTGGGTGTGAGAGACTCTGAGTCGCGTGTTGCGCTCTGCGGTGAGGGGCGCTTGTTCATCGGGGGGTTCGAGGTGGAAGCTAGCTGGTCCCTCTCTGTAAGTCTCACAGGCTCGTGGTTTCTAGGTCGTTGAGAGGCTTCCCCCCCGCGCCGGCCGGTGTTCTTCCAATGTTCTTTCGCAGCCAAAGCGCGGACTCCTTGGGTATCATGGCCATGATCTTGCCGGGCGGGGGCTCGCTTTCGGCCTCGTGGATCATTTCTGTATATCAGAGCGCCGCCGCTCGCCGCTCTTGCGATCCTTCGAACCGGCGATGAGACGGTTTTTGTTATACTGATTGAGGGTCCACCATCGACGTGACTGTCGCTCGAATTCGAATGTGTTGCTGAATTTGGGATCGGGTTCGAATAGCTCTCAGTCGAGTCGCTACTGTAACTAGCTCTATGGGCTATATTCGCAGCTTGTGCTAGTTGTATCGAGCTCCATGCTGGCAAGAGGAACTGCGGAGGCAGCGAGCGCGTCAACAGCATCAATGTTCACCAGCGGACGTTGCCGACAAATAGGTGCTGTGTAGAGATGGTCCAGATGTCTGTTGAACGCGTCCAAGCTAAGAGAGCTGGAATGCCAACTTGTGGCGGCACTGCAAGGCTACGATCCGCTTTTGTAGTGGGGCAACATATTTATTTGAAGGCACAATTATGAAAAATTATGTGACAAATTTTACATTCTTTCAGCAACCCTAAATATTGTTAAAGTATAACGTGATCCCACATTTCCAAGTCGCTCGCTTCATATTATCCACGTGATAGCAAAGGCCTCGCGAACAACCCGAAGCTTTTAGCGTGATATTTTTCTGCACAAGGCTACGATAATAATTTCGGACGACCTCTTCCTCTTCTCACGAATAACGACGATGCCAGAGAAATACAAGTCCACTCCCGCACCATGTCAGAGACCGAAAAGATACAGAAGACCATGGAGGTCAAGATGCGAGACCTGACGACCAAAGTTCGGTCTGACCAAAATGGACTTGCTCGTGTATACTTCACGAACCAAGCTCTGGCTGAAATCGGCGTCGAGAGACCTGGCCAACTCATTCACTTGTGGAAAACAGGCGATGAAATCCAAAAGGAGGCCATTGCGTGGAATACTGCAGATAAAGGCCTGAGGAAAAATATTGCCCAAATAGCAAGCGAGTATCGCGAGTTTCTGGGCTTCAAGCTAGAAGACGACATCAACGTTCGGGCGGCAGGCCTCCTACCAATTGCAAACTCCATTGTCCTGCGAGAGTTGAGTGCTCCGAGCGAACTTCCGCAGGAAGCTCTCGGCAAGTCTGAAAATGTTCATTGGGCATGGTTTCTCCACGGTCATCTCAGTCAGCTCCCTTTTTCACAGCTTTCGTGGGAACTTTTTCAGTTGACAGTTTCCAGGTCGTGCCGAGACCATATATCCGGGTATGGAGTTCACAGGGATAGCACCTTTTGCATGGGCCAAGAAGCGGAGTTTTGTTGTTGACTTCGTCAATGGCAAACCAACAGGTACAAATGTTCCCCAGCACTCCGGTGACCTGAGAATTTTGCCTGATTTCTGACCGTTGCGTAGGCCTGGGCAAATGCGGATCTAGCTCGTCCGTCCAGATATCGACCCCTCAAGAGGATGGTCCAGAACCACAGGTGACATTTCAATCGGCACCCCTGGAAGTCCTTGATATCGCCGGAATTGATCAAGCCCTCGGAAGGCTTAACTCCTTCTTCGCCGACTTCAACAAGAAAAAGTTCGTGTTCCCACAGGACCAAAGGTCGTGTGCGGTATTGCTTCACGGTGGCCCGGGCACTGGAAAGACGTTCCTGTTGAGCAAAATCACCAGTACTGGCTGGGCCAAAAGCGTATTCCGTCTTGAGGGAAATGCAAAAGTATCCAATATCCGATCCACCTTCAGAGATGCAAAGCTCAATCAGCCCAGCATTATCGTTCTTGACGATATAGAATCGCTCATGGGGAAAGAGGACGACCGATACAGCGATATTTCCCATGGTCTTGGAGAAGAGCTCGATATATTGTCTCGAGCACATTCGGGACATTCGCTTCCTCAGGTTGTGGTGGTTGCGACCGCTTCGGATCCAAACAGGGTTCCTCGTTCCCTCAAGAAAAGGGGCCGATTTGTCACTGAGATCGCCCTTCCTGTGCCTGATGTACCTGCACGAAAGGCAATCTTGAGAGCTCTTGACCCTCAATTTCTTCCAGCTACCAGAGACGAGAACATCGACAGGCTCGGTGATCGGACACATGCCTACACGGCCGAAGATCTGGTAAATTTGTTAGATGCTGCCCGTCATTTCGCCGAGAAAAGGGTGGACGTGAACCCTACACAGTCGGAGGACGGTCACTATCTCTTGCAAAGAGATATTGAAGAGGCTCTCTTGCTAGTCCGTCCGACAGCCATGCACGATATTACGCTTCAGCCACCAAGTGTAAGATGGGATGAGATTGGAGGACAGGATAGCATCAAGAAGGCTCTTCGACGCGCGGTTGAAACTCCTCTGCTGGTAAGTACCCAACACTTCCGGTTACTTCTACGATGGCTAACAGAATATCCAGCACCCGGGACGAATGAAGAGACTGGGTGCCGTCCCAAAAAAGGGAGTACTGCTTTACGGCCCACCTGGCTGCTCTAAAACCTTGAGTGCGCAAGCTATGGCGACTGAAACTGGATTCAATTTCTTTGCAGTCAAAGGTGCAGAGCTACTCAACATGTATGTTGGCGAGTCTGAGCGGGCAGTACGTGACATATTCGCAAGAGCTCGCGCAGCAAACCCAAGTATCATCTTCTTCGATGAGATCGAAGCGATTGGTAGTAAGCGGCCTTCGAACGGACGGAACACTGGTGTCAATGTGCTTACGACTTTGCTCACGGAGATGGACGGAATCGAGACACTGAAGGGGGTTTTTGTCCTCGCCGCTACGAACCAGCCTCAAGCCCTGGACCCGGCACTTCTTCGACCTGGTAGATTCGACAAGCTGCTCTACGTCGCTCCTCCGGATCTGGAAGGCCGTAAGGAGATACTGCAAGTCCGGAAGAGAACTATGGATTTGGCTGACGACGTTGATATCGATGCACTTGCCGAATTGACTGATGGGTACTCGGGAGCTGAGCTCGTGGGCATCTGTCAAACGGCATGCGACTATGTCATAGACAAGTGCGAGGACCTCAACGAAGAACTGCAGGTGCACATGGAGGATTTCATGGATGCCATCCAAGTGGTGAAAAAACAGATCGACCCAAAAATGATTGCGAGTTATGAGGAGTGGGCGAGAGGGATCTAATAAGGAACGAACAGGACTGGTCTGTTTACTCTGAGGAGAGAGGTGCTTGTCAGACTTGGATCTGGCACACGGTAATGAGACTCTGCCCAAATTCGAATCGAGTATTTTTGCTTCGGGGTACATCGCTGGTAATCCTTTTGCAGATAGCAGATAGCAGATACCACCTTTGCAAATCCCAGTGTAGCTAGCTATTGGTCCACACCAGGTCTGTTTACATTCTCGAGCAAGTGATGGATGTTTCAAGCGCACAAGCGCAGAAGTCCATTATCACATGTCTGGAATTTCGCCATGCGTCATGCATGCCGTTAACATACATCATACAGGACCAGAATCATAAGTCTCAAAACATCATCATGCCAGCAGCAGAACGTCCCTAACCAATCCCTTGCACTCGGATTTTCCACCAATGTATATAAGTCCTCCCTCGGGCATGTTCACGACCGCCACTGGAAAAGTTTTTCACCACCCCATCTCAACTGCACAACCAGCCATGTCCAAAGTCAAGAATCGATCAAAGAAGGGGAACGACCTGGCTCTGGCTCCAGTGAAGACGGAACAAGATGAACAAGTGGTCCAAGACGCTTTCGATATATCGATTCCGGAAGTCCCTGTGACGCAACAGCGACGGCCTTTTGTTCCGAGCAAAGAGAATCAGCAGTTGAAGGATCCAGGTAAGCATATACATCCAAGCCCAATGCTCTTACTTCGAAGTCGGCTTCGGTTGTTGAGAAAAAGAAACCAGGGACCCCTCGAGCAAACATAGCTGCCTCTTTGGAAGAGCCAAATGGCACGCAGAAGGGAGACTATGCCAGAAGATACAGGAGAAAGACGGTAAGCTTAAGCTTCGTTCGCCACGCCCTGCCGCGTGCAAGACTGCTAATAGTCCCCGAAGGTCCTCCAACAACATCTCACCTACTTCGACCCGGATTCAGACGGCATCATCTGGCCCCTCGACACCTACCGCGGCTTCTACGACCTGGGCTACGGCATTTTGCTCTCCCTCCTCTCCCTCGTCATCATCCACGCCAACTTCTCTTACCCAACCCTCCCGCCCGGCCACTGGCTCCCCGACCCCTTCTTCCGCATCCACATCGCCCAGGTTCACAAAGATAAGCACGGCAGCGACTCTGGTACCTATGATGCGGAAGGCAGGTTCGTGCCGCAGAAGTTTGAGGACATCTTCGCCAAGTATGCCAGCGGTGACAAGCAGGGCATTACGCTGAAGGAGGTCTTCGATTATATGAAGGGCCAGAGGCTGTATGCTGATCCGGCCGGGTGGGGCGCGGCGGCTTTCGAGTGTGAGTGTCTTTCTTTTTTCGTGGTGGCGATGGCGAAGACACGGGTGGAAGTGCTGACTAGAAGTAGGGATCGCGACGTGGTTTCTGTTATGGCCTGAGGATGGGAGGATGAAAAAGGATGACATCAGACGGATCTATGACGGGAGTATCTTCTTCGAGATTGCAGAGAGGAGGAGAAACAAAATCTCGCCCAAGAAGCTGAACGGGCATTAAGCTGGAGGCTTGATCACTGTTGAGGGCGGACGTACTCAAGACCCTGTGCTGGGCTTCAAACTTGGGGGACGTAATTGTAATTAGGAAAAGTGTTTATACCAATGCCAGAGATTGTTGTCTCTTTCTGATAAAGTATTTTTAATTCCACTCGACGCTTGTATTACGTCGCAGAATCTCGCAATGCTGAAGGCCACCCCCTTTCCTCTCTCGTTTAGCGAGAGAGGCGACGAGGCGACGGTCTCTGTCCTGAGCCATCGGAATGGAGCCAGGATGCACACAAGACACACCGTCTCTTCCAAGCACGCCATAGTTCTTTTGGACTGCGTATCATTGCTTAGAGTAGTAGCACTGGGCCCTCCCTCGAATAGACGGCCTCTCTTCCCGGGGGTCAGTGGGGTCAGCTCAGCTCTTTGCTCGCGGCATCGGGGACTCAGAACACTCCTTATCCATCACTTCGACAGAGCTTCCCCTTCTCCCTCATTTCCCTATCCAAATACAATAGAAGATCACCAAAGATCCACAAAAGACACCTTCTCATATCCAATTCCAATAACAGAGCTACAATAGTCTCCGATCCTCGAACATCTAAATTAGCCACTCTGACTCTCTATTCGCTTAACTTCAATCAATCTAAGGCGGACATAACCCTCCATGATCGACTCGCCTCCCAATTCTTCTTCTTCCTCCTCTTCTTCCTCTTCCT